GACACCAATGAGACGAAACCAAAGCATAAAACAAGCGTAAAACAAACGGCTCGATGGGTATTTTTCCGACCGCGACGATCCGTGAGAGCGGCAATGGGCGACGCTGGGCTTGTGCGTGAGACAAGAATACTAAGGACTGTTGCGATTCGAGATCTGAGAGCGGCTATGTAATGCACAAGTGCACTGACCGAGAGCTAGTATCTAGATCTCATTGTTGTCAAAGAGACGTTGCTCCGGGAAGAGGGTCCGGAGTGAACGCCAGATCATGACGCAGGCGGTGGCATGATGTTGCTGTCATCGCATGTTGACGTTCAACTTGCCGTGGTAGAAATGAGCGACCAACTATCAACCTACATTGGGGAGAGACGCTGATGCTATTCGCGACTGGATACTGAGTGATCCGCCTCAACAGTCGCCATCCCCTCAAACTGATGTCTGAAAACACCCTCTCGTATCAAGCGGTGGTAAGTAAGTAGATGCACACTTGAGAAGACCAGCTGCCACTTGTCAGTCGATCCATGATTACGAACCTCGAGGCTGCTGCCAGATTTCAAGAGCAGTCTTGCCATCTCTTAGTCACCTTCTTCTTCTTCTCACACGGGAAAAGGGGAGAAATGCCCCATACCAAGAGGCTATTCATACCCCACGCTAGGGCCATGCTTGCTCCAACAACACGAGGTAGTATAACCCTTTGCTGGACCGCTTGCAATTAGCAAACTTACACAATGGCAGACTTTGCACCTTGAACATCGGACAATATAATCCACAAGGCAAACGGTCATGGAGAAAGAAGAAAGAAGGAAGCGAGGAAAATCCTGAAGCAAACAGTCATCAAGGTCCTCTGTCCGCTTGCATATCCACCTTGTCCATTCAACAGGCCATCACAACGGAGCAAAGGAAGAGGCACAACAGTGGTGGAGAATAGCATTGCGGGGCAGCCGTCATTCATTGAATACCTTTTCTTTCAAAATCCACAAATCTCTGATATTCAGGATTATTCTTGACAAACGGCTCAAGCTGCAACGCACAATATGAGCAAACCACATCGTTCGATGCTGGTCAAAGTGTGTCAAGCGATCAGACGTCAATCATGGTATTGTATTCACAATTTCTGTTGTCTCTTGCGTTTCCACATACCACGGAGCACATAGACAACTTTCCTTACCTACCAGTGTGTGATATTGTTCTGTGCTCTTCCATGTGGGATCATGAAGCAAGGGGGAAGAAGGAGTGAGGTATGCGAAAACTGGGTATGCCAATCGTCGATTGGCTCATTCGGGGCAACAGTGTACTGAAAGAAGGAAAAAATCATGGGGGCAAAGTGGTGGTAAACACGACAGTGACAATGACGGGGGTGGAGGACTGGGAGATTTGAAGTTTGATTGAATCTAAACACACGTGAGACGGGGACATTGCCGACTCCATGATTCTTGCTTTGTAATAAAGGAGAAGATTTTTCGAATATGGCCTAGTAGATGGTAGCAGCCAGGGCACCTCTTGGTCGACTGGCAATGCGTCAGCTCTGAGCTCGACTCAGCCGGAGGTTGAGCGACAAGCTTTTCCACCTCTGTGGTGACCTGAGGGAGTTACGCATTAGCTCAGGAGGCTAAGGGAGGCTGAAGCCAAAGAAAAAGAGAAAAAGCAATAATAAGAAAAAGACAGAGCAAAACAGTAAGAAAACGCATAAGGGGGCATCTCTAGCTCAAGGCGAAAAGAGCCGGCCTGAGACCATCGCTTCGGCCTGCTGGTGGCATCCAGAGCGCTGGAAATCTGAAGCGAGCGGCAGGAGCTGAAAGTCGCCGACACTGTGGCTGAACTTGCTCAGTTTTGACTCGATTCGAGTTTAGCGATCTGAATAGCGCTGAAGTTGAAGAAGATGGTGTGGTGTAACGGTTTTCCAAGTTGTTGGAAACGAGGGGAGGACGGAGAAATGACTTGATTTGGACTCGTAGGGAGTTGACAGTTGTCCGTCGTCAAATTCGAGGTGCAGGGCAATGAGCGGGCAAGAAGACAAAAGATAGGGGCGAAGAAGGGAGGACGCAGAGTGCGGTGACAGTGGTCGGTGGTAGGTCTATTGTTCCCGACTGTCGAATACAGGGAGAATAAGATGATGGAATGAGGAGGATTGCTCCCTAACAGAGGCACAATGCAGCAAAAGATTGGTCACAGTTTCTTCGTACCAGGTTTACAAGAGGCGCTTCAAGATTTGATTGGAGACGGTTCACTTGAAGTTGATACAGAAACAAAGAGGCGGCCAGATATCGCGAGTCTAGGACCAGCCATGATGCAGCTTCCTCGTGTCATTGGGCTCATCCGCACTTCTTTCCTTCAGCGTCGGGCTTCCACAGTCGCTCCTGCTGTGCCGCGATGCTACCAAGAGGAGCAACCTTACTGGAAGCGGAAGTACCAACGCCCAGCCGCTCCTTCCACTCCCCTCACTCCCGTTACTCCCTTGCCCACTCCTTCCGCTGCTGCAAAGTGACGGCAGCACAGCGCACCAGAAAGGCAGGCCAGGGAAGGAGAGATCGCCCGCTTCGGCGATTGGCCCCGCAATGGCCGGGTCCCGGGACGGCGGGCGCTAAGCCACTTCGGGACGTCAATACGGACAACAATAGCAAAGGACAATAGCAAGCCAAAAGCCGGCTAAGACGCCGCACCCCCTCCCTCGTCTCTTCGGCTCCCTCTCATTTTCTTTCCTCTCTGCACCACCGCAAGCCGAGCCTTTCAATCGACTGAGACACGCATCGAGCACAAAGCACCCGCCTATTGAATTCTTTGTCATGCAAAAGGAGGGCAGCCACAATACGGCAGACAATACGCTGGACCGGCGAGCCGCATGCCCGCAGCGTTGGCCGCCGCTTTCCAATCGCCGATTGCACCGCACCAGGTCGGGGTTATGGGCTGTCATGGCTAGTATTGTGGTTTCTGCGCTGTGGGCTGTGGACTGATGAATTGTGCAACTTGCTCGTTCAATCTTGCATGGTGAAGACTGGAAAGGAAAAAACTTGCGCGGCTGGGCAAGATGGCTAGCCAGACGCTGGCATTCCAGCCACGGCGGCACGACATCCCCCCTTACAAGCACAGGTTCCCAAGCGTCCAGTCCGTTGCTGCAGGCTTGCTCTGCCATGTCCTCCTTGCAGACAGCTAAACCCAGGTGGACGGAGTAGCTTCTAGCCATGCCTCATACCAGTCACATCTCATGCATACGACCTTGCCTACAGCTCTAGGGTCCAATTCCTCGGCGATGGGAGCTGCATTCGAGCGTCTTCCGGGAGACCACGTGTACAGATCCTGTCAGTGCTGTCCTGTTGTTGCTGCAACTGTTGTCTCGTGGCATTCCTGCCAACCACTTCGGCCGGAGTCCGTCAACTTGACAATACGTACAACAGCCTCAATGCCACAAAAGATGCAAAGGATGGAGGGAGGGAGATGGAGGGGAGAGGTGTTGTCATTAGGAGACAATCCGAAGCCAGATATGCCAAGGAGGCGCCCCCTTTCTCTGCTCACCTTGTTTCCGCAATTCCCGCAATACATTGACAACGGAAACTCAGAGCCGCAAGAAAGTCAAAGCCGAATAGACGAGAAGGGAGAAGGAAAGAAAATGGTGCAGAAGCCGGGCTCAACAGACGTAATAGCGGCTGCGAGTTATGCTGGCGCACCCGTAGATCACACGCCCCTCCGGACCAGACTGTCGGACAGACTCAAACGGGGGGCGTATAGCTTTCTCACTAGGTACGTCCCACGAGCCTGGATGCGCTACACGGCATTTGCAGTCGGCGCAAGAGAGCAGGCAGAACTAGTTCTGCTATCCAGATTGGCATATTTTCACCTGTCGCGATTGTCCACGCATCGCAATTGATGCCCAGGCAGTTGTCCTCCTTGCCGTTGTCTGTGTGAGTGCTTCTCCGTCGAAGAGGTTTCTCCGTCTCCCTCTCTTACCAAACCCTTTTCATCATTTAGCGGAGACAAGCTGCAGCAAGCGGTGCGTGTAAGTCGATCGGGAGCCATCAGTAATCATATCCGCAATTGTATTGTTGCTAGCGGAAGATTCCACGGCCAAGCCACCAGACGACGACAGAAGAAGGACAAGCCACGCGGGTGTTTGGCTCGGCTTGCAAAAGGGCGCACGGCTCATGGGTGTGTGGCATGATTGCTGCATGAATCAGTCGTTGCTCAATCATTCAGGTTGAATCGTTGCGGATGGGGGATTGGGGGCGTCTCCGTCCTGGCCCAGCCGGGGTGGGAGCAGAAGAGGGACGGGAGCATGTCGGTGTTTGGCTTTTCTTTAATCAAGGGAATTAGGTTCGGCTGGAGCGTCATGCCAAAGGGGGAGGGGTGGGCCAAACGGGCTTCGCACGACACCTCCTGCTGGGCCGCCTTCTCTCGCAAAGGTATATTATCCGTCTCCTGTCTCGACCCCTTGATGCGTCTCTCCACGAGTCAACTAGCTTGATCTCTCTTGATTCACGTTCTGTTATCATCTTGATCGCCTCATACTCCTCACTCGACCAGCAGTTGCATTCCTGTGCTGCTCTCTTGGCTGTTGGCTTATACCACACGCTCGCACACCTCGGCCATTCACATCACATCACCTCGCTACCTTCACACACTACCAACCGCATCTACACCCTCCATTACGGAAACATACAACAGAGGGTAGCACCGGATTTGGGTCCAAGAAGCAACAAGGAACAAAAACTCTTCATCCGACTATAGACTGCAGTAGTCTCAGCCAACTCCCTTTCCACGGGCGGAACAAGAGCAAAAAGACAATCGGCGATTCTGGGACTTGAGCACCTTGATTCACTGCCTGGAAGACATATCAACGACTCACCACCCCCTCTTCATCTTCGAGCTACATTATCTCTTATTCTATAAGAGATCGACTCGTCCTTCTTCTGTCACACTTTTTGACTTCATCATCACACATACCTATACAACACTTCACCATGAACACATCACCGGCAACAACTACAGCTGCGGCTGCTATCCAAAGCTACATGGCCGCCCCTAAAGCCTCCTCCCGCCAGACACCCTTGACCTCTCCCCCTCCCGCCTACACGCCACGCACTGCACCCGATCTTGCTGCACAAATGCGGCAACAACTGCGTGAGCCTTTCATCATGGGCCGGCCATCCATCCCCGAGACAGTCCTGGAGGCCTTGACGACTGAGGACGAGGATGACCAAGACCAGGAGGAGGGCATCTCCCCCATCAGCCTCCGCATCAACACCTCTGTTCTCATTTCCAAGAACAACAACCTGGTGTGTCTCACAGACACGCCTGCCAGCCATGCCAACGCTATTGCCAGGGCCGTCGTTAAGGCCATCCAGGAGAACAGCTCCGGCCAGTGCGGCATCCCCATGATTGACGAAGACGGCCGTCCTCGGCCAGTCAAGATTGAGGTTGACGCGGGCATCACCGTCGAGGGCTCAGGAAACATCGTCGGCAACGAGGCCATCATGAACGAGGTCCTCCGCCAGCGCAGCCTTACCCGCAAGAGGGCAGCCGACTTTGATGATGATGAGAGCGACGTGTCTGCCCTCCCGACGAAGCAACGTCGTGGAAGCGGCAGCACCAGCAGCATTTCCCCTTGAAAACTGGTCACCGCAAGTCTCAAGAGGCATTGTTTCGTTCCATCATCTAATCTCATCATTTGAGCGGGCATTTTATTCTACGTCGCTACTCGGAGCACCATCACGTCTCCGCCCCCATGAGCTCTTCACTCACCAGTGGGGTCTACTTGCTATACGTTGGAGCACTTGGCGTTCGGGCATCTTCATCATATACCCATAAAGGCAAAGCCTTTTTCTGTTTTGTTCTTCATCGACACTCCGATAATGAGAGACAACGGAGGGGAGGATACCTTAGGGGAGGAGTAAAACAGGTGGTTGACTGCTTCTAGAAAACTGATGCACCCACCATCGTACCTAGTATCATGAATAGACTGTATCAATGAATACTACTTCTGACAGCATTTCCTCTGCTTCATCTGCACACTGTGACTACTTGGCCGACGAGTAGTAACTGTGACGGTTGGTTTACCCCCTCTCACACCGTATTGTAGTTCTCTTTGTTGTCGTCTTGCAGTTGGTCCACAAATCACATGCCGAAAGAAAGGGAAAGCCAAGCACGACCACCCCGACGAACACCGACGAACTAGTCAAAGAGCCTGCTTGGTGATCACGAATCAACCATCTCCGACGTTGGCTGTTGTTGGTTCGGCATTCTCGAGGGCTCCGAAACCTCGCATCATACTACATTAGCCTCTCACACCTGATTTTCTACAACGCCATCTGTCAAATATTAAATGCTACTACATACTACCAGTGGTAAACGTCATCGGCAGCATGATTCGGACTCCGCTGCCTCTGGGGGTCCGGTTCATTGTGCGGATATCGTGTGATCTTTTCTTTCCAGCTGTTGTATGGGATGTTGGGCCAGAGCATTCAAGGCAAGGGGAGAGAATGAAGAGAAGGGAGGGGCGTCTGGAGTTGGTTCGAACATGTCCGAAGCCATGAATAGTACTACTACCTACCGAGCCCCCGAAACTCCCATCACCGTCAATCTCAGCCTCGTGGGTATACCAAGAACGTCCATGCGTCGATCATCCACGTGCTCTTCATAATAAGCACCTCTCCCTTACCCCCCACTCCTGGCAAATCGCATCTCTCGATGGTGTTGTTGTTGGATCTAGCGACATGTCAAAGCAAAAGCACATTCCCTCCCGCCACACCTTTTTTATTTTTCTTCTTCTTTTTCTTTTCTTTTTTGCTGCCGTCGGAGAACCGCACTGTTGGATCAATCAAATCCAATCTCAGCTGAGCCGCATTGATTCCCGCATTCCGGGGAGACGTCATCCATGTTCTTGGTAAGGTAGACAAGGCTTTTCAGGTTTGGTCCGTTGGATGGGAAAAGACACACCACGTTTATGTGATGATGATCTGCTTGAGCCGAGGCTAAATCAGTCAACTCCGATATTCTTCTCTTGTCATTGTTATTGTTGTTTTCTATCATGACGGGCCCCTTCTATGGGTTCATGTTTGCTGCCGCTGCTGCTGCTGTTCTTATTGTTGAGGTTGAGGTTCAGCCATAGCTCAGCCCCACACAGCTACTAAATCGTCTTGGCCATTGCACTGCGCTCGATCGATTTGCTTCGTTTGTCGTGTTTTGATTTGACGACGGGTGTCTTTGTCCCTCTTTTTTCTTCCCCAGGCAATTGGATCCAGATCGCCCTCTCTTAGACGCGTCTCTCATCGAAGTATCTTGTCGCATCTCATCACACTCCCTAACTTTTGTTACCTGCCTGTTTGTTTGATTGATTGTTCCCATTGCTGCTATTTCGCCTGTTTGCTGCTCCTTGTTTGCCCCCTGTCCCCAGCTCGCTCACTCACTCACTCACTCACCCCCTCCCTAGTCTCACACTCACTCACACAACCCCCGTGATGGCCGACCTCACCATCCGCAACCTCACCATCACGCCCCTGGAGCTCCTCTCCGTCCAGCGCTTCCAGGGCGAAAAGGTGCGCACCGGCAACGTCGTGGCCAACGTCACCGGCGCCATCGCGGGCTTCATCAACGCCACCGACTTCTCCGCCCACCGCCTCCTGCCGCGCGGCGACTCGCACGACGCCCGCGACGTCTCCGTCCACCTCGACCCCTTCCGCGCCGTCCGCACCGCCATCCGCGGCCCCGACCCGGCCGGCCGCGAGATCCTCCGGCTGACCTTTCGGGCCGGCGACCGCCGCTATGAGACGGACGTGCCCAGCCCCTCGCGCAAGTCCGCCGTCATGAAGCGCATCGATCACGACGACGACGACAACGATGACGACCTGGACCTCACCGTCGTCTACGTCCCCACCGGCGCCTTTCTCGCCATCTTCTCCTCCGCCAAGCTCCACGCCTGGATGCGGCAGCTCGACGACGCCTGGCCCCTCCCCTTACTCTCCATCCCCGGCACCCACAACTCGCCGACCTGCCACACGGCCCTGCCCTCGGTCCGGTGCCAGTCCGTCGGCGTCCCCGAGCAGCTGCGCAACGGCGTGCGCTTCCTCGACGTCCGCGTCTCCGTCAGCCCGGACACCGACGCCCTGCCCCTCGTCCACTCCGTCTTCCCCGTCGCCCTCGCCGGCATAAAGTACTTTGCCGACCTCGTCGCCGACGTCTACCGCTTCCTCGACGCCAACTCCAGCGAGACCGTCCTCATGAGCATCAAGCGCGAGGGCGCCGGCCGCGGCACCGACCAGCACCTCAGCCGCCACCTGAAAGCAGGCTACGTCGACCGCCGGCCCGACCGCTGGTGGACCGAGCCGCGGGTGCCCTCGCTCGGCCAGGCCAGGGGCCGCATCGTCGTCGTGCGCCGCTTCGGCCTCGACGACGAGCTTCTCGCCCGCGACGGCGGCTGGGGCATCGACGGGCCCGACAACTGCGAGGACGGCACCTGCGACGGCGGGCACATCCGTGTCCAGGACTTTTACGACGTCACCGAGAGCCAGAACATTGAGCGCAAGATTGACTACAGCCGCGGCCAGCTGGAGCGCGCCGCCGAGCGCGAGTTCCGCCTTCACCAACACCACGATCACGATCACGATCACGGCGGCGGCGGCGGCGGCGGCCCGGACGCCGCGCCGACGCTGCCCATCTTTCTCAACTTTCTGAGCGGGAGCAACTTCTTCAACGCCACGTGCTGGCCCGAGAGGATCGCCGCCAAGGTGAATCCCGCCATTGTCGAGTACCTGTGCATCCGCCACGGCGAGGACGGCAAGGGGCCTAAGCAGCTCAAGGTCGGCGCGGGGAGCACCGGCATTGTCGTCACGGACTGGGTGGGTGCGAATGGCGACTGGGATCTGATTCGGTGCATTGTGGGCTGGAATGCGAGGTTACAGCTGCCTTGATATTGATTCATGTGATGTTGCAAGCTTGTAAGTGGAATCTTGGCATAATATTTACGTGAAACACGATTTGAGAGGGGATAAAGAGTAAAGAGAAGGGATTTTGGACAGGGTCACATAGGCAAAGAGCGCATACAGCGGATATAATAGGTGGTTGATAGATTCATCATTCAGGAGAGGTATAGACTATATAAAGCTTCCATGATGTTACACCGCTGTGACACATGAGCTTCATTTGCTAGCACAAGCTACAACAGCGGATCAAAAGCATCGTAATGGCATACATCTCGCTGCTTCATCATAATCTAACGCACTCAAGTCAGCAATTGCTCCACTGCCCAAGCGTTGTTCAAGCAATGATGTTTGAGAAACCATATCAGTTCTCCAAGGTGAAACTTTTTTTCGTCACGAGGAACTCGGCCAATGTAGATAATAGGTAAAGTCATCATGATGGTAGGGTAATTGGGAAGTAAGAAAAGAAACCAACCACATACCATTTCATCAGCCAGCGCAAGACATCGGCGATGCCCACCTAGACTGCTTCATACAATGTCAGCTTCCGGCTAAACAAGAACTGCATCAAGCATAGTAACAGCATTGACATCGTATATCTATCCCACAGTTAGCTACGTGCCTGAGCAATAACGGGCCACCAGCTACACTTACTATCAGAAGGTGTGAGTGTGTTCATTTCCAACAACGCCCGAAGGTGTCGTGGTCAGACAGTGTGAATACAAAAAATGACATTTCATCACAGAAATACGGCGCCAAGGTGAAATAGAAACAAGTTGTATAGTAAGTACCTATCGTTGTGCGAGTTAGCCGACAGGTACATTCCCAGCTTGGACAAGGAAATCAATTCCTATGGACCACGATCAGGTGACGAGATCTCATCCTGAGTTCTCCCTCCCCTTCACCACGAGGATTGTACGTCCTCGCTTTCTCAGGGATGAAAGGAAGAGAGGCTCGATATGTCCGCCCGTTCGTTCAAATTTCATCATGTGGGATAGGTTGAGCTGAGAAAATTTGTAGAATTACCTGTTGACAGTCTGAGTTAGCAAGCTAGCTTTGACAACAGTGTGACGGCATATAAAAAGAAAGCGTCAAGATCTCTGATCAGACAAGGCTGAAACTTATAAAACACGGTATCCACATCGTATATTAAGCATGAGGAATCCCTGAGGTGTCAAATGTTCATCATTTAGAGGGGGTGGGGTACTCGACGATGGCAAAAGAATGAAAAGCAGAAGCACCAACCTTTTAAAATTTGCAAATGACTTGCTTTGGATCGAGAGCGTTCCAGCCCGAGTACCTGGACATCTGTGACGCGTTAGTAGAGCTCGCGCACACGCCAACGTCTGAGAAATATGCGATCCAAAGCTTGTTGTTCAGTGAGGTTGTAAAAGAATTTACACTGTCACCATGGTCTGGTATGAATTGGATTGTTCATGAAAAATAAAGCATCATGTAAGGCGCAGTCAGAAAGAAAAGAGTGTAGCTTACCTTGAACATGTCCCTCAACCACCAGAGGCCGCACCAGAGCGTGCACTTGCAGCTCCGGAATCGAGCTTCTTCTGGTGGTTGTTGATTGTAAAGAAGGAAGAAGAAGAGAAGCTTGGAAAAATTCTCGGTAGATTTTAAAGGCAGCCCGCGCTAGCTCCGCTTTGGCACTAGGCCAGAAGAGAGTTGGAGAAGTCGAGAGGCAGCCTCAGCCCCGCACTGGGTGGCGCAGATCTCATCTGTGGCGGTGCTGCCAGCGCATTAGCGCGCTGCATGCTTGCGTGGCGAATGTCATTCCCGAACTTATATAGAAGCCCGTCACTTTCCCGTCGCCTCCCCTGGATGAGCTTCGTCTTCAACCTCTTTCAACCACCTCTCCGGTGAAAAAGAAGCCAAATTATCTCCAACATGGCGTCCGCGGGGGCGATATGGGGCCCAGTTGCCCTGCGTCTCCTCCGAGCCGCCGTGTCTCGGACGACAGCCGTGGTCCGGGACAAGCTCGCCAGCGCGGCAAAGCCGCTCCAGAACCCAGCACTCCAACCAGTCGCTGTGCCCGCCAGAAGCGGTCGACAAGCCCTCAACCCAGTGGCCCTTGCCACGCAACAGCAACGAGGTGCCCGAGGCTTCTCCAGCACCTCGGCCAAGCATGCCAGCAAGGCCGTCCGACGGCTCCTCAGCTCCGAGAGCGGCGCTCCTCGACTCGATCGATCCAGGCTCCCGAGCTCCAACACTTCTCGCCAAGTCGCTCAGTTCTCCGGACGAGCTCCTTTTGCGAGCGCCCTGCGGCCCAACCTGACGGGCGGAGCCATGCCCCGAACTGCCGGCGGCTACAGCCTGGGGGGCGGTGGTGCCCGATACTTTTCCCACACACCCGCAGCTCCTGCACAGGTCGTGCAGAATGTCTCGCAGGCAATGCGGGCCTTTTTCCTTTCCGGACAGCGAATCCGATACGACGGGGTGGGACCACGCGGTGAGGCCCAATACCGGGCCGTCTCCGTTGTGGAGGACGAGGCCATGCGTAAGCTGGCTGCCATGCCCAAGTTTGCCCCTGGCGCCTATGTCGACTTTCAGCTGAGCCCAACCATCACGGCCATGAGCCCTCTTGCTGCCGCCATCGTCCAGGCTTCCGGCACATCCGGCTTCCAGGGCGAGACGGTCATCCCGAGCCTCAACACCGAGGGATTCCTCGACGTCCTGTCGGCTGACTTTGGCCGCGCCTTGAAGGATCTGACTGCCATCTATGCAGACCTCGAGCGGCTTTCGGCCTTGGGCGACTTGCCAATCTCTCTCGAATCAGGCAACCTGCTTCGGGTTCGCTTTCCAGGCGTTGATGTCGAAACAGTGGAACGACTCTGTGACGACATTGGTGTCCAAAGGGGTGTTGTCAGCCAAGATGTTGGTTTTGAAAGGGCTACCGGCGCTAAGATGGCGTTGAGATTTCCTTTCGCACCAGACTCTGACAAGGCATTGACGTCCCCTGGAGGATCGGAGAGGTCGTTGGAAGGACACGAGCTGGATGACATATCTTCGCTCGGCGATGAGTCTTTTGTTCATGAGGCGTTTGCATATGAAAATTCGGAGAATCCATGGATGTCGGAGACGGACGGATATGAAAGCATGTCGCCTCCGGTGGAGTCGGAGCAGCAATGCTCTGAGGAGTACGAGGGCCTTGAGGGCATCTACCGGTTTCTGGAAGAATGCGACAAGGCCAAGGGCAGGTTGGGCTGACGCAGATGCAACGAGTATCTCCATGTAGCAGACGGAACATCAAATCACAGCGACAATGACCGTGTCAGTCAGGACCAACACAGCATACGACGTTATGATATCCGAACATCCACGCTCTTTTTCTTCTCCTTTGTATTAACTTAACCACCATTTAGCTTAGCTTAGCTTACGACGAGAATGAAGATTTCCTTTGTGTGCATTCACATACTTGTTAATTCTATACCTCTTCCACGTATAGAGTCCACGGACGATGTATTGGCGTGGTACTCGGCGTTGGTGAGAGCCGGCATCATATCGCCTTGCTGGACCTGAGCGTCCCTAAATCTGGCCTTTCGAGACGTTTCCGCCAGAGCTGGAGGGATACGGTGGGCCCTTTAGGAGATTGGTATTGGTCGAGATGTGCTGCAGGAAGATGCCAAAGGAGAAGAGATAGGCACAGCAGAGGTCGCAGTTGATGACAGAGACGGGCGGCATGGTTCCGGGTGGAGGCTGGACGGGATTGCGCTGCATCGCGTGACTCGGCAAAAAGCACGACGCTGCATCCAAATGCATTCGGCGTTGCTCTGTGCAAATGCAGGTGCAGATGCAGGGTGCCGAAGTCGTATCTTATCGCTTATCGATAACACTTCCTCTTCTTACATCATCCAAATTGAAGCACATGCTCGGCGTTAGTCCATCACCAAGTGTTCCCTGTTAAAGGCTCAGGAAACAAGCTGCAAGGGACAACAGCTCTTCGAATTTACACCTATTCTACTGCTTCAAAGGATCCAACCCGAAATTCTGGGGAAATAAAGACTTTATCAGATCATCTCGCAGACGTGATAACGCCACCCGAGATTGACTTCGCGGGGTTACTCGGCTGCCGACCAGAGACCCCCCCGGCAGAAGCACTTCTTCCCCACAGGACGGGCGTTGCCTCGGCTTGGAGCTTTGCGTGACCGAAACCGTTCGCTCACCTTGTCTCGTTGATCGTCCATCCATTTAATAAGCTGACGGGCCTCCCCCAATTCGTTTCCACCTGCGTTTTCGCTGTCCGCTTTTGCTCGCGATACGAGATACCCTCAATCCATCCATTTTATCTCTTCGATACGTGAATATATCTACACAATGTCTGGACCTGGTGTTGGCTTCGAGTACCCTCCCCAGCCCGTTGCGTGGCTGAAGCGCGATGTGCTGCTCTTTGCAAACTCCATCGGCGTGACTGCCGACGAGCTTCACTACCTCTATGTAAGTTGCTGTTGCCGGCGAGGGCACGACGCTCTCCTCGAGAACGCAATTGACAGTTTCATTTCTATAGGAACTCCACCCCAACTTTGCCGTCTTCCCTACCTACCCTACCGTCCTGCGTAAGTCCTCCATCGCGAGCATCTCCAGCATGGTCCTTGCGCAACCCGTCCTAACAGATGAGCGAAACAGCATTCAAAGGCGACTCACAAGAAGTCATCGACTTCTACGCCTCCCAGAAAAAGACCAAGATCCCCGGCGTCCCCGACTTCGACTCGCGCCGCGTCGTCGACGGCCAGCGCAAGATCGAGTTCCTCAAGCCCCTGCCCGTCACGTCCGCCGGCCGCAAGTTCGAGCTCCGCCAAAAGGTCCTCGGCGTCTACGACAAGGGCCGCCCGGGCTCCGTCGTCGACAGCCAGCTCGAGCTCGTCGACGCCGACACCAACGAGGTCTACACGCGCCTCCTGGCCAGCTCCTTTTTCGTCGCGCAGGGCAACTGGGGCGGGCCCAAGGGTCCCGCGACCGAGAGCTTTCCCCCGCCCAAGGACAAGAACCCGGACTGGGTGCTGGAGCACCACATCTCCAAGGAGGCGGCGCACCTGTACCGCCTCAACGGCGACTACAACCCGCTGCACGCGACGCCCGAGCCCGGCGTCAAGATGGGCTTCCCCGGTGCCATCATGCACGGCCTTTATTCGTGGAACGCCACTGCTCATGCCATCCTCAAGGCCGTGGCCGGTAGCGACCCGACCCTTATGAAGGAGTACCAGGCCCGGTTTGCCAGCCCCGTGATGCCCGGCGACAAGCTCATCATCAAGGTCTGGAGGACGGGCGAGAAGAAGGGCGACTTTGAGGAGATTCGGTTTGTTGTTGCCGTCGAGAACGGAAAGGTGTGCTTGAGCAACGGCCGGGCTCTGGTCAAGGTTCTGGGAAACGTTGTGGGGGACATCAAGGGAAAGCTGTAGATGTATGATATTGTGCCATTTGATGATGTGATGTAGAGGGTCCCACGATAGGTTCCTTATCAGCGAAAGTACATGTATTTTACGTGTTATTTATAGCCTCAACAAACTCAAGAAAAATCAAAGATCAATAATCAAATTTTATTCCCTGATTGATAAACCCCGAGGCAACAATTTGCAAGGAAATTTATTTATAATTGCTGCCTCAAGATGCGGATGCTCTCGAGCAATAGTCGCTGCCTGCGTCGGGAATTTGGTCAAATTCTGCTGCCTGACTGAGCATCTCCTACTTGTACCTGCCTTTCCCCCCCTTATTATATCTCACCTTCTCATATCTCATCTCAAGCCCAAAACATGCCTCTCTTTTTCATGACGCCTCTTCCACTTCCACTCCCACGCCACACATAAAAACGGAAGATGAGCCAAACACAGTATATCGGCCAGCGAATCTCTTATGATGGCGCGGCTTGCACAGTCCGCTACATTGGCGGGGTTGAGGGCACGACAGGCACCTGGTTAGGCGTCGAGTGGGATGATGCCGCACGGGGGAAGCACGATGGCTCTCACAAGGGCACTCGCTATTTTACTTGTAAAACTTCGCATCTCTCTGTCTATTCACCGCCGGGCTAGCTGACGCAGACATGATAAACCGCAGGCCTATCAAAATCCCCCACGGCGGCCTCCTTCGTCCGCCCAACCCGCCCAGCAGACCCTCCCCAGAGCTTCCTCTCGGCCCTGCACGAGCGCTACGTGGCCGACGCCCCGGGCCAGGTGCAGGGCCGGTCCAAGACGGAGATTGTCGTCGGGGGCAAGGTCGCGCAGGAGATGGGCTTCGACAAGATCTGGCGGCGGCAGTCCCGGCTGCGGGAGACCAAGATTGTCATCCTCGACGGGCTGAGGGTCGCCACGGCGCGGGACGCCGGCGACGTCAACGACGACGGCGAGCCCAAGACGATCGGGGAGACGGCGCCCAAGATTGTCGAGCTGGACCTGAGTCGGAATCTTTTTGAGAGGCTGGGGCCGGTGGTGGAGATTTGTCGCGATTTGAAGGATTTGCAAAAGCTTGCCATCAAGTGAGTCTTTGTCCCCCATTTGATTCGATCTGCCACCCTCGTACTGACTTATTGCTGCAGCGGGAATAGGTTTCAAAATGTTCTCACCGATGAGGCACTACAGGGCGCAGAGTCCGTCCTTGGGGGTGTGACGGAGCTGCAGCTGGGAGAGACGCTGCTGAGCTGGCAGGAGTTGTGCCTCATAGCCAGCAAATGCCCTTCTTTGACCACCCTCCTCGTAGGGTCCAACCAGCTGTCGACTTTGCCACCTACAGGCGAACTCAGTCTACCATTGACTCTGACATCCATCAATCTGGAGTACAACGACTTCACGAGCCTGTCAGACATTGCCTGCCTGACGTCGCTCAAGGCCCTTCGCCATCTGCAACTCAAGGGAAACAACATATCAGCAATCACCGCCTCCTCCGACTCTCCCCCGGTCGTCTTCCCTCCTTCCGTGCAATACGTCGATCTCTCTTACAACAAGATTGACAGCTGGGCCTTTGTCGACAAGCTGACGGCGGCCTTCCCCGGCATGACCGGGCTCCGCATCACGCACAACCCAATCTACTACTCCATAGACGCCGACTCCAACGCGCAGTCGTCGGACGAATCCTTCATGTTCACCGTCGCCCGCATCGCGCCGCTCAAGACGCTCAACTTTACGCACATCTCCGCCACGGACCGCACCAATGCCGAAATGTTCTACCTCTCGCGCATCGCGAAGCAGCTCGCCACCGTGCCCGAGGCGGCGGAAGATTCCGTCAAGGCCCTGCACCCGCGGTACGATGAGCTGTGTGCGGCGTATGGTGAGCCGGACGTCATCCGCCGCGAGGAGGTGAACCCCAATTTCCTCGAGGCTCGCCTCGTCACCGTCGAGTTCCATTACGAGGCGGCGGCGGCGGCGGCGGCGGCCCTAGAAGGTTCGAAGAAGAAGAAGAAGACGACGAGGACCGTCAGGATCCCCAAGGCCTTTGACATTTACGCCGTCAAGGGTATAGTGGGCAAGATGTACGGCTTGGCGCCCCTCAAGCTACGTCTGATCTGGGAGACGGGCGAGTGGGATCCCGTGGCCGGGTATGATGAAAAGGACGGCGATGACGACGGCAGCGATGATGACGAAGATGAAGAGATGGCGGAAGCGGACGGAGACGGCCAGGAGGCGGCAGCAGGAGGGGGTGAAGCCGATGACCAGGCAGGGCGGTGGGTGAAGAGGGAGGTTGAGCTGACGGATGGGCCGAAGCAGCTGGGGTACTGCGTCGATGGGTTGAGGGTGAGGATCAGAGTCGAGGCATCACGCAACTAGCTAGAACACGTGCTTCTCCTTAGAAATAGAAGAGTTGATGATGAATGAACACTATCTTGAGTTTTCAATGGTATTGCCCTTGTGCATGTTTTCCCTCCAATGGTTTCATCAGGTGGAAATCATGACACACAAGGTTGATGCTCGTTGGATGGAACAAGGAGCTCAATGGGGGAGTATCTTTTCAACTTTAGAGATGTGACCATACGTACATTTGCTGAGCCGAACGAATCTCTTGACAATTACGTACGCGACGAGGAGGAGATGCAATATGCAAACGTAATACATACTCGTAGCCGTAAGGCGCCCACCGTTACACATACTACTCACACACATAGACACCACCGACATATGATAGGTATGTTGTCATTCTCACGCCCTTCTTCTCCTCCACCTCCTGCTTTTGCGGATTTCCGCAGCAAAAGCGTCAAGCATCTCATTCAATTGTCCCCCCCCTCTTTCGCCAAGACCACGGGAGAGGGACCCCCGATGACAGACTTTCACCATTCCTAGTTGTGTGTGGGGAAAATTTGGTCCAGACGATTGTCGACGTGGGCCATAGGATTCAAGCATCAAGACTGGAGGAAAAAGCAACCTTACCTTGTAAGCTTTACTATTTCCCCGTTCCTCCGTCTTTTTTTTCGCGGGGAATGTCGCCCTTTTCAGGCTTTTGGCCCTTTGCCTATTTGTGTATTGTGTGTGTGAGAGTGTATGTTAGCCAAGGTATATAAGGGACGTCATATACTAGACACAATGGGGGAGATGAAGCAGTAGGCAAAGCAGACCAAGATACAGACTTGTCTTTCCTTCCAAGGTCGAAAAGCCATTTCCTCTCAAAGGATCGCGATCACACAACTCACCAAGTCACACTTCACCTCCTTGTTCATCTCCTCTCACAAAACAACAAACAAAAGATGCTCTTCGTAAACGCCATCTGGCTGTTCCTCGCCGCCACCTCAGCCTCAGCATCATCCTCCTCCTCCTCCTCCCCCTCCTTCACATGGCACTGGCGCAACAACCCGGGCGTCAAGCCCGTCTCCCCCCTCGGCCGCACCGTCACCATCGACGTGCCCCCGGACACCGACATCTGGCGCCCGGCCCTCTCCAAGCACAACTTCACCGCGCCCTACCTCTACACCGCCGTCCCCGCCTCGCGCTTCCAGAGCGTCCAGGTCACCGTCACGGCGCCCTGGAAGACGCTCTACGACCAGGGCGGCCTCGTCCTCTCCTTTCCTAACAAGCACAACAGTCCCAATCGCGAGCGCTTCATCAAGGCCGGCATCGAGCTCAACGACGGGGCTCCCGCGCTGGGCGTCGTCGCGACGGACATCTTGTCCGACTGGAGCCTGAGCCCCATCATCACGGAGCAGCAGCCGCAGACGACGGGGGAGAACGCAAAGGCAACGATACTGGTCGAGCGCGATGGTACCGATGCGTGGGTGTATGTGCTCGAGAACCAGGGCAGCACGAGGCGCGCGCTGAGGCAGGTCATTTGGGCGTTCAACGAGGACGACGCGCAGGGCCTGGCGAGGGAGGTCGAGGTTGGCATCTATGGTGCGAAGCCGACGGAGGAGTCGGGCGAGGGCCATGCGAGGGATGGCATTGCCGTGACGTTTTCGGGGTTCGCGCTGGAGATTGTCTGAAGATACATAGTTATTGGGGGCGTTTGTGTGTTGATGATGCTTCTGCCTGCCTACTAGCCCTTTGATAGTATTAGTTGGTGGTTCGCGTCAAATTCTGCAAAAGCTCGTTTGCTGCTGCACCTGGTGAATTGCCAAAGTCCGTTCGCCCTGAATAAGCCTCGAGTTTGATGCCTCTTCCTAGCACAGTTGATAGTCTGTTTCAAAGTCATTTTTTCTGTAAAGTTGGCTACTTCTCGCGTGGAAATTGCCCAAAGTCCGTTACTGAATAGTAGCCTCGTCTGTTGCGTTGTCCCTGAACGGGATTAATATCGCCGTATACGCAACACATGTCCGGAGTAAAGCACAGCCACGCTATTGTAATGCCAAAAAGAACAGAATCGAGTCCCATCGAATCTACGTCGGGCCATACAAGTTATCAATCTAAACCGGCAATGCACAAACATCTCCGGAGGGCGAAGGGCGAGATCGGTTCATGCCCCCCAGCTCTCGCGCTCCGATCGCCGTCAGGAGATAGTCTAACCCCGTCAAACCTCGAAATACGCTCCCCGGCATAACACACACACACACACACACACAAGGAGCGTAAAAGAAAACAAGGTTTAGCGCCCGACTATCGAACGCGTGCCCGCCAACGGGATAGTAAGTAAGGACTTTGTATCTCCTTGCGAAAAAGTTTCTAGAATCCGGAGACCGGGGCGCTAATAAGGCTGGGCAGAGGATCGGGTTTGCGCCGTCGGGATAAAGTGAATAGTATGCAGAAAGCCGCGTCGTTATATCCGATTGCCCAAAGGGGAAGTATGGTGTCGTTACATCATTGTCGCAAATTGCTGAACAAGCAGCGGGGCTGGATGGCGATAGTCGTTCTACTATATAGAGAGGTGGGATGCTTAGGAGAATGAGTTGTTTTTGAGGCAAGAGTGGAGAGACATTGGTAAGAGCTTCTAAGAAGACTATCCTTTTGCTCCCGACAGCTTCGCTTGTGCTTCACTTAGAACTATTCGATTCATATAAAACAACACAGAGCAAGATGCCTACGGTTATCGGCAGAGAAGTTGGCCCCATCGGCTACGGCCTCATGGGTGAGTCGGAACGAACATGAAGGAAAAAGTTCTTCCTGTTACTGACATTTCCTTCAGGCTTCACTTGGCGACCAGAGCCTACCCCTGTGGACCAGGCCATTGCCGCTCTCAAGACAGCAGTTGAAAATGGCATGACCCTCTGGAACGGCGGCGAGTTCTACGGCACTCCCGAGTGGAACTCCATGACGCTGCTCAAGGCATACTTCACCAAGTACCCAGAGGACGCCGACAAGGTCACGCTCATCATCAAGGGCGGAGCGGACCTCAAGACGCACAAGCTCGACGGATCTCCCGAGGGCATCCGACGCTCACTCGACAACATCCTCAACCAGCTCGGAGGCGTCAAGAAGCTGGACCTCTTCAGCTGCACGAGACGTGACCCCAACACTCCCCTCGAAGTGACCTTTGGAGTCATCCAGAAGGAGTACATCGACACGGGCAAGCTTGGTGCCATCGCGCTTTCTGAGGTCAGCGCCCAGACCATCCACGAAGCGGCCAAGATTGCCAAGATCGGTACCGTCGAGGTCGAGCTGAGCATGTTTTCTCCGGATATCCTTACCAACGGTGTTGCCGCGGCTTGTGCCGAACACGACATCCCCATCACCGCCTACTCTCCCATTGGACGAGGAGTAAGTTCAATCTCTCTACTCGAAACCACTCGCCGCATACAGATTAGCTGACTCCATAAACCGCAGATGCTCGCCGGTAGGTTCAAGGACCCTCAAGAAGTCAAGGTCCTCGGCTTTATTGCTTCGTTCCCGCGCTTCCAGAAGGAGGCCTTTGAGCACAACATGAAGCTGGTCAACCACGTCGAGAGCCTCGCCAAGGAGAAGGGCTGCACTCCGGCCCAGCTCGCCATTGCGTGGGTGCACGGTCAGGGCAAGCGGCCCGGTCGACCAACCATCATCCCCATCCCCGGCGCGACTACCGTCGAACGTGTCAAGGAGAACTCGAAGCTTATCGAGCTGACGGAGGAGGAGGTGAAGAAGATCGACACCATTGTCGAGTCATTTGACGTGGCTGGCGCTCGCTACCCTCCCGGCGTGCCCATCAGCACCTAGACGAGCAGTTGCTTCTTTTACCAGCGTCTGATTATGTATGTTAGAAACAGCACATATAAAGTTCAATCGACAAGCAAGCAGAGCGTTGTGAAATCAAGAGGTCAGGGGTGAAATTGTCCACAGACGGTCAAATTGGCTTGAGCCAAGATGACCTTGAGCATTGCAGAATTCATCGAAATGAATACATCATGGTGCAGGTCGACACAAAGAAAGGAGCGTATAATGGTTCAAACTTACTCTATCCATGCCATTGCATCCTCAATTGAGTCAGCCAAGCGCCAGTCCGAAGAGTCATTTCGTGTTAGGCGAGTGAAGAAGTGTTCAGAAAGAAGGCAAAAAGGTCTGCTGCGGGTAAAATATCTCGTCTATGGAGGCTCACGTGACACTAAGAAAGCGGGTAGCTGAGAACTTAATCCTCACCACTTCAACCCCTGTCAGATACTGGGAAACTGTAAAGACAGCCATCAAGGTAGGATAGAAATCCTGAAGAAAGCTTACACCTCAAAAATAATCGTTGCTCATAATCTCTTCTACCTCACACTGGTCTAGGGGTATACATAGAAGCTCACCGTCATCAGTCATTGCACATAAGGATACCAAGAAAAGGAACATTAAAGGGTGCCATGCATGCCATAAACCAAAAAGGGGGAAAGAAAAAAGAAGAAATGCTAAACCATCATCGCTCCATTCATGCCCACGGCCTCCACCCTGTTGACAAGCTTCTTCACATTGGCCCATTCTTCATTCTTCAGTCCTTCCTTGCCGCCCAAGCCGCTCGCCACTTCAAAGACGGTAAGGGAGCCGTCGATGCCTCCGGTGGCCACGCGTTTGCCGTCGTTGGGCTCCCAAGCCAGCTTATTTAAGCTCTTGGATAGCATCGTCCTACCATCTTTCCGGCTGCTCGGTGAGATTCTCGATACCGGCTCCTCCGTGTCTATGGCAATGTCCCAGAACTCCAGCCATCCCGCTCCGTCCACGAGGGCGAAGACGCTGGGCTTCACAGGTGACCACCTGGCATCGTAGACAACGTCCTCGCGGACAAAATCTATCAGCGGTGAGATGGCACCATCCCCAGCACCAATCGTCGACGTGGCCGCAGGAGCACGAATCTTCCAGAGCTTGACGCTCCAGTCCAGCGACGACGAGATGGCCAAGTCGCCGAGATCCACGGGGCCCCTGGCGGGGTGGAAGTCAACCGACATGACAGGGGCCGCATGCCCCTTGTAGCTGATCTTCTTGTCGACACCGGCCTTGGCGCCGGCGCGGTCGTATCGGTGGCAGGGGAATATTGTGCCCTCTTCGCTTCCGACGAGGAAGAATGTGGGGTCCGTCTGGGGAAATGATAGACAGGTAGGGCTGACATCTTCGACCGCCACCTTTGCCTGGCTGGGATTCTTCAACTCGAGCAGCTCTTGTGGCTGCGCAAACACGTCCATGCTCCAGCCGCAGACAACGCCGTCTGTGGAACATGAGATGATATTATTGGCGTTCTGCGTACCCACAATGTCCACGCAGTAGATTGGGTGTGCGTGGCCGTAGCCCGTCAACGGTGTCTTTTGCACCGGCGCAGACTTGGCTCGAGTATCCCATAGCAGGACCTGGCCGCTGTACGAGCCGCCAACAATGAGGTTCGGATGGTAGGGCGAGAACTTTGCCGTAAGGATATCGGACTGGGCGGTGAAGACATACTCCGGCCGGTTGTGCATGTGGACGTTCCAGACCTGGACGAGGCCATCGGGTTCGTGGGGTGCTGTTGGATTCTTGGTGTAGGACGCGAGCACGAGCTCGTTGAATTTGGGAGAAAAGTCTATTCCACTGATCATTCGCTTTTTAGACCAACGATCATCGAAGAACTGCGTCACCTCCTTGACTCGATGCGCCCCCTTGCCTCCCGTGTTGCCGCTTTCTTCGTCTTTGTCTTCGAGATCCTTGCCATGCAGGGCGTAGTCGGTAAGAATATCATATGTCTCCTGGTCCAGGGCCCTCTCAATCACCTTTGTCGACTGCTCCAGGAAATCGACAAATTCGTCCGAGTGGGTGACGGCTTCCAGTTCTTCGGCAGTAAGTTCTCTGATCGGATAGTTGTGTGTGGAAAAGGGCTGGGCTGCCGCAGCGCCCTCGGCCATGCGCTCTTTGGTCGCCCGCAGCTCTTCTTCCACCTCTTGTCGGATTTTCTGGCGCAGCTCCTCCTCTCGATCCCGCTCCTTTCTGCTTAGCCGTTTGTTCGGCGTTGATGTCACGAAGTCGTCTGCATCAGAGGCAATCGATTGAGCCCTTGTTCTGGTCGGCGTAGCCCAGTCATCCGTCGTCTGTACACCTTTGCTGTAGGAAAAGACCTCCTTGACAGGACTCGGCGGGCACTCGTACACGGTAGTCAGAGGCACCGTGGTAAGATTCAGCGCCACAGGGGTAGGGCCCGGCGTCGCTTGTCCACCTTGTCCGGTCAGGGACGCCGTCCATTCGGAGGTCACATTGCTGATTTCGCCGCCGCTGAGCACACTATTCGGCCTGCTTCCACGGGGCGCAGGCGATCCAGGGGGTCCGGTCCCGATGGAGCTGGGCCTGCTACTACCGACCAAGCTGTCAATCAGGGTTTCGATCTCGCGGCGACTGTCGCCTCGGGGTGTTGGTGATACGAGCTGTGTCAAACAGTCTGTCAGCGGACGCGCGCAAGGTCAACATTGGGCGAACGGGCTGAAGAAAGGACAAACCTCGCTGGGCGAGCTCATGCCAGTGCGGTTGTACGGCGTCTGGTTGGAAGCCCGAAGCTCCCTCTGGCGCTTAAGCTCTGCGAGCTTCGCCTTTTTGGCAAGAATCTCTTCTCGACGTTGCTGCATCGTGATTTCGCCCAAGTCCCATCGCGGGACTCGCCAGAACAGGAGGGTGAGGCCAAGGTGCGCCGGATCAAGGAGGGAGGTCAAGCCACGGCGCCACGGAGGGTTTCGCAGCAAGACAGCGCTTCAGAGGGGGGCGGGGTCCGAGTAGTAAGGCGTTGGGCAGTTTTGCAGAGGGATGACATGAAATGAAGGGAAGCGGTTGAGTAATGGAAGAATGAGGTGGTGAGGACAGCGATCTGGTCGGGTCACTCCTTTTCCATCCTCTGTAGGAATATGTATTTGGGAACCACAGAAGCCTGCCGTTCACCGTACAGTAGGCACTGGCCCTCTGTCTGTCGGTATCGGCAGCTAGAGGCGATTGCCGTCCATTGAGCTTATCGCCTAACGTCTGGTCACCGTGGACCTGCGGCCAGCGCTGGCAGCACGTGACTGCAGCGCCTGCTAGTGCTGGAGCCCAGGCCTGGAGCCGGGCCAGCAGCGGCCGTCCGGGCCTGGAAAAACTGAGGTGCGACTTTTCCCGAGGACATTTTCAAATCTTCATCCCAGGCCCAGTCCCAGTCCCCCAGCCGACGCAACAATTCCCTCGACCTCTTCGCCCGGGTTCCTCGACGGCCATTGTCGACCCCCCAGATCCGCCCGCTCTCCCCGAACTCTGTCTGCAGCAGCCGCGCGACCTGCGATTTTTACCATGTCGTCAACGGGAGTCAACGTACGTTCTTGCATTTGCAGTCCTCACCCTCGCAGAGCCCAACCGCAGCCGTCCCGCATCGGCCTCGACCCTGCGCCGCCCGCGTGCAATTGGCCCTCCCTTGGCGACGCAAGGCTGATTCAAGTGTGATTCCAGGTCCTCCGGTGGTCCGCCCTCGCCTTTGGCGTCTTCTACGGCTTCTCCCACCAGCGCACAATCACTGCGACACAGCGAGCTCAGCACGCGCAGCACGAGTACGAGCAGAAGCAGAAGCTGATAGAGCAGGCCAAGGCCGAGTACGCGAAGAAGACGAAGCCGGCCGCGGCAGCAGAGAATGATGGTACGCACATTTGCGAGGGGGTGGCATGGCGCCTGTCTCCTTTGTCTCCTTTCTCCCCCGCGGGGTTATTGCAAGCCGGCCCACGGGATGGAGGGGGGGAGGGGATAGGGGATGCACATGTCAGGATTTGGACCAGCAAAGCTAACTCTGGAATAGCCGCTACGGATGTCAACAGCCCGGAATTTGACCTCGAGAAATACCTACTGAAGATCTCCAAGGAGAACCCTTGACCGAACCAAAGCGCGGGCTGATGGAGGGGTGCTGAGCAAAGCAAGAGATGCATGCTGAAAAGCGAGTGAGAGAGAGATTCGGGCGAACAAAATCTGGTCGTCGAGGAGACGCAAAAAAGCCTTGAGAGGCGTAATGAGACACCACAGACTGCAAAGGCAGTGTATATCTGAAATTACACATGGCGCCGCTGCATAGAGGTTTCCTGGGGTCTTTTTTTGTTTTTGGTGAGCTGTACCATGTAAAAATATGCGCAATTAGACGTTTCAAAATGGAAAAAAGAAAAGCTACAAAGTATCGCCAAGACTGTGAGAAGCAGTAGATCCCCATGACTGACGGTTTCCCCATGCATATGAGAGGAGCCCTGCGACTGCGAGAATAGCAGTTGATATCATCGAGAGGTGCAGTATCAACGAGGTGGAACGATATCTCGCACCAACGGATGTTTTGACTCTTATCTTTCTTTTACATACCGTCGTTAAAGATGTACCAAAGCACGAGATCACACGGTCTCTCTTCCCTCAAAGATCCCGAGCAACATCTGACAAACTCAAGACAGCTTCCCACAGCTTCAACTCTCATTCATGCCCGTTTCCACTTTTCCAATTGGCGCATGAAGCTCCAAGACACTCGTGTGTGATAACATGCTGAAACTGCCGCCCCGGGAAAACACCGGACCCCGGCTCTGCCCCACAGCGTTCTTGACATACGTAGCACCTTGATAAAGAAAGCTCCAAGCTGTCCTCACCACAGACCACCTGCGCGCGGCTTCTGAGGGTCAGATCGAAGAATCTCCATCAAACTGAGATTCACCCTCGACACCAGTAGCCACAATGGCGGCAAAATCCCCCCAAGGGCCCGCCGTAGGCTACACCACCGACAGCACGCGGACGCTGCTCCGGGTTGTCATTCTGTGCTTCATTGCCGCCGCCGCCATCTCCAGCCGTCTCTTCTCGGTTATTCGTAAGCTGCTCCTCCAGCCAGCGGCCAGGCTGTTTGGCGATGCGATGCTGCAGCATCAGCCCAATTGCGTTGCCCAATTGCCGCCGTGGTGGTCTCCAGAGTCTAGAGAAGCTTGCTGACTTGCCTTGTACCAGGATTTGAAAGCATCATCCACGAATGTTAGTGACATACACCATGCCATCCATGGTCCGTCCAGACGCCGCAGACTAACAAACCACATCTAGTCGATCCCTGGTTCAACTTCCGCGCAACAAAGTACCTCGTCGCAAATGGCTTCCACAAGTTCTGGGACTGGTTCGACGACCGAACATGGCATCCTCTTGGCCGAGTCACCGGAGGCACCCTGTATCCCGGCCTCATGGTCACCAGCGGCGCCATCTACCACGCCCTCAGGACGCTGACAGTCCCCGTCGACATCCGCAACATCTGTGTCCTGCTTGCGCCGGCCTGCTCAGGCCTGACTGCGTTTGCCACATACCTTCTGACCAACGAGATGACGACGTCGCCATCTGCCGGCCTCCTGGCTGCCGTCTTCATGGGCATCGCGCCGGGTTACATTTCGCGATCCGTCGCCGGCAGCTACGACAACGAGGCCATTGCCATCTTCCTCCTCGTCTTCACCTTTTACCTGTGGATCAAGGCCCTGAAGCTGGGATCCATGCTCTGGGGAGCCCTCTGCGCGCTCTTCTACGGATACATGGTGGCCTCGTGGGGTGGATACGCCTTCATTACCTGTCTGCTGCCCGTCCATGCGCTGGTCCTCATCTGCATGGGCCGATACAGCACTCGCCTCTACGTCAGCTACACCACCTGGTATGCCCTGGGAACATTGGCCAGCATGCAGATTCCTTTCGTCGGCTTCCTGCCCATCAAGACCAGCGAGCATATGCCCGCTCTCGGTATGAGCATTCGCTGTCCGTGATGCTGGCGTCAATATGTATCAACTAACATTGTTTCCTTAGGCATCTTCGGCTTCATCCAGCTCATTGGTTTCATCCAATATGTGCGATCTGCTATTTCTGGGCGCCAGTTCCAGACCTTCCTTGTCACGATCCTCGTGGCGACCTTTGGACTCGGTCTGCTTGGTCTCGTCGCGCTCACTTCTCTGGGCTACATTGCTCCCTGGAGCGGACGCTTCTACTCGCTGTGGGACACTGGTTATGCCAAGATCCACATTCCCATCATCGCCTCCGTCTCTGAGCATCAGCCCACCGCCTGGCCGTCCTTCTTCTTCGACTTGAACTTCCTTATCTGGCTCTTCCCCGCCGGTGTCTATCTGTGCTTCCAGGATCTCAAGGACGAGCACGTCTTCGTCGTCGTGTATGCTTTGTTTGGAAGCTACTTCGCCGGCGTCATGGTACGTCTGATGCTCACGCTCACGCCCGTCGTCTGTGTTGCCGCCGCCATGGCAGCCTCTCAGATTCTCGACACCTACCTCTCCTGGAAGACGCCTGTTCCCGTCGAGGAAGAGCAGGAGGCGCCAAAGAAGGCCAAGGGCGGTCTCCGCGGAAGCGACAAGCCCACTGTCGGCATTTACAGCAACCTCACCAAGGTGATGGTGTCTGGATCGATGCTCGTCTACCTCCTGATGTTTGTCTCTCACTGCACCTGGGTCACCTCAAACGCCTACTCCTCGCCCTCAGTGGTTCTTGCCAGCCGTATGCCGGATGGAAGTCAGCACATCATTGACGATTACCGGGAGGCTTACCAGTGGCTGCGCCAAAACACCAAGGAGGATGCCAAAATCATGTCCTGGTGGGACTACGGCTACCAGATCGGTGGCATGGCCGACCGCCCTACGCTGGTCGACAACAACACCTGGAACAACACCCACATTGCTACCGTCGGCAAGGCAATGAGCTCAAGAGAAGAGGTCAGCTACCCCATTATGAGGCAGCACGAAGTGGACTACATCCTCGTCGTCTTCGGTGGCCTCTTGGGCTACTCTGGCGATGATATCAACAAGTTCTTGTGGATGGTCCGCATCGCTGAAGGCATTTGGCCCGAGGAGGTCAAAGAGCGAGACTTTTTCACTCCTCAGGGAGAGTACCGTGTTGATGAAGGTGCCACCGAGACCATGAAGAACAGCTTGATGTAAGTGGACCAAAGTAGAGAAACGAGGTCGCTCAATGCTAACGACGAGCTTAGGTACAAGATGTCGTACTACAACTACGCCTCTCTATTCCCTGCTGGGCAGGCCGCTGATAGAGTCCGTGGCGTCCGAATACCCGACCAGGGGCCTGTTCTCAACACGATTGAGGAGGCTTTTACCAGCGAGAACTGGATCATTCGCATCTACAAGGTCAAGGACCTGGACAACATTGGTCGTGACCATGCCAATGCCGCAGCCTTTGAGCGCGGCCAGAAGAAGAAGAAGCCCACCAAGAAGAGGGGCGCCCGTGTGCTTCGCGTGGATTGAAAAGACTAAACGTGTGTTTACGGAGGGATATCTAAGGGAGGCTCACAGAAGCCAACAAAAAGAAGGCTGGGGCTCGAGTGCTTCCGTATTATCTAGGCAGCAGCTACCTAGTCTAGAGTGTATATCAATTCTATTGTCTGAAGAGATCATATTCACGAGACGATTGTCGTCTCTTGCTCTTGACTGTGACTGGTGTGCAAGGCCGAAGCTGATGTTACGATTCAGTTCATATGTCCAGATCCAGAGTTTATGAACACGTCCGATGGTTTACCCCTATCTCGCTGGATCACGTCGAGGCACCTTCATCAACAGACAACATCAGTCGGATGTACTAGATCTATTCCATCCAGTCTTTGACTGCACAATCCTCTCGAGATTTGATACTGTCAACTTCCACCGAATAAAAGCTTGGGCCTCGTGGTGACAGCCTTGACAGCTGCGAGGGCACAGGCGGAAGGGGCTCGCCAGCTGGCACACAATTCGCTTCCACAGCACATCTAGAATAATTCTTCCAGTCGCGCTTTTTCATCCCAAGTCACCTTCGCTTCACTTTCATCTCACTTTTTTTCTCACTTTCCCTCTTCTCTCTTCCACTCACTTTCCGTCTCCTCCGCTCTCGCCTCTTCTCCTCCCGACTTCCTTCTCTGACAACCTTCGACCTCCACCTCCACCTCACTTCCTCTACCATTCATTCAATTGTTTCGCTTTTCTCCCCCTTTTTTGTCCTCTGGATAACAATACCCTATTGGTTTCCACCTCTGGATAACAATCGCCCTCTCGAATTCCACCTCGCCTCACTCTTCACCTATTCAGGTCCCCGGCACAATGGGTGGAAGCAGCAAGAAGAACCGACGCAAGAACCCTGCAGATGACAATGAAGTCGATCTCCTCACTCTTGCTTTCAATATACCCACGCGCCGTGACTTTGAACGTGCAGAACGAGAGGTGGCCCAGGAGGAGATCCACACGCAGGGCGTCCGAGTCCAATACGACGCCGGCGAAGACGAGTCCTCCCTCCTTTCTCAACCAGACATCACCCGATCAGACACTCCCGACGCCGACGAGACGCCAAAGGCTCGCAAGCTCTTCAAGCCTCGCCATCAGCTTCACGCCAAGGAACACGCAGCTGCTGTTCAAGCTTCGTCCCCCAACGACCATCTGAAGCCCGCCGACCAAGAGCCGCCCCCAATGCGACGAGCTTCGCGGCGGGAGTCCAAGTCCTCCAAGGCTCGTGAGAGGGCCTCCTCGAGCCCAGCCTCGTTCAGGGCTCCCTCTCCCGCCTTTGCCATCCCGGCTTCGGCCACTTTCCCTCGCGCAGTCCCCAATTACGCCCAGCAAGGTGCTAGTTTCGCTGCTCCAGACGCTTCCACCAGGCCTCTTCATCCCAGCATTGGCGGCTATCAGCCTGTGTTTGCTTATCCCGCGGTGTCCGTGTACCCTCCGCCGCCTCAATATTACTCGCCTGTACCCAGTGATCCTGTTGCTGGTGGCCACCAATACGCACCCTTTCCCATGACCCCAAAACCCGCTGCCAATGCTCACGCAACCCCCCAACCGTCCGGTTTGGTTTCCCAGCAAGTCCAAGATATTCAGAGCAAGCTTGACGAAGTGATTATGAAGCTGTCTCAGCACCCAGAGGATGTTGCTTTGAAGAGCACCTTGTCGACTCTACAGACCAAACTCAACACCAAATTGAATTCGCTGTTGGGCATGGAGACGCGAAAGGAGTCAGAGGCTTCGGATGTTCCTACGACTCACGATTCGAAGTCCACACCAGCTCAGCCGCAGGCCGCTGCGCAGCAAGACAAAAGCCACAAGAGGACAATTCGCCATCACCTGTGTACCGGCTGCGGCAATGTTCGCTCTCCCGACTATCACAACAAGCATCCCCTCATCCCAGGAGGCAATCCTTCCATGAACTATTGCGAAGACTGCTTTGAAGAGAAAGTCGAGAATGGGGACTCAAAGTATCACTTCTGCTATGGCTGCGGAGCTGCTAGGTCAAAGGAGTTTCATCGCAACCATCCAATCTCCAGAGGCGATACACCTTTTCCAAACTACTGCTCGGTATGCATCGAGGAAGTTCGATCTGCCGAGACTATTGCTGATGTCTCCATGGTGAACTTTGTGAGTACTTTGACCGCCGCCCTGCAAAGACATACATCAGAGCGAGACTAACGGAAAGTCAATTGCAGAATCCTGGAAGCCGTCCCAACAAGAACGGTGCATCCCACTACGGCGCCGCGCGCGATCAGGCTCAGGGCAGCAAATTCATCAATGCATTTGGGCCAACGCAAGAGATGAGTGACCAGGAGGATCAACCAGACGTCTTGTTGTTTTCGGCACACAGCGAAACGAGCGAACAAGTTCACCCTCGGGAGAAGAAAAAGATTCCACAACCGCTGAAGCTCTCGACGAGCGGTCCCCAGCTGAGCCCCTCGAACTCTTCACCCGATTCTCCGTACTACCCAGTTCGCCATGCTGGAACAACCCAGAGGCGAGCGCAGAGAAGCCCGCTGACTAGCCCCGGCAGTCAATACTGCAGCTCCCCTGATACTCCGCCCACGCCCAAGTATCAGCCCCCTTACGTTGAGGATGTTGTTTCGCCCACCCAAGAAACGAAGCTGCCATTTGGAGAAACACAGACCGATCCAACTACGCCTGGCAAGCAGTACTCTCAGGAGAACCGTGCTCATCACTCTACAAAGGCTGCTAAGCCTGGTAGTCCCCAAGAAACATCTGACGGCTCTACCGAAGGGCAGACTTTCACTGATGACTCGGCTCATTCCATCGGAAGCAAGTCTGTGAAGTTCAGGCCAAAAGTTGACATCCGATTCTCAGACTCTCGTACATCGAGCAACGCCTCCTCTCATGCCCAGGTTGTCGAAGAAGATATCAAACCAGACGAAGATACTATACCCAGCCGTGTGGGCATATACGGAACCTCGCCAGTCAAGTCATCGGGCGGCTATTACTCGAGACATCAGACGTCTCACGGCGTACCATCCTCTGTTGCCGCAGAGGACGAAGCGAACGAAACCATCCCGGAGAGAAGCTACAGAGGAGCCTTTTCCAAGGACAGCCCCGCGGCTTCGTGGCTGCCCCCTACATCCAATGCTGGGAATTACTGGTACTCGACTCCCTCGGCGTATCACAGTCCCACGTCCCCAAGCACCGAAAGTTTCACTGGATATCGGCCTGGTGCCCGCTCGACCTTCAATTATGGCTCCGGTGGTATTGGAATGGGGGCTACAGGAGTGCCGCCACCGCTTCATACAACTCGCAGCAGCCCGGGACAGCCCAGTACCAAGGAGGGCTCAGAATCCCAAAAGTCTCCCAAGTCCCCCAATTCTGGCCCACAACATCAAACGTTTGCTGGATCCCCCGGCAATGGCTGGAGTTATTCTTACTCGTCGTCTTACGGGGGAGGGCAAGCCGACGAGTCCACGTTCAGGAAGCCATCGCCCTGGAGTACCTTCTCCTCTTGGTATGACCCCGAATGTCATACAATGCGAGAAGACTCTTCGTACAGTCAGGACTACAGTGACTATTCTCAGCCGAGTTCCAATCCTTACTATCAACCTCGCAAACGAAGCTTTCCGGATCTGAGCAGCTATTGCTCCTTCGGCACTCAACCCCGCCGCACTCCCGGCAAATGGGCAAAAGAGTATAAAAGCACAACGACAAAGGCGCCCAGGCCGACGCCGTATTGGATCCCTGAACCCATCATTGAGGAGCCGGATTCCCCCGACAGTTCGCCGGCAAAGAAGCCCAGCATGATCGGTAGGCTGATAAGGTCATGATCTGTCCTACCTCGTCCTCTAGCTAACAGTATTTCAGAGTTCAACATTGAGATCTCTCCCAAGTCGACCAGCAATACCGCCACTAGCTCGTCCCCTGATTCTGTGGAAGACGACTTGGACCGCATTGCCGGATCCGAAACAGATGGCGACTCCGACGAAGAGAATGATCTCAGCAACAGCAGCCTTGACACGCCATCTCTTGATTAAGCTTGTGGGAAATGTGAAAAGTTGCAGCCTGACAGTAATTCGGATTTGCTATGCAACCACCATGTATCTGTGTCATTTTTTCTTTTCTCTTTCCTTCTTTTTTCCCCCCTTTTTCTACTAACCGCCTTGTTTGCTGTGGGATCAACCGCTTGTTAATTTGTATGAAATCTTTACCGTAAATTCGGAACGATGTCTGACAGGCCAGAGCTGCTTTTGCGTCGCCATGCTCAGTTCTTTTCTTTTTATATTTTGCCTTTTGCGCTTGATTCGTTCGATATTTTCCTTTGGTATTCTTCCTTCCTTGTATCTCTGGTTTTTTTTGGTGCGTTATGCGGCTCTATCTCTTTGTGTTTTTTCATGGTACACTGTACTTTTCTCCTTTTTCTTTTTCTCTTTCCTCTTTCCACCTTTCCGTCTTATCACATTGAGAAGGTTACGCATGGGTGAAGGAATACTCAGCGCTACGCCATTGCTCTCGTCCCGGGCGAGGAAGTTTTGGTATGCTGATACTTGTTCCACATTGGTGACGATGGATACGTTTGGGGGGGAACAATGGTGGAATTGACTCTTTGACTGTCCGAGCAGGGTTCGCTCTGGGCTTGTCGAGCAAAGGGGGGGTTTTTCCATCACGTGGTGGTCGACTTCAGCGCCAGGATCAAGGGAGGCTTTCGTTAGAGAGTGGCCAACGTCAACGTCAGGGCCAAGGGAGGCAGCAGAGAGATGTGATTTGTTTTTGCGATTGAGATTGCATTAGCTAGCCAAACGGTCTAATAAATTCGGGGATTTTGCAACGCCTATGTGGTATATGCCATGTTTGTGCATGAACAGCGCTCATGACAAGTCAATATGTCGCCAGATATTGTCCTTCCCCCACAGATCCTGTCCTAATTCCATCCATCCAGTCCCGGCCATCCATCCATCCATCCATCCATCCAACTCGGGCGTCCCTTTTTGTTTCATCTATAAAGAAAACAACATAAGAGGCAGAGGAAAGACAAGATACAAAAATTCATTCAACTGGTATAACAAACGATTTCTTTTTTTCCCAAGCAGTTACAAGCATAAAAGGACAAGAACAGAGCAAGGCAAAATACAAGCAGATCGATAAAGAACAGAGCTTGAGGTGAAAAGATAGGGGAAAGACATGATATGCTCGCTTCCGCGCGTTTGCTTACATGATCTCTCTTTATGGTACATCAAAAAGAAAAACAAAGAAGGGAAAGATGATGAATTACCTAGCCAGAAAAGGGGAGAAAACTTGAAGGGGGAAAAAGAAAAGATGAAGAAGCAGAGAAGCATCATCTGATGGAATAGCCGGCGTACGACCCCTTCCTGGAAAGAGAAGAGCCCTGCCTCGAAGCCAAGAACTCAATGGCGGCCAGCCTGCTCTGCTCAAAGACGTGGCTCCTGTTGCGCTCCAGGTCGATGCGCCGCAGGCGCTCGGCGTTGTCGGCCTCGAGGGCGAGCTTCATCCGCTGCTTCTCGGCCTGCCTGTCGGCCGTCTCGCGGCTGCGTTCCTCGGCCCGCTTGAGGGAAGCCTCGCGGATGCGCCGCTCGGCGCGCTGGCACGCGACGTCGAGCGCCTTGGCCACGGCGACGCTTGCCAGCTCGAGGCGCCTCTGCGGATCCTCGCGCCGCAAGCGCGAGCCGCCCCATAGGCACTGGAAGATGACCTTTGTCTGCTCCTTGCCGTCCTGCGAGTTCCACAGGTCCAGGACGTCTCCGGTGTAGATCTTGGTCCAGTGGACCGAGGGCGCCGAGGGGGTCTCCGGATTGCTCGAGGGGATGCGCTGCCCGTTGATGGAGATGCCGATGGTGGCCTTGGACGAGATCCAGAAGAAGTACGAGTCTTCGTCTGCAGCGTCATCCTTCCATGGGTGAGTGTCCTTGGCCGGGTCGTAGCCGTCCTTCCATAGCAAGATTTTGAAGGCATTTTTGGGCACTCTTGTATTGGTCTTTGGCTCGAACACGACGGTGTTTGCCAGCCCACGACCAAAGGATATCAGCGAGTCGGTGATGGTTATCTCAATCTTCTGAACGCAGGACTTCTTGTGCGAGGTGATCATGCCGACGACTTTGCTCCCACTGTCCGTCTGCACGGGAACTACCCTCTGGGTATCCAGACGGTCAGTGTCCAGGTCCCCGTAGCCGGTTTCCTCACCGGTGGAGGGAAATTCCATGGAGACGTCCTCGTCCTGGGCCCGCGAATTCTGGCTGTCCGCCGCCGGAAGAGTGGGAGGGAAGTACCGCATGGCCAGGTCCCACAACGGTTTGTTGTGTGGGCCAAACTTCTCCTTTCTGTTGCGCGCAGCCTGGACAAACACGTCGTACTGGAGCTGCGTCATCTCGGGGTAGTTGAGATGCCACGTGCTGCAATCCCGCTGCCAAAAGAGCCCCTTGGTCACCTGGCTGTCGATCTGACGGCCAGAGTCGGACTTCTTGATCGGTGGCATGCTGGCCAGCAGCCTGTACTCTTCGAGCGCCTCGGCGCTGACATCCTCGCTGAAGCTCTCCGACTTGAGCCGTTTGATGATTGGCTTCCCGGTGGGCGTCCTTTCGAGGTCAATTTCGTCACTGGCCTCGAGTGACGAGGACGTTTTGCGCTTGCTAGTGTTGAAATCCATTGATGGAGTCGTGGGGGTCGACGGATCAGCGAATTTGACAGCCGATTCATTGCCGTTGAGCTTTTGAGAAGCGACGTCTTCCACGAGGCTCTGCAGCTGATCGGTCGACTGACGGCGGCCCATGGACATGCTTGTTCCATGCCGAAGAAAGCGGCGACTGTTTCGCTTGACGAGAGTTGCGCCGGAGTCCCCGGAATCGTAAGCCTCGTCCACATCGCCCTCGGCACCATCACCATCACCATCACCACTGCTACTTGAGCCGGCCCCCCCGTTCGTGACTGGCAGGTTGAGATGGTCCTCGGGTACGACTCCAGAGCTGCCGACGGCGGAAGCCCCAATTTCGCCAAAGAGACGGGGAGGCTGCGTCCCCATCTGCAGGACTTGTTCGATGGGATACTCGAGCCTGGTTGTCACGGGGAACTCATATGCCGCGTCGTCATCCTCCGGTTCCTTTCCCTTATCCCTGCCCTTCCCTGCGTCTCCTTCTGCCTCGTCTTCCTCCTCTTCTTCTCCATTGGAGTCGCTCACTCTGTCAAACTCAAACGGCTCCTCGTACTCGTGTTCACGATATTCAGGCGGCGGGTCTGAAAGGACGCCTTCGTCATCGCTGACTACGTCAAACGACCCAGGTGAGGCCTGAATGTATAACGGGGTCAGCCATGAGTGGCGAAACAGCTCCTCTATTGTCCCACGATTCTCTGGCTTCCTCTGGAGCATGCTGCATATGAAGTCGATGCCATCGTCGGAAATGGAAGCCTTCTCCAGCGGTCGAATGTCCAGCAGCGTTGTCATGATCTTATGCAGCAGCTCAGAGTAACTGATGCCGCTCTTGACCGGATACGGAGGCTGGCCCGTCATGGAGTAGAAGAGGACGCCGCCCAGAGACCAGATGTCTACGGCGTGGTTGTATCTTTGGCCCGGCACGCGGCGAGCCTTTTTGCCCCTGCTCCTGACGCCATTCTCGTCGTACTCTGCATACTCAGTGTACACCTCGGGAGCACAGTAAAGGAGGGTGCCGCAGAATGTGCGGAGGAACGTCTGCTCGGTGTCTACCATCTTGGAAAGCCCAAAGTCAGTGAGTTTGACGTCCAGCGGCTGGAGCGAATTGATCAGTATATTGTCTGGCTTGACGTCTCTATGGGTGATGTTGTTCGCATGCAGATAGCCCAGTGCGCTCAGCAGCTGCTTGGCCATTTCCCTCGAGTCCGACTCGGAAAAGGGCATATCGTCTGCAATGTGCTTTCCGAGATCGCCCCCCGGCACATATTCCATGATGATGATGAGCAGTCGATCGTCCCAGTCAAAGTTTTCAATGTATCGCACAATGTTGGGCTTCATAGGGAGGAGACCACCGGTCAGCCAAATGCAGTCATCTCAGACAAGGCAAGGCAAGGCAAGGGTATCACGACTTACATGATCCACTCTTTGCATAATCTTCATCTCATTTTCCACCTTTTGGTCCAGCACGCCGTTCTTGATGAAGCGGCGCTTCTCGAGCTCCTTGGCAGCATACGGCACGCCGTTGTACTTGGACGTGACCTTGTAGACGACAGCAAAGGCCCCCTTTCCAATCATGCCAATCTTGTTGTACTTGCCAGATCCAGTCCACTGTCGTTGCGGAATCCGGGCCTCCTTGCGCTTCGAAGGAGACCGCTGCTCCGGAGGCTGGCGGTCGGGGGGTCGGAGCGCAGCAGCCTGTGCGTTTTGGGCCGTTTGTGCATTCTGTGCAGCCGTCCGGAACAAGTCGACATGGCCGCCAGGTCCCGTGGTGATGGTCTCAACCGGCCCTCGCACGGCTTGGCGGGCAAAGTAGGCGTCCACGCGGCGCTGGTACGCCAGGTCGAACTCGTTCTCGCGGCGCGGGATGCGGACCCGGAAGGAGAGGCTCCTCATGTCCTGCAGGTAGATGCCGACGGTGGACCCCGAGCTCAGCGTCCACTTGGTCTTCCTGTCCGGGTCCTTGGCGACGGCCGGGTCGCGGGGGCGGGACATGAGGAGGTTGTTGTCGACGGTGGTGCCGTTGGTGGAGTGGTCCTCGATCATGACGGTGCCGTACTCGTTGATGTAGATGCGGAAGTGGATGTTGCTGACCCTGCGCAGGGGATCGTTGACGAAGACGACGTCGCAGCGGGCGCTGTTGCGGCCAAACTGAAAGCCGGCGGCGGGGTTCTTGACTTGGCTCGACAGGCGCAGGATGAGGGCGTAGCTGCCGAGGTCCGGGGGCATCTCCTCGAAGCGGCTGGCGTCGTCCTCGGCGTCGTAGTCGAGCTCGACGCCGTCGGCCTCGTCCTTGCCGATGATGTACGGCGACCCGCTGGCGGCCAGCTGCTGGACCTCGAGGCGCGCCGCCTGCGAGTGCGGGTACAGCACGCAGATGATGTCCGAGACGTCATCGTCGGAGAAGCCCGAGTTCTGCTTGCCGATGCGGCGCGGGTCGAGGACGGTTTGCGTCGCTGCGAGACAGAGATGTCAGCGTCAAAAGCTTGGTGATTGTGAACCGTGAACAGCCTCTCTCGTCTTGCTATCTTGCATCGTCATATCTTACCCTGCGTTGGCTGTGTCGGCGGCTGCCCCTCGGCGTCCATTGGGGGCGACCCGGCGACGCTGCGGCGTCAGAAGCGGTCCAGGGTCAAGTTGTCTGTTGCGCTGGCTATGCGAACGAGTTCGGGAAAACAGTAGAGGTGAAGATAGTCTATGGGAGTTGAGGGGGACAGCTTTTTTTCCCTTATCAGAGGCAAACTCGCAGAAGGCCCAGTAACGTCGCTATAAAAGGTACGGGAGCTTAGTGGTGGCACCAACCCGCACCCGTGCCGCAGCGCCAGTAGGTTGCCGCCTGTTCGGTCTGCGCCACAGCGCTGATAGAGAGATGCGTGATGGCGGTTTGTTGGTGGTTGTGGACGTAGGATATATATGCCTGGTATCATATATATCAAACAACCTGAGAGATGACAATCCACACAAAGGACGGATGAAGTGGCGTGGCGGAGAAATATGTAAAAGCAAGGTAAGGATGGATGATGAAAAAGCTGGGGAAGATCGGTAGGACTAAAAGACAAGAGCCAGGCCCCTTGTACTTGTATGTAAGGCACCAAGTGCGTGAGCAGGTGAAACAGCTCCAACGACAACTTTATACCCTCCTCACTAGCACGAGACTTGTGATCTACAATAGAACACAACAGCCAGGCGAATGGCGGGGTTATCAGTTCAGTGGCTTTCGTGATTACGGGCGTGTCAATCAAACGTTCAAGCCGAGCTTCATTACTAGTTAAAAGAGGCATCCAGAGCGCGCCCCAGAAAGGCGGCAACGGACAAGGCGACCTCTTATCACATCAATAAGAAGGAAAAGCAAAACAACAAGCATCATCTGCCTGCATCGGACCCGTAACACGTCATTTGTCATTCACCCAGATCAAAAGATACGATACACCCTGCATACAGGTTCAATCGGAGGAAAAGAAAGAAAAGCAGGAACGAGATTGAAAGGAAAAAGCGTGTCACCCGTGTTGCGCGTGCCCCCCTCGAGAAAACGTGCTTCTAGTATAACACGCTCGCAAAGTCACACGCGACGCAACTGGTCCCCATCTCGTCCACTTCCTCGCGCGCGTCCTTTTCGCTTCGATTTCGCATCTCTCCATCTCATCTACTAACAAACACGCTGCTATCGCCCTGCTTCGTTTCTTCATTTAGGCAACTTCCTTTCTTCTATCATCTATAATAAAGTACACCCGCGCAACACTGGCGGCGTATCGCAACTCTTCCGCGCGCGCCCTCCTTCATTCACGTCCGTCCACACCACCAAAAAGCAGAGTCACCAGATCGTGCCAAAAACCCCGTCCGCCGCCTCGTTGCCACCCGTCCCCGATCTTGCATCTTGCGCCCACAACACGCGCACTTGCCCGAACCATCCACTGGATCTCATGCCTGACCCAATGACATTGTTGTCCCATTTCCCATCCATCAACGTCCTTCTTCACATGTAACTCCTCCAGCGCGCGAACAAGAAAAGCGTGTCCTTCCCATCTTGCTAGTGGAACACCACCCCCCAAAAAGCAGGAACCCAGCGAATTAATGCGCGAAATCTCGCACTTGTTCCCCTTGCCCACCATCTTTGCCCCTCACTGCTGCAAGGCTTCTCCCGTTGCATGCAAGTCAACAATATGCAGCCCTCTCAGCATCTTGATGCACGCTCATCGCATCGGTTGTAACCCCCCTCTACTCCCATTTCAGGTACCCCAGGTAATGAACCAACAGCCGCGATGGAAATGTCGTAAGAGCTTCCACAATGTGTGTTCAGATCCCATCAACGATTTTGACAGATGCCTCAACAGCTGTTTGCTGATATTGGCCATCTCGGCTTATCACAGCGTCATAAATCATGTGCCCTGCTCATTCGCTAACCAAGCCTCACTCACCACATTGATATTCCAACGCCCTTACGACATCTCACAAGTCACGAGATTGTTTCACCCCAATCGTCAGCAGTCATGAACAAGAAACTGATTCTTCATTGCTTGGTAGTCATACATTCATCTGTGTACCAATGCATCTACCTGGTATCAAGAATGATAGTGATTTTTTCCAACTGTATTATACCTCGTACTCAACCGACAATATGTCGGGAGAATCGCCGGTCCCCTGTGACAAAGGGAACAATTCGACGCCGTGTATGAATATCCTAGAGCAATATCGACAATGCTCAGATATACTCCCCATATATATATATATATATATATATATATATATATTGAATGCTCCCAACCCAACGCCTTCCATGCATACTGCATCCAAAGCTGCATATACATCACTGCCGCCTGATAGGGTATCTATCACACAAGATACAAGACAGTTACAGAAAGAACAAGAGTACAACTGACATGATAGAAAATGCAGAGGAAAACAAGGCAAGGAAACAATGCCTAAAAGAGGGTATGTTGTTAACAAAGGATGTTGATGCTGTACTATTGGTTCACAAAAATCAAAATGTGCCAGTTAGTGTTGCCGGTGCTGTCCTGAGCCGTACATCGACGCTGGTGACAAGGGCCGCACCGAGTGGCCGCCGATCGATGTGGCCGACAGGGTTCGTCCGTGTCCGTAGGGAGCCGAGGCGATGGAGGCACGATGCTGGACATACTCCTCGGGAGTGAGGCGGAAAGACCGCTGGGAGCCGGGCGAGGTCGGTGAGGCCGGATGCCAGGGCACAGTCGACGAGTCCTGTCTCTTGTGGTTGGCCTTTGGCTGCGTCGGCGTCTTTGGTACCTGAGGCTCATGCGTAGGCGGTGCGGGCTTGCGGAGCACCGGGGCCACGCCGTACTTAACGGTTCGGCCAAAGTTGACGTCGGGGATCTCGAAGCCGGGGTTGTAGTGAGCCTCCGGGTCAGCGCCGCCCACCGTCTTCAAGACACCGGCGCGGGGCCGTTCCACATACGGTTGCTGCAGCTGTTGCTGCAGCTCTTGTTGCAGCTCTTGGCCAAACTCCAGGTGAACCGGCGGCTGTGGGGGGAGGAAGCCGTCATACTGAGCTCGGGACTGCGTAGTATAGTGATCGATGATGTCGTTGGGGGTGATGCTCTGATGCTTGTCGTAAGATGATTCGGGCCTCATGGGGAGGGGCTTCCGCTGAGGGTGTCCCTGGCTGTATCCCGGAAAACCACCGCCAGGATAAGGGCTCGCGCTAGGGTTGTAGGATCCATATGGTTCATTCGGGTACGACGTCGCGTGGGGAGGCGGCAGCGGGCGCTGAGCGTGGTATTGCGTGTGAGACTCGTCTCTGGAAGCCGGTCTCTGATCGTAAGGGCCTTGCGCGTATGCCGAGCCATAGGGAGACGGTTGCCTCTGATGCGATCGGTGAGAGTGGTTGGTGGGCGGGCGGTCGCCGTCACGGTAGCTGTGGTGGCTATGGTGGCTGGGAGGGCGGTTCAGAGACCGAGCAGACTGGTTGTCGCCCGAGTAGAAGCCACCGCCATGGGCCGGAACCGGAGGCGGAGCATCAAAGAATTCCTCGTTTTCTTCGTCGTCGGGAATGTCGGGAACTTGGGGTAAAGCAATGCCGCCAGCCTTGGCCATTTGGGCCAGGGTGCCATTGGACAGGCGGTTGTTGGCCCGGCGGAGTTCGGATGAGTTGTAAGGAGTGCTCGCCGGGCGATCGTGAGCATCGCGCATAACATTCGGAGGTCGAACAACAGGCTCGGGAGTGCGGTTGACTCCCATGCTGGTCTCAATGGGCTCGACGTAAGCATTCGGCGTCACCGCCCGACCCTCGTCCGAGCTCGAGCTTCCAACCCGCCCAGCCATCTCCAGAGGGGACTGGTCGTTTGGCGAAGAGTTCGAGCCCATCGAGATGGGGCTGTTGGAGTCGGAAGAATTGTGCATCCGGTTCGAGTCGGAAGAATTGCGCATCCGGTTCGAGTCGTCGCCCGCAAAACCTACTACTCTGGGCTTGTTGAAGCTAATCCTGTTGCTGTTTCTGTTGTTGGAGGCTGGGGAATAAGACCGGCTTCCATCTTCGATCGAGTTCATCCGCGTACCAGTGGCCTCCTTGAGACGCTTCCGCCACTCCCTCTCGCTCCATGTCGCACTCTTTTCGTCCTGTAGGAGCGCCGACACGTCCTGGAGCTCCAAGTAGCCGAACTTTTTGTTCTTGGGCATGGCGAACATGAGCGAACGGGCATCCAGCACGCTGGCGACGAGCCTGCCCGGGCGGCCGTACAGGCCAAAAGTGTCCCATGTCGGAAACAAGAAGCGCAGCATCGTCTCGAAGCCGCTGACAGCGGGGCGCGTCTCGGGCATCATGAAGACGAAGCCTTCCGAAGACGACTCAGGCGAGGAGTGGATGGAGATGTTGCCTTCTATTTTGATGAGGGTCGAGGCGTCCACCAGAGACTTGGCCTGCGGGTAGATGGCATATGCAGAGTAGGCCTCGGTGATGGAGGCCACGGGCTTCGTCCTCTTTTGCTTCTTGCCCTCCGTCTTCACATCGTAAAACTTAATGTCTCCTTTGACGACGCGAGCGGGAGAACGATCGTAGGCCGACTTCTTCTTCAGCTCCTTTTGGAGCTTGTTGTACTCCTTTTCGTCGGGGGGCGTGATGACGCACCAGCAGCGCCTCCAGGGCACGCCGGCGCCAAACCGAACCCTGACCCAGGCCTCAATCTTGTACTTGGACCTCTCCATCATGATGTTGATGTTGTTGAGATATTTGGCCCTGCCAGCAATCAGGGCGCCGGTGTAGGCTTCCTGGAGACAGGCATGCTCGTACATGGCAAGTCGAACAGCGGCTGTCCATTCTAGCAGTGACTCGTGAGAGGTGAAATGCAGCAAGTAACGGTTCTTGCCAGCGGTGGACAGGCTGAGGATGTTCTGTAGCGGCTGCTCATCGCTTGAACGGGTCGGCAGAGACTCGATCTATGGGTCAAACTGTGTTAGACTCGCATTCCTCGCAGTCGATGGTGAGCACGTGAGGGCATCTTACTACTTTAATAGAAGCGTCTGTAAGATTGATGAACTTGGGAAGAACTTCTCCGTCTTCACCGGCGGCGTCCAGCTCGGCGGCGTCCCATAGAGAGAGCACGGTGCCGACCAGCTGCGCGAAGCATTCGGCCCATGTTCTATCAGGATTCGGTTTGCCCTCTGGAACGAACGTCAAGGTTAGCAAGCGCTCATGCAGCCACAACGTGGGGGGGCGGTGGGATGAAACGACGCCACGTACGGGTATTCTGATCATCCAGCTTCAAAAAATAGCCCTCGTGATACAGCTTGTTGGAATGGTGGTTGAGCAGCGAGAAGATGGGCTGCAGCTCGGGAATGGTGTCCTCGGTGACCTCCATGACGGGCGGCTGATACGTCTGGATCATGGACATGGGTCGCGCGCTGCTGTTCCGGTTACCTCGGGTCGGGGCGTCGACGTTTATCGGCGTGCCATAGTCAGACTGCGGCGGCGGCGTGGGAGGGCTGCGCAGGTCGATGTGCGCGAGCGAGTGTCGCTTCTTGACCCTCGATTTCAGGTCCTTGGAAAGGGGAGAGTCGTCTGAGGGCGGCGTTGTCGACGGCGATACTGGTGTCTTGCGCCCCGAGGAGAGCGCGGACATCCACGAAACGACTGGACGGTGACACACGCACACGTTAGCACCAAGCAGACAGCAGAGTAAACGAGCCTGTCAAAGGGAAAACAAGAAGAGGCCCCCCCTAGCCCGGAGTCGTCGGCGGCATTGAGTTGGCGACAAGGGTAGCGAACGCTTCGTTGCGGGAGGCATCCATGCAGCCAATGTTGGACCAGATCGCTTTGGGCAACCGCCTGCTAACAGAGGCTGCTATACGAACACTAGGAGTGCTACCTTGAAGAGCGGTAGCATTCTGTTGAGCGCTAGCAGCAGCGCCCAGAGCGGCACAGCGACTGCACAGCGCAGCGCAGGTACGGAGTACAGCCAGGCACACTCGCGCCTGTGCGTGTAAGCTTGTACCTGTACGGCCAAGGCTGCAGAAACAAGGTAAAGCCCGAAACCTCGCACGACAACGCCGACAGGTCAGTTCTGCTCCGAGCAGCGCCAATGATGCCACCGTTTGTTGCGCAATGCTGGGGTTTTAGCGGCAGGCCAAGGGGGGGGGCCAACTGGGCTTGGAGGAGATCCATGAAAGAGACTATGGGAGGGTCCAGGACAGCGCCAGAACTAACTGGAGGTAGAGGTAGGGGTCCTGCTGGGGTGCTTGGGGGGGAGGAACTGGAGCTTGCTGGGGGTCCCAACTGGGGCTGGTGACGAATAGCCAGAAAACGACGGACAAAGGACAAGACAGGAATAGAGCAGTACGAACCTCGATTGCGGACCATGGTGCGACTGGGTTGCCGGTGCTCGGTCGGGCGGTCGATCTAGAAGAGGGTGGAAGGGGGTGAGGCAGAGCGTTCGACGTCGAAGTTATAGAGGGCGTCGGCGAGTGTGCGGTATCATGAGCTGAAGCCGAGATAAATTGTCTTTCCTGGTCGATTCTCGCAGTTTCTTTGCCGGCATGCAGTATTCGATGATGCTGAAGCCAAGAATAAAGGGAGATTGGGTATCAATGAGAAGCAGCGAGTGGCGTGGCCGGCGGCCGGCGGCGGCAGTGTCGAAATGCAAAAAGGAAAAAAGCGAGCGAGCGGTGATATGGCGAGAGTATCCGTACTTGTAAGTAAGTAAGGTATCGCGGTGATGGTGTGGTGGTGATGGGTGATGTATAAGTAGGTATGCCGGGGCGATCAAGCGACGCAGTCCGGGGCGGTCCCTTTAAATGGACTCGGCGCAAAAAAAGATGCAGCCGGGGCTCGTATCGCCAGTCTGTTCGGGGGTGTGCTCTAGTGACGGCCCCCCGTGAGACAAGCACGCGATGATGCCTCGTATCGTATTGCTCCTGGGCGGGCTGCAGCGGCAGTGGATGCGTTGGTGCTGTTGCTGTTGATGATGACGATGATGATGATGCGGCTCAAGGTGTTGTCTTTCCACTGGTCGAAGGGTCTTAATATGTAAAGAATCGAGGAAAAGCAAAGCAGGGCAGGTCAGGCTGCGGGAGCTGTGCGTCGTACGGCTGCTACTATTTATCTATTAATTGCCTCTTTCATCCACACGGCTGGGAAAGCGCTGGGCTCAATGGATAGTCTCCATGGCTCATTGGGGGCACGAGCGGATATGCCGGAGCCGTCGAGCCAGATTGGCATGACAGCATGACTAGGAAGAGACCCCAAGAGAAAGAGGGAAAAAAAGCCAAGCCAAAGCAAGCACACAAGCAAGGAAAAGCCGAGCTCCGCTTCCCATCATTCTCAGGAGGTTCTCCTCGATCCTCTCCCTCCTTGCTGCTGCTGCGGCCCAACTCGCCCCGGGCGGGAATGTCGCAAGCCATGCCGTGCGAGTTTGCGCCGCTCGTTGGTGGGTTTTGGCGCCGAACCAAGAACGGGCGAGCCACCGCTGCGGCTGCGGCTCGACGGTGCGGACGGAGAAACTGGGAATAGTATTCGAAATCTTACTCACCTTGGATGAAATGGGGAACTAGATAGAACGTTGCTTGTTCTTACTCGTATCGTATGCCAGAAAAGGTGCCGCAGCTCTGCAGATCGCGACAAGCTGTTTCAGAATGCTTCTGTGATGCCCTTTTTGTGCTTCTTTGCTCTCCGTCCTGTCCAAAGGGAGTCAAGCCAATAGTTGTATTCGTATTGGATGTCGTTGGCACCTCTAGACCGGCTTGCCAAGGGGCCTAAATAGAAAGTCCCCAGCAAATCGCTGCAGTCACCAGGCCAGAAGCAGAAGCAGCAACAAGTCAGAGCCCCCCCCCCTTGAGTTTCTCTCGTCCTGTGCTGTCTCTTGCTCTCCTTCACTCATCCACGTCAGTCGCCAAGTATGCCGTCAGACTATCAGATGGCCTTGTCAGGAAAACAGATAGAACGATCGGGAAGCATGCATGCTCGACGTCACTGGCAGAGTGGCAGCTGAGGCGGCGGCGCCACTAACTGGCAAGCCTGAGGCGATCGCTAACGCCAACAAACGTTAAGCCTGGGTCGCCCAAGAGTCGCAAGATCGTCACGACGACGTCGCTGGTTCATCAGTTGCAGAGGGCCAGGCGGGCAAGCCACGAGAGACATTCCCCAGACAAGGAAAGGGAGAGCCACGCTGGGGGTGGCAGATGGGAGGCTAACTAGTATTTAAGCATGGCGGAAAATGGGCAGTTGTTTGAAAAGACCCTTTTTTTTAATTTGTTTCTGTTTGATCTCGCCTTTTTTCTTGCCCATGCTGGTTTGCTTCATTACGGATACCTTACGGAGCTGAGACGGAGCGCGCTCGCTCTTTGTCGACGCACCGCGGGCTGTGCGAGAGTGCGGTGCTCCATGTGTAAGGTCTCGAGTACATTTGATAATACAAAATGCACGCAAATACGGGGACGGCTGGCTAAGCTGGCGCCTAACAATTGCTCATACAGGCGCTGCAATAGTACTCCCGAGTCCGTACGCACTTTGACATGTCTTCTATTGCTGCGGTGATTTGCTCTGGTCTCGTAACGAGCAGCCAGGCGTTTATACTTCAAGTTCTTATTTCTTGTCTTCCTCTACATGTATGTGATACAGGCAACTCTGACTGCGCCCGCAAGGGGTCCTGAGCGAGTAATACTGGTACCCCAAACAAATCGAAAAGGTCTCTCCGTACTCCGGCAATCCGTAATTGAGCAAGCCTTTTCATCTTTGTAGCTCCGGATGCCCCGTGGCTACAGTAGTAGGCCAGTGGGGTCTTCCAGCCCCTATATCGACAGTTTTACGCTTTGAGCGTGTATTCTATTACTACAACATCTGCATTTCCCAGCTACGACACAAATGAGGGCTTCCAGATGGGCAAGGCCTCTCATTTCGTGCCAGGTAGCGTCATCACTGGCGGGTTTCTAGAAGAGATTATTGGTATTGGCGCCTGCCTCTGTACCCAGTATTTCGTGCATTGGTAGGCATGCCTGCGAGTCACCGCCAAAGATGGAGCCCTGCGCAATCATTCACGACCCTCATCTTCATTCATTCAAAGAGGGAATTGTGGCCCGTTCATTCGGTTGAACCACGAGCCAAGGGCCACGGCGCCTTTGCCGCCAGAACAAAGCACCACTCTGGCCGGGCGCCAAAGAATGAAAGGCTCCCGTTCAATCTGCATTCAATCAGTGTCAGATCCCTTTGTTACACATGTCTCGCGGCATATTATGCTAGCCGCCCTCTTCACCATTGGGCGTTGAATCCTTTCACCCACTCAACTTGATTCAGTCACTGCAGACCGCCTTTGATATGCGCATACGATACTGTTACAACTACTCCATACAGGCACCAAGTCCATCGTCCCGTCTCCATTGTCATGCATCTTGTCACACCACTTCAGGCGCCGTCAATGCAGGAACTTGTGACGCACGTTGCTTCTTTTTCTGGCTCCGTACGAAGTACAGTAGATGCATTATCATCTCTCTTCATCTGTCTTCTCTCGCTTTCTTTCTTACCCTTCATTCATCCTTCCATTCAGTTCGTCACAAGGTTCCTCGAAGCCAAGCCCCCTTGTGCTCGCTTACAGCCTGGCACCCTCTCACACAGCCTCGTCCGTACCTTTGTTCACAACATCTACGAAATACTTACTCGCACTTTCTCGCCCTCAAGTGACTCCGACTCTGGCTCCGTGCCCCGAGCTGCCGAACCTCTCCGGGCCATGCGATGCAATGCAATGCGACTCCCTACGCCACAGCGCCGCATCTGGTCTAGGTAAGCGGAGGCTGCTGCTGTGCTACTACTACTACCAAGTACAGGGCACGGCAACTATCCAGTTCGAAGCCGTCTAGTAGTATTGCTCCCGCGCAAATTTACCTTCTCACTGGTATGAAGCACAGCGTATCACGCAACACGGCGTCAACTCTGCGCCGAAGTGGTATTACAGCGACATTACCGTAAGCCGAAACCTTCCACATCAACTTTGCGGCGCAGCAGCCAAGTACGCAAGTCCACACGGAGTTTATCTGTCCAATTGGACTGCTCAAACAAACCCAACAGCCGAAGACGACTCACCTTTGCGACACGGCATAAGAATGAGAAACGCGAGGGACAAGTCAGCGCTTACTTCCAAGCTGTCGGTGCTTCCCCCCTCCCCCCCGGACGGGACGGCGGCAAACTCCAATTGCGGTGAAGCATGTGGAATTCCTCTACGCCGCTGATGGGGCTTGCAGAAAAGAAGCTGCTGATCCGGGGGGTGGCGGCGCGTCCATACAGGGAGTTGACACCATCCAGAAGGCTGCCAAGATTCCATTGCTACGTCGCCGCAGCAGGGAGTACTATTCCATACGAAAGCGTTCTGAAACGATTTGATTTGCGTGGTTGTGGAAACATTCTCTGCTGCTCAATTACGAAGCACCATAGATAGTAACGACAACATCAGACCAACGCTTGCTACTGACGATGGCGCTGGCGATGGGGCACGGCAAGGGTCCAGCTCTGGCTCTCACCAGAAATCGTTGCCATCAGGCCAAGGTCTGAGGAGCTGCCAAAACGCAGCCTGACGTCATGCTGGCCCCCTAGAAAGCAGAAAGATGCGTGGGCTTCGATCTGGCAGCCGTCCATGATGGTAATTGTTTCGTAAAATCGAAACATTGCCGGCCCGCCGTGTCTCACAATGTACCGCCTCCGTAACACACACACCAGGCCAGGTGTATACATGTAAATCGATCTGTCAGTGGGTGTCACCCAGAAGCTGGGCACGAAATAATACCACATCCATCCTACGGATAATACCACCACATTGTACGCGTCACAATAAGCCTAAGCCTTGCTCAGGGCGGTGCCGTGCAACCCGTCGTCCCGGTTTCCCAGCCAGCAATTCCACCGTGACGTGCGTCTTCGGACCCGGTGTCACCATCCGATCACCCGCCTTGGCTACACTCAATCGACGTCAATGAGGCCCAGTTGAGGGTGAAGTGCATCATGCAGCTGGCTATTCTTGGGTGTTGAAGGGATCGCCCCCCTTTGGATGATGTGTGTGCTGCCGTCGATGGTCCTGATGGTCCTGTATGTTGCAATATCAAGTATGTATCGCTGCTGCTCCGCCCTTTGACATCAAGTTGCCAAGCAGATCCTTAGTTCGCATCGCGCCAAAGTTCAGCTGTGATGTTAAGTCAAGTGCGTGGTAGTGGCCCAGCTGCTAGTTCGTGGATGCTCTGCCTTGGAACGGCGGCAATCTTCCCACGTTTAGACCCACGATTAGACCCCTCGATTCTGTTGATCCGCTTGCCGGGATCAGCTGGATATCGAAAGCCGGTGCCGTCGAGCTGTGGTTGATCAAAGAAACTTCGTGGCAATTCGTTGACGTCGTGCGCGCTTCCGTGATCTCGGGACTTGCTACGAAGCAACGGGCATGCTCGGCCTGTCGGATTCTCTTTCTTCGACGACGTGCCCTCTTTCTCATTTCACGGAAATGAAAAGCCATGATATTTTCCGATGCAATTTTGGCCATGTTCGGCTTTCATGGCAGCAGGCCGTCTGGGGCAATTGCAAATCTCAGGCGAGGCCGGAGTCGGGACATTACTAATTGACGTCTACTAAGCGACATTGGACATTTCAACAACCGAGAATAGACTCAAGCCCACGATGATGCCCTAGCGACATTTCCATCGAAAGAGCCGCGATATGATGGTGCGTAGGCGTTTGCAGGGTAGGGAATCAGATCACGCTTCGAAGCATCGTAGAAGGTTCAAAGGGCAGTGCTCCACGCACTCCGCATACGGACCTTTACCAAATCACCCCATCACGTGCGGCTAATCAACTTCAGCTGCCATTCACGCCCATCTCAAGGCAAGCTCCGATCCAGGGCGTCGAGACAACCTCCTGTTCGCATCCGGGAATCCGCCCCCAGACCATGCTCAGCGACCCCAACAGGTTGGCTGTCTGCTGCACATGGTGGGAATGCGCACATCACTCTCTCCAACGTTGGCGAGTTTCCTGACATCTTCATCGCGTCCGAAGCGCTTCGCAGGCCCGCGATGGCGGGGCCGCTGGGAGAGACGCCTCGTCTCTGCAGCGTCGCAATCGCAGTCGCAACCGCAGCCGCCATCGCACTACGGCAAATCACCCTTTCGATTTGAGACTGGCATCGCGCTGTTTGCGAAGCGATCGCCCCGGCCGTTTCCGCCGCCCTTCCTGTCCCCCCCATCCGTATCCTTCTCAGATCCCTTGAGCACCCACCACCAGAGCCGAGACCGTCGAGCCCGCGCGTTTGTGAATGGAGAACTCATCAAGGGACTCACCAACGGTGACGATGCTGTATATGCTAGCGACTATTTCATATGTGCAAACGATGGCGTAGGCGCGTGGGCGGCGCGCCCCAGAGGTCATGCTGGGTAAATCCCTCCCGTGGCACGGCATCTCCCGTCCTGTAGGAATGCGCCCCTGACGGACAGATAGGTTGTGGTCGCGACTGATATTGCACTTCTGGGCAACGGCCATCGAAGAAGAGGCAACGCAGAAGCTGTTCGAGCAGAAGGCTTACCAGCCCGACTCCATCGCCTCTCTGCAGACGGCATTCGAGCAAACACAAGAAGCGACTGGGGCACACAACTGGCAGGGGACGACGACAGCGTGTGGCGCCCAGCTCCATTACAAAGTGGTGACGGATGCAGGGCGCCAAATCGTGACGCCAGTTCTCCATGTGACCAACCTTGGCGACAGCCAGATCCTCGTTCTCCGCCCTCGAGACCAAACAGTCGTCTTCAAAACCACAGAACAGTGGCATTGGTTCGATTGCCCACGCCAGCTCGGCACGAATAGCCCCGACACGCCGAGGCAGAATGCAGTGGTGGACACGATAGACCTGGAAGAGGGCGACGTGGTCCTTGCAATGAGCGATGGTGTCATTGATAACCTCTGGGGACACGAGATTGCGACCCGAGTCTTTCAGAGCATAAAAGAGTGGGAGGCCGGGAAAGGTGTAGGTGCTGATAGCAAAGCAGATCGAAGAGGCGGCCGTAATGGCGGGATGGCGATTGTAGCTCAGGATCTAGTAGCGGCTGCCAAAGCGGTAGCTCTGGATCCTTATGCAGAGAGTCCGTTCATGGAACATGCTATCGAGGAGGGCTTAGCCAGTGAAGGAGGTCAGTCCTTTCTTTACTCACGTTCAACTGTGTGGGATATTACACTAACCTCTACGATAGGCAAGCTGGACGATATCAGCGTCGTTGCCGCATTGTGCGTTAAAGACGGAGAGTAGCAACATGGTCATTTAAGGCGGACCTCTGTGTTTGGCGATTGTGACGTCTTATATCTGGAATCCCGAAGCTGGGCGTTTGTCAATTCTGATTTGCCTCGAGTTACTCAACGAGTTGACCAAAAATACCAAGTCTTACAACTAGTGAAAATGATGGAAAGGGATAGCATCCATCTTGATTTTACTATTGGCGAGAAGTGAATTCAAATACATGTGTTAGCGATACCAATTGATAGTTCATACCAGTTCACTGAAGTTATCCAAATGTTGATATCGCCTTCATAAGAGACTCAGTACCTATATGAGTTGGAGGTTCAAGTTTCGATTCGTGCAGAGGGTGGGTCGTGCAGAGCGGCCCCACCTTGGTACTAGCCTTGAAGTTCGTTATCGCACGTGCTCCACTGTAGCGATAAGAAATTTATTTCTCCAAGCTTGGACTGAGCTTGCATTGATGGAATTTCACTGGATTGCTGCTGCGAAGACTCTTGCTCCTTGACATTAACACGTCGAAACCAATTCGAATCGGCCAAAGCGCAAACATCCAAGATGAGAGGGAAACGGTCGAAGCAATATCGCAAGCTCATGGAGCAGTTCTCCATGACGTTTGGCTTTCGCGAACCGTACCAAATTCTAGGTTCGTCTCAACCATGGCTGGCAAGTTTCTGGATGCCCGCGACTGACAGTCTTGTTTCACCCAACAGTGGACGCGGAAATGGTGAAAGATGCGAATAAATGTACCATGGACCTAACGGCCCGGTTGCAGAGCACAGTCCACGGCAAAGTCAAGCCTTGTAAGTAACACAGCGCCCTTGAACCCAGACATCTGCTCACAGATTGTACTAGTGATTACCCAATGCGAAATTCGAAAGCTTTACGCAGACAAGGACCAGCCTGGCGGCAATGCGGCGATCGAACTGGCCAAGACATTCGAGCGAAGACGCTGTGGCCATCACCCTGATGAATACCCCAAACCTCTCGAGACGATAGAGTGCCTACGGTCTGTTGTGGATCCAAAAGGAACGGGCGAGAACAAACACCGCTACGTGGTTGCAAGTCAGAATCTGGATGTCCGGAGAATGCTGCGCGGGGTCAGAGGAGTGCCGCTGATATACATCAAGCGGAGCGTCATGATTCTGGAGCCCATGGCGGATCAGAGCGTGCAAATCCGAGAGCGAGAGGAGAAGCGAAAGTTTAGGGCGGAGCTTAAGAAAATGACTGGCAAGAGGAAACGTGAAACGAAAGACGAAGGAGATGAGGGCGATCACAGCGATAGCGATGACGAGGACGGCGAGCGAAGCAAAGCCACGCAAGCACCCACGACCGAGAAGAAACCCAAGAAGCACAGAGGCGCCAAGGGAGCGAATCCCTTATCCGTGAAAAAGAAGAAGACTCAGAAACCACCAAAGAAGGATACCAACAAGAAGCCAGAGGACAAGAAGCCAGAGGCTGTATCAGATGCGCCGGCAAAGCGGAAGCGAAGAAGGAAGACCAAATCAGAAAATGCGACAGGCCCCGGCGCTTCAGAGCCAGCTGCGACAGCTCCGAGCAACGCCAGAGAAGAGAGCTGAAACGCGGTTCTTATGACGAGCGAGGTGTTGCAAACTGGATCACTGTGGTGGTTTGTCGTGGACAAGGGCAGTGTCCTGGGTAATGAGCATGGAGTTATAATAATCATGTGACATCTAGCATTTGGCTATGGCAGATAGAAGCGATTGTAAATATTACCTAGTAGTACATACATACGATTGCTACGTGCCGTGTTGGGTTGATGGTGAATGATGATTGCGGCTGTCTCATGTAAGGGCCTCACGCTGGTTCTCAATGTGGAGAGGAGGCATGGAATGCGCATATGTAGAGACCAATCCGTCTTCAGTCTCGAAGCAGCAGAGGACAGTCTGAGACCAATTGAAAGACATTAGAATAGTATTAGTGGTTCAACAATTACAACGCATTCAACCAAGAAACATAATGCTCACTCCATTCCTCGTGTTTTTCATCTCGTGTCGTCATGCTGCAAGAAGGTTTAGCTTACGAGGACAGACCTCATGCAAAGTATGTATGGGGCAGTGCGCGTACTATGGGGGTCCTGTCAGATCATTTTGTCCTCGATGCACCTCGATTCCTCTGCGGGATCGTGATAAGATAGACAAGCCCTTTATCATCCCCGGTCGTCTGACGACTCCTAGCAGGATCCCCCTCCACGCCCAGACGGGAATACGAATGCGAACCATTCGCTCTTCTGCCAACTCCGCAGCTTTGCATCACCAACATCATTACGGCGCACTGCTGCCGAGACAGCAACGCCATTCCCCTGAATATCCCGCCATCTGCGAGTGCTCGTGCCAACTGAGACAAAATCCTTGCCAGCACGCTCAACCCGTCACTGTCAGGCCGTGTTGGGTGTGGCAGCGCCGGAATTTGCAGCCCGAAAGCAGCACCGTCTCTCCCTCCCGCTAGCCCGGGGGGGCCGCCCAAATTTAATTTAACGACGTAACCACAACTCTTTGCGACACCGCTCTCTGTTGACGAAACCTCGCAGCATCGCAACGAGGCAGAAGACGAAGCGGAAAAGAGACAGCACAGGGCTTCGTCGTCGTCGTCGTCTTCTGTCTGTCCCCTCCAGGGACTCCTCGCGTCTCCCCATCACGTCCCATCCATGCCCCTCGCGCGCGCCGACAAGGTGGATGTGGACGTGATCCCCAGCAACCCCTCCTCGCACATCTCGGGGCTGTGACAATGGCCGGCAAGGACGCAGAACACACGGCGGCTGCCGCTGCTGCGAGCGGTGCGGCCGCGGCGCCGACCGCCGTGGCCGATGTCGATGACTTTGGGCTTCCGATCAAGCGATTCATAGCACCGCCGGCCGCGGAACCGACGGACGCGGAGGCCCAAGATGCGACAAACGGTGCGGATAACGGACACGAGACCCAGAATGGCCGCGACGGACCCAAAGACGAGCACGAAGAGACTACGGAAGCTGCTGGCGGCAAGAATGGGCGCGCATCAGGCAGCGACTTGGAGGATGCTGGCTCCAACAATGCTCAGCCAACCCGAGAGACGGCCCCGTCGTCACCGAAGCAGACAAACAGTACAGAAACCAAGACCGAGAATGAGATAGAACGAAAAGTGGCCCTGAGCTCGCCGACAGAAGATAGACAGCTGCCCCCCACCACCCCAGTTCCGGCCAAGGGAAACCCTACGTTTGACACGCCTTCTACTCCAAAGACACCATTGAGGGGCGCCGAAAAGAGCGAACAGTACCTCCAGGCGAAATCACCTGAAGGATTCAACCAGACACACAATCGAGACCGAAGCTTTTCCAGCCCTGCTAGTGGCAAGGGCATCTCAGAATACTCCCACCAACACTTGTTGCAACGCCCAGAAGAAAAGGAGGAGAAGAAGGACGAGCTCGATGATGGCGAATGGCAGGAAATGCCCGCCTACGCCAGATACGACATGTATGATGACGACGACCGTCTGATCGCACGGGAGCACGATGCAGACGAGGATGAAACATATGGATATGCGGGGCTCGGGGGTGCCGGTAAGGGATATACACGAGTCATCATGGATGAAGACGCCGAGTCGGCGACGAGCATGGACGAGCATACGCAATATTTGTTCAAAAACCCCAACGGCACGTCCATCGGCGAGGATGAAGAAGCCAGAGACGCCGTGTCCCAGATGCAGGCTACCAAGGACCTCCTCACCGAGGGGCAGAGGATCGCATACGTCGGCGTTGTCCGCCTGGAGATTGTGAACATGGTCAAAGAGGCTGAAAGCCTGCCGCAGCCAAAATCTGCCAAAAGGCAGGTCCTCATGGGTGCCGAGGCAGTCAAGATGTGGGGCCAGAAGATGATGATCCGGCTCTACTCTCACATGGACATTAGCGAGGCCGAGCAGATCATGATTGAGCAGCTTGCAGAGCACGGGGTCATGGCCCAGGATCTCACATCAGCCCTCCTTGCCAATTCTAGAGTTCAGAACCCAATGGCAGAAGAGAAGAGGACGGGAACTCCCAGATCGAGCCGTTACCTACCGCCGTATTCTCCCGAGGAGGAAAAGCCTGCCCAGATGCCTCCCCCGTACGAGACGCACAGTGGCGAGGAGCTGCCGGAGGTCAAGACGCCGTCGCAGATGCCGACGACGGAGAAGATTGACATCGACTTGCGGTGGACAGTGCTGTGCGACCTGTTCCTCGTCCTGATCGCGGACTCAGTATACGACGCTCGCTCAAGGGTTCTACTGGAGCGAGTGGGAAAGAGCCTGGACATTTCGTGGATAGACATTTGCAAGTTTGAAAAGAAGGTAACGGATGCGTTGGAGATGCAGCAGGCGGCCGAGAAGGAAAACTGGAACGAAGAAGAACACATGGAGCACCGGCGGAAGATGGCCTTGAAGAAGAGGTACATCATGATGGGCCTCGCGACTGTGGGCGGTGGCCTTGTCATTGGACTCTCGGCTGGTTTGCTTGCCCCTGTCATTGGAGCAGGGTTGGCTGCTGGTTTCACGACGATTGGTGTGACAGGAACGAGCAGCTTCCTGGCTGGAGCTGGAGGAGCTGCCATCATCACGTCCAGTGCAGCGGCTTCGGGCGGCGTCATCGGTGGCAGGGCGGCCGGTCGCCGAACCGGCGCTGTCAAGACGTTTGAGTATCGGCCTCTCCACAACAACAAGCGCGTCAACCTGATTGTCACCGTGTCCGGTTGGCTCACAGGAAAGGTTGACGACGTCCGCTTGCCGTTCAGCACCGTCGACCCCATTATGGGCGATATCTACTCGGTACTGTGGGAACCAGAAATGCTCCGGAGCATGGGTGATACCATCAACATTCTGGCTACCGAGGTAAGCTTAAGATTTCAAGTTGGACTAGAATATCTGCTGCAAAATACTAATCACCCCCCTAGGCACTCACACAAGGTCTGCAACAAGTCCTGGGCAGCACAATCCTCGTCAGTCTGATGGCTGCCATTCAGCTGCCCGTGGTCCTGACAAAACTCTCCTATCTCATTGATAACCCCTGGGCGGTGTCACTAGATCGTGCAACCGCGGCAGGTCTTATTCTGGCCGACTCGCTTATAGAACGTAGCTTGGGTACGCGGCCCATCACCCTTGTCGGGTACTCACTCGGCGCCCGAGTCATCTTCTCTTGTCTGAGAGAGCTGGCGAGGAAGGGTGCATTCGGGCTCGTTCAGAACGTCTACATGTTTGGATCGCCCATTGTGGCCAAGCAAGACGAGTATCTCAAGGCCCGCTCCGTGGTTTCCGGCCGCTTCGTAAATGGGTACAACCGCAATGACTGGATCCTCGGCTATCTCTTCCGATTGACAAACGGCGGCATCAGGCGAATCGCTGGGCTGGCCCCTTTGGACGACTGCCCGTGGATAGAAAACGTTGACGTGACGGACCTCGTGGCTGGCCATATGGAGTACCGCAAGGCTATGCCTTCGCTTCTCATCAGATGCGGATGGGTCGTCACCAGCGAGGAGTTTTCCGAAATCGAAGACCCTGACCCGGATGACCACCAAGGGCGTCAGCGAGAGCTCATCAACGAGATTGAAGAAGCACGTAGAGCATTGGAGAAGGAGGGCAAAGCGGCCAAGAGGACAAGCAAGTTTGGATTCTTCGGACGGCGCAACAAGGGGGAGCGGCAAGAGTGGGAGATTTACGAAGAATCGAGCAAGGATTCAACCAAGAATGGGAAGAAGACCGAAGACAAGGACGGCAACAACTATGGGGTGCTGTTTGACATTGATGCCATTCGCGCTGAACTTGCCAAAGAAGCCGAGAATGACGGTACAGGGGAAATCCAGGTCAAGGAGATCAAGTCAACCCTCCCGCCGATGAAGCTCGACTACTCGCCCGCCTCATCGCCTCAGACGCCGGTACGCGGAGCTGGTCTGGAGCCCCACGGATCACTGCAGACATCAAAGAGTGCGGATGTGCTACCGTTGCGTTTCTCGTCGAATAGCGGTACCCGAGAGCAGCAGCCTGCTACCACGTCGGGCACTCCGACGACTCGCCCTTCTCCGTCGCCGTATCACTACGAGCCCGACCCCCACGAGGACGAGATCCAGCTGACGTTTGACACGTCTTTCCATGAGCCCGGGCGCCGTCACTCTACGTTTGACGAAGAGCCGGGCAGACCGGTGGTGAAGACGGCCAGCACGCTGCCAACCATGACGCTGGCCGACCCCTGGAACGACCCGGACGACGATGACTTTGGCAAGGAGCAGGAGATTTCCATGACTTTTGCGTAGACGGCTTTTGCTGCTTTGACCCGTTTCTCTCCTCTCCGCCTGCATCATCTCGGCACACATACTATTGGAGTTGGGTAACGACACTTTGTTCAACCTTGCGTGCGACTCGATGTTTGACCTTTGCCCTCCTTTCGCCATATGTCAGGGGGGTTTCCTTTAATTGCATGAATGAATGGATGGATGGATGGGATTTGATTTTTTTTGTTTCTCTTTTCAGGAGCTTTTACACATGTATAGAGATGGAGTAGTAGATGTGATGCATGTACGCTGTATGTTTGGGGGCTGTATTACGACTGGCCGGAGACGAGGCGGCGTAGATGGTTGTTGTTTAGAAGAAGAGCTTGAGAGAAAGGCAAGAGGGAGAGAACAAGACAAGTAATTTTTTCTGATAGGAAGTATTGTGTCACGTTCTTGCCCCTGGATAGAGAAAGCTGTGTCAGTATTCATCGCCTTCTGTCTGATGCCCGTCTTGCTTACCTATATCATGATAAAAGCGTTGCATCAACCAGAAATGTCTCGAGAGATTCTGCAGCTGCGGCTTGGGTTCAAGTCTCTAGACCGGATCCTTGGGCATCATGTGTAACACGAAGGTTGAAACAGGCTATTTCCAAGCCACAATGCAATAACGCATTCGCTAGGTCTGGGCATGGACGAGCTCGTTGCCAATCGACGCTGCGTCGCTGTGGTGGACATACTTGTACCACCTAACCTACTATTGACGCCCAGTACACCCATACATAGCAGCATCACTTTCCTCTCGGTGCCTCAGGTATCTACGGGTAGCTGATCGATCAATCAACCTCCTACGGGCATCTTCAAACAAACCACCAGCTTCCCACTCCAACAACACACTCCATTCATCACAACTACTACCACCACCTCAATATCCTCCGCTCGCACTCCAAACGAATAACAAGGCAGATCGGGGCCAAGCCACCTCTTCCATCGCAAAAAACCCCCCATGTCCCATGTTCCGCCCTAGTCAGCCGCAGTGGAGTCCCCCCTTCAGCCTCACCCGGCACTCCATAGGCCCAATGGCTTTGCCAACCCGGCCAATACGCCACTCCGCTGCTCCATCAAAATCAGCCAACTGGTGACAAGAAAACTCGAGGGCCCAGTCCTGTCAAACAGCGTTTCTGTACATACTTGTACTGATGGGTGGAGGGGCTTGTTGGTATTAAGTTGGTTGGGTTACTTTACAGTGAGCAGCAGCACCTTTGTGAAGCATCCCGGTTGCACTGCCTGGGCTGGGAGCGGGCTGTTGGCTCCACGCCGTGGTCTCTCATGATTCCTTGTCCTACAGCCGCAAGTCGTTCGACAGTTGTGGAATGCCGTCGGCAGGGCTGTCTCTGTGTAAGTGCTCCATTCACAAAGATTCTTTTACTCCCCAATACAGTATGTAAGAAAAAATCAAAGAGGCGCTGATCAACATCATCACACAGGACAAACTCCGCTCAACCCCAGTCTGGCCGCTCTCTTGTCAGCGCCAAGTAAGCGGCTGGAGCGATTCTATCTCTGTTCCTACGCTGTACCTATATATACTTGCACATGCGGTGTACGGAGCCAGACTCGAAGGATGCCAAATATAGACAGCCTCATGCGGCCCCATCCATCCGCCCCAGGCCAAGCCCACTCCAACCCACTCGCCCGTCACCATCCCTTTGTCGACCCTTCTCACAGAGTGGACGCCAAAGGGACCAGGGGGGCAGGGGTAGCCGAGTTTGATCTGGCGCTGCCCCAGGCCAGCGCAACCGCAGCGTGGCAGAAAACGCAACACAAACCCGCCTCGACGAAGGAACATGGTCATGGTCGACCGGATGGTTCAACGATGAATGGGCACTGGATGACCTTGCGGAAGAATATCCGTTGTGAGTGGTCTGAGAGGGCCCGAGACGAACTATGGAATCGGGAAGCACGTTTAGCCATGTGCAGACGAAGCGAGCAATAATCGACATGGCCTGGGCAGCTAGTCCTGCGATTCTACTCGCGGCCGCTGTCCCCCCCCCCCCCCGGTCTGACATCTCACATCTCGTGCGGCTTGCGCCTCGTTCTTCGCTGTTGTGTCTGACGAACCCGCTATCACCGACTTACACCACTTGTCCCCCCCAGAAAATTCTCCTCTCCTCTTTTCTTCCTCTTTTTTCTTTCCTTTCCCTTTCCTTCTCCTTTCTGCTCCTTCCCGGCTCTGCTGCTTCCTAATTGCAGTTATTTGGTCATCGTGCCGTCGGATGTTGGTGTTGGGCACTACCTAGTTGGGCAGTCTTGCTACATCACCGTATAATCAACTTGGAGAGACCGCCTTCACGCTCGTCCGAAGCCTCCCCCAGCCGTTCCCCATGGCGGGCTTGGCCACTGGAGACGTACCAACTTCCACCGGCTTCTCACTGCTGCCATCTGAAGGCGTCGATCCCAACAATGGTCCCGGCGTTGGCGGCACAGCGGGCGGCGCAGGAGGCGGCAGCAGCAGCAGTAGCATAAATAGCGATGCTCTAGGTATACTGCCGACGCCGACGTCTTCACAGATGAACATTTTGCCGAGTGCTTCGCCTACAAATTCCTTCTCTTCGCTTTCCGCACCCAAGGTGCTCGTGTTCAACGACAAGGCCAACTTCGGACCCAATAACACTGGCCGCGTCTTTCCAGCCCAGAATCGGACAAAGACTTTTGCGTGGACATATGCAAAGACCAACACGACGCTGCTGGACATCTTTTGGTACGGGAGGCAAGTCAATACGGGGGAGGCCTTTGATGTATCTCAAGCGAGTGTCATTGCCCACGCCAAATTCGGCGATAGCACACCCGGAAACGAATTCGCTAAGCGTATGTTGGCTCCCCCCTCGTCTGCACTACATGAGGACGACTCTCTGCTCTTACCGTGAATACGAAACAAGCGACGACAAGGCTAACAAAGTGGCGATTAGTGAATCCCTCGGACGCAACGCTCAACCTTACAGATACCGGACTGAGTTCAGGCGAGTGGTATGAAAGGGAGATGGTAATCAAAATCGACTGGAAAACGCAAAGCGGCGACGAGGGCTTCACCCAATCTGGCGTCTTCACTGTGGCCAACGGACCCTTTGACTCGGAGGCCTTTGGCCGAGAGGCGACGGACAACAGCCAGGACAAGCAAGGCGGCGAGGCTACCACTTCCATCGGCAACCCCAGCCTCCCGACCAGCGGGCCCTCTGGCACCGGCAACGGCATCGGAGGCGGTAGCAGCAGCGGAGACAGGAGCGGGGGAGGCGGGGGCGGGCTCAGCAAGGGCGCCATCGCCGGCATCGCCGTGGCGTGCTCCGTCGTCGGCATCCTGCTCATCGCCGGCCTGGTGTGGTTCCTCCTGCGCCGCCGCCGGAGACGCCACTTTGACGGGGGCTACAACGCCGCCCACCAGACGACCAGCTCCTTCATCGCCACCAAAGAGGCCCGGCCATCGGTCGTCGAATCGCCCGTCATCTCGCCCTTTACCGACAACGACAACAGCCGAGCAATCGGGCCCGGTTCCGGCTCCAATGCCATACCGATACCTCTCCACCACAACGCCGCCGCAGGGACAAACGACCCGGTGTCACCTCAGGACGACCGCCGCCCAAGCACTGCTGCGTCGGGCAACAGGTCACGCAACATTGCCCATCTCGTCGAGGAGGGCATGACGGAGGCCGATATCCTGCGGCTGGAGGAGGAAGAGCGGCATCTGGATGCCGAGATTGAGCGTGCGGCGCGAAGGACGTCTAGGTAAAAAAACCTCGATCCTCCTTTGGACACAAAGTAAGTATACGAGGCGGTTTCCCCCCGTTTCCCCCAGGAGAGAGAGGGGGCGAAATGGGGCTGAGGGTGGTTGCCGGCTTTTCCCTTCCCCTCTGGGATGTTGAGTCATCCCTGTTTTGCCGCATTTCATCTGTGAAGCTGGTAATCTCTTCTACATCACCTTTCTGTGACAATTGGAATCTCACATAAAGAGCAAAGTGCGTCACAAACTCATGATATGATGTCTTTTTTCCCCCTTACAGTTTCGGATGTAAATATATATACCCTCTGCGGCCAGCTTCATAGTAGCACGAGGGCGCCGCTCGCTAGATATCCTAATAAAAGACAGACACAAGAAATGCTCATCTCGTCAGCTTGTCGCATCATATGAGGAATTATGTGTGTATGTTTGTGAAAAACAGAAAGTGAGAGGTGAGAGAGGAGAGAGATACAGACATTGCTCGGCCAGGCTTGATATCACGTTCCCAGTAAAGAATCATGCCAACTCCCCAAGAAATATTATACATTCCGCATAGGCACCCCTCCTTGTAGCGTATAAGGACTGAAAGAAAAAAAAGAAAGCCCATTGCTTGCAACAACTTTTCAATCTTTCAACCTGATATCACACATGCCGCGATGAACCTCGGCGCGCGCGCCATGCAAGGGGTTTCAAAATTTTCATCGACTCAAGTGGAAAGTGCTCGGAAAAAGGATGATTCATAGTCCTACTCCCGCACATATATGCCCTTCTTCTCCGCCAACTATTCTTGTCATCGTCTTCCTTTGCCCTTCGGGGGCATTCATTACACCCTGAACATGCGGCTGACAAAGTTGCTCGCAATGCTCCCCGCCAAATTCGTCGACCCAAAAGCGCCCCCGGCGAAATTCGACGCCTGGCTGAACTTGTCGCAGCGGGAGAAGGCCAGCGTGTTGATGATTGTCAAAGCCAGCGCAATCGCTACATAACACACGCCGTCAGCTTTCCCTTCTCTCTCTCTCTCTCTCTGTCTCTCTCTCAACTGTTCCCCTCCACCTCCCATAAGACTAGAAGGAAAAGAGGAGGGAAGGGAGGGGGTAGAGGTGAAGACAAAAACAACTCACCAACAAGAGGCAGCCACAGAAACTGCAGCCGAATCAGCGCCAAAATCGCCATCAGCACCCACCACAGCGGCTGGATGTACAGCGCCAGCCAGAAGAACCGGCTGTCCGTCGGGTTGATCTGCCGCGTGCCCGGCTCCAGGCTCTCAAACACCCACTGCGACTCGCCCGTCGACGGGTCCACCTCGTTCCACCACCGCAGGCCGACGAGGCGCCGGCCCGCGATGTTCTTGAGGTAGTAGAAGTCGGCGGCGAGGAGGAGGATTGTGATGATGAAGATCATGATCCTGTGTTGGTTGGTTTCCCCGTCAGAACTGGATTCGAATGCGAAAGACATTGGTGATATCAGGAGTAAGATGGGGGGGGGGGGGGGTAGTAAGGGTCACGGTGTTGTGAGAAAACGTACATGCTCTTGATGACCCATAAGCCGAGAAAGTATATGAGCACGCTCGCTACACGAGAAATCCGCCGTCAGCCCGAGGGAAACATCGCCAACTCTTCAAACCCTTTCGCTCCGCTTGCCCACCCAATCTCCAACAACGCTCAACGACAGCCTCTCAAAGACAAAGAAAAGGGGAAATTATCGGCCACCAACATATTCGAAAGCCCAAAAACGTCAGGAGCGTAATGGGGTGCGAACTGAGCCGCCAACTCAGCGCTCCGGGAGCGGGCTGTGTCTGCGCGGCATCTTCCATGGCAGCAGCAACAGAGTTCGACGATACAGGCTGTAACGCTTCGGCTTGACAATTCGTGAATTCTTGGTTCGCTTTCGGAGATGGAAGAGCGCGAGGATCGGGAGGACGTCTATCAAGGCCCTTCGTGGTTCGTCGTCGGTCACAGTCGTGGGGCTCGTCGTCATCAACAGGAAGCGGAACTGCGAAGCTTCGCGATCAAGCTACCGTAGCTCGTCGGTGTCAGGGATGGAGCTATAATGTTCCGGCCTTGGTGGGGTGGCTGGACACGGTCCTCGGCTATTACTCGCACAAAGACCCCGCGCAAGTGGCCGGGGCATTTGTCGCTGCGTCTGTTAGTGCGGAACGTACTTTGCAGACAGACCGTTTGTCATTCCGGGGGATGACATCCAGCGCTGACCGAGGCTCTTCCAACAGCTCTTGATATCATTATCAGCTCTATGAATCTCCAGCTTCTCCTCCGCATGTAAATCTAGACGTCACCATCGATCAGGGACCGGCTGCATATACCGATAGAATATTACAATCGATTTTCTAAAGCTACAGGCCCTCACAAGCGTCATCATGGCTGCACGAGCCTCCTCTATCCTGCGCCGTTCCTTGCTATATGGTTATTTCTCACGCGTCCATGGTCGAGATAGGGTAGATGTCTGACTGATGATGGCTCGTAGTTCCGGCATCTTCTCAGAAGATGCTCTCCAAGTCCCTGGGCTTGACGACAGACAATGTCACGTATGATCTGGAGGACTCGGTGACCCCCTCCCACAAGAGTAACGCCCGCAAGCAGTTGAAGGAGCACATCTCCGGCCTCAAGTCGCGCCCCTCGACCATTTCAGAGCTTGCCGTTCGAATCAATGCCGTCTCAACTCCCTTTGCTCTTGATGATCTAACCACATTGGCATCCGCCGAGCACATGGATGCTGTTGTCGTGCCCAAAGTCAACTCAGCTGCCGACCTGACCTTTGTCACCGATGTGCTGCGGCACGTCGCCCCAGAGCGTCACGAAGATGGCTCAACGAATCCAATCAAGATCATAGCACTCATCGAATCCGCTCGGGCCGTCATGGATCTGTCTTCCATCTGCAAGGCCTCCCCTTTCCTTAGCGGTTTGATATTCGCGGCTGAGGACTTTGCACTTGACCTTTCGATTACCAGGACGCCTTCTCTGACGGAATTTCTCTATGCGAGGTCAGCCATTGTCACTGCAGCTCGGGCACACAATCTCCCTAGCGCCATTGACCTGGTCTGTACTTCATATCGAGGCGATGATGGCCTCAGGATATTGGAAGAGGAATGCAAGGGCGGAAAAGCCATGGGCTTCAACGGCAAGCAGTGCATACATCCCGGGCAGCTAGAGACTGTCCAGCGCATGTTTGCTCCTGACACGAAAGATATCGAGTGGGCTGTCCGCCTCACCATCGCCGACGAAAAGGCCGCGGCTGCCGGACGTGGGGCGTGGACGCTTGATGGGAAGATGATTGATGCCCCAGTTGTAGGGAAAGCCCACTCAATAATAGCCAAAGCTGAGCAGTGTGGACTCCGAGTCCAAGACATCAGAGAACAGTGGAAGGACCAAGAGCCGGAATAGTCATTTTCGTAGCGTTCAATCGCAGTCCCAAATGCTCAGAAACAAGAAGACTGCACATCTTCAGGGCCAATTAGCACCACATCATATGGTTTGGCCGCCAGAAGGATGCCAATTCTGTTTCTGTACCGTCATCGAGGCCGTCGAGGCTCTCTGGGCGTGGAAGCGCCTGATATTGCTGCGAAGGCCAGCCAAGTGTTTCATGAACACGTCGTTGCGTTAGACCTCTTGGGGAAAGCGACCTCTCTCTTTCCATCCTGCAAAAGGAACCGTCTGGGTATCGCACGTCAACTGTGTGTGGCACCTCCGGAACTTGGTTGTGGTGCATTGACTGCGCTGGGAGGAGCCCGTCGTCTATGAACAAGGAGGATGTTTCGTCGGATCCTAAAATCTCATGCTCCATTCTTTCAATATACTCTGTGAGAGACTCTCCTGGTACAACTTCATCATCCTGCAAGGTATTTATGCAAGTGTGAGCCAAGTCCCGGCAAGTTTCCTGGGTTATTGTAGATACCTGGCGAGGACCGGTAGGCTGAGGTGGCACGCCTGGGTGGCTCGTATTTCTTGACTGTATATTGGAAGATGTAGACGACCCGGGATTGTCGACAAGTGCTGAAGTTTGGTTTGAATATGAGTCCACGGCCAGCAACGGATACTGAGAGCTCGGCCTGCCAAAGAACCAAGCCGGAGACGGGTCACTGCGAGAATAGGTGGCGTCTATGACCTCTGCGCCAAAGTCCCAATTTGCAGAAAATCCTGGCAGATAGGCGGGATATCCGTATATATCACTCTCTATACTGGGAATGTCCCTCCCCGGAACTTTGTAATCCGGAGACGCAATTCGTTGGCTTGTTCCAGAGACTGGTATCTGAGGAACAGCGTGCACACAGGGAACATTCAATTCATCTGGGCAAAGCGGTGGACTTTCACTATCCGAGTCACTTGGTTTGCGTATCTCTGTCCGTTGGTGCATCCAGGGGCTCACCATGACGCCCTTGTCTTGGTAGTCTGGACGCTGGACTGCCTGGCTGCTACAAGACTCAGGCTCGCCTCGGCTCACTATGGGCTCGAGCTCTGGCTGTTCCTCAGGGGATTTCTTTTGGTCCTTCGGCCTAGAGTTGCCGTCCGAAGGAATGGGTATTTTCGGGATGTTTAGATTCGAGAAAGAGGTCTCGTTGACTGCAGTACGGCTGCAAACAGAGTGTTTTCGCAGCTCGTAGTCGTCATGTAGTGACCGCAACCTATTGCCATCTCCTGTTTTCTCTGTTGCACTGCCGCCGCCAAGACCTCCATGGCATGGCATAGGACTCGCCTTCTTTGCGGTTGTTTCCACGACGATGACATCAGCAGTGCTCGATCGTTGGATGGATTCAGAATCGCCACCGGAAATCATGGAAATGGATCTGCTCTCCAGATACTCTGGAGCCGGATAATCTTCTTTTAAGCGCTTCAATGCACTGGTGAGATATTCGATATCTTCCCGACGGGCCCTCTCTTCCTTCCGCTTTTTCGGCCTCGAGTCAGAGGATCGTTTTCTTTCGATTGGTTCGCCGTCTTCGTCAGGTAGGGGTATCTCATTGAACACAAGATCCGCCACTGAGGAGACAGTTAGATACGCTCGCCTTGACGTGTAACGTACGTACGCGGCGCTGAGCTTCTACCATTGACGAACAGGCCGGGAGTAAAGGTAGACGTCAACTAAGGAGCGTAATCCATCAGCAATCTATATCCTGCAGGAGATAAAATGGGGGAGAGGCACCGTGATTCTCTCGTTTGGATTCGCAATTGCGCTGGACTTGAAGTTGGTCATGACCTCTCGGCTTGATCTCAGCCTTCCTGTTTTGGACACTCGCGCAGAGGGCCTCTTCGTCTGCTTCTGAATGGGTACGGCATCTTTGGATTTGACTGTGTCATAGCGGTCTTGTCGAGTCTTTCGCCGGGGTCGCTTCTCGAAAACATCGTCCTTGACAACCGAAGCGGGTGGCGGTGTTAAGATCGTAGTTCTGGAGCGGTACTCCCCCTTTCTGTCGACCGAAGCCCTACTGTAATTACTGTGAAGATCGGTCTCGTGATGATGATGATGTCGATCCGTTGGGACAGCGGAAGGTGCTGGTGAAGGACTGTCCTGTATAAAGAGATCCGACGACGGGTACCTCCCAGCAGCATAGGTGGACTGGATGCGGATGTTCGGAATGCCATTCGGATGCCATGAGGTCTCCGGAGCATCAGCAGGGCTTGCTTCTCGAGGAACTCTCCCAGGAGAATCATAGTAGCTTGTTGGCACGTGTTGTAACCAGGAAGGGATAAAGTCGGTCCGCGAAGGAGTGCGTTGCTCATGGGAAACAGACGGTCGGGCAGCAGAATGGCGGCAGGGGGTCTGATAGCAAGCCGTGCTCTTCCTGACGGGAGAACGACCGTGTCTGTGATGGGCCATGCTGCTGCCAGGCGACGGGATATCAGATGGCGGTTGATAGCCAGAAAGAATCAAAACAAGCTCTAGGCATGACGGAGAAACGCCTCCAGCGTCACATCGAGTCACATTGCAGCATATGTCAGGAAACAGCGCTTATGGTTCAGGTTCTATCTGGTTCGACACATTGAGGGCAACACCTCGCTCGAGATGGATATCGCAGGAGCCATGCTCTCACTGTGTGTCGCCGAGGGGAAGTCGAGTCTCACGCATTCACGCAGCACGAAGCAGCAGACAAGCTGCTTCCCGTTCATTCGTTCAGCGGCTTGGACTTGCAACACTGTCCAGTGTTAGTGCGACCTAGTGCAAACAGCTGCCGTTCCCCTTGATCAAAAGGACCTGCGGCATTCGAGAACAGCAATTACGAGGATCCGGGACAGCTGCTTGCTGATGCGGCCATTTGCAAAGCTGCATCGCCGGACGCTGGACTCCCGAGGCTGATTTGCTGGCTGAAACCTGGTGCGTTCTGCCATTTGTCACTGCGAACGCAGCAGCGCTCAGGCAAACAGGGATCGATGCTGCAGCGCTGCCTAAAGCAGCAAGGTTGCTCCATGCCCAGGCCTTGCTGTCTGATAGGCTTGTGGGCGCTCGAAAGAGGATTCCAGGCCATTGAGATTAATTACACGTGCGTTGCGGCTTGCCCCAAAGCAGCTGAACGGGTCCCCTCCCCCGCTCCACGACGCTGGGCTACGACGGTGGGCAGGCCGTGTGATTGGCGCGTCGGGGCTCCGAATAGCAAGTGCCTAGGCTAGGCAAGGGCCCTGTCCAACCCATTGATCCGTTGTGCTCGATATCATGGATGTGTAAGGTATGATGGGCGATACAGACATGGACGGGATCGCCGTGTCCGAGAGAAGAATGCTGTACGCAACAGCGCTGTTACCAGCTGCACTGACGTTGAAGGTTCAAGGGACTGACGGCGCTATCAAGGTTCTTCCGAGCGTTCGCAGGGACCGAGTTAGCGAGGACCAGGAGCTGTGCCCAAGCAGGTATGAACATGCGACCCCTGGCTGCTGAGTAAGGCACGCGAGCTCACCGAAACATCACCGTCCAACCACATCGAGCTGGCGATTCTTCGTACAGTGAAAGCCCGCCATCTCCTACTGCCAATCGTTGCGCGGTACTCACGAGTACTCCTCCAACCGACAAAGCTTCGGGGGCGAATGCCGGTTATTGCTCTTCATGTGCCAAGACAGTCCACGCATCACGACATTGCTCTCTGCGTCCTCCAACGCTGCTGAGCCCACCGCCAGCTCTGTGGGCATGGCTTCCTGACTCGGCGACCTACATCGAGTCTCTGTAAGGCGATCCTCAGCTGGCAGCTCTGATTGGCACCCTGGGCCAGCCCTTGGCCATCCACTTAGATCGGAGCGTCTGATAATCAACCCCGTCGGCGGAGCCAAGTCCATCCCCCCAAGTCATACGTTTTCGTCTAGCTGCAGGGCTTCTGTGCCACCTTGTTCAAGCAAGCTCGCATCCTTTATGGCTCGCTTTGTAGGCTGGATGGGGCCGAACCCGACTGCATGGTTCGTCGGGACCAGTGGACTTGGGGCGGAGCCACCGAGAAAAGCGCGCGCGCGCAAGATCCAAGGAATCTTTTTCGTGAGTGATGGTTCTTGTCTGTTTACTAAATCCGACGCATTGCCGTCCAATGTGTCGAGGACTCGTACATACATGAGATTAGCACAAGCACAGTAGGTACTATCGTGGTCTCGCAATTGGTGAAGCTGCATGCAGGGCGCCTATCGATCTGACCCTTGCGGCATGTACATCCGCTGCCATTGGCAAAATCTGGCTTGGCTCTCGGTCTGGAGCACCAATGCCGGCAGGCAATTGGGCACCTGGACTGGGAAGGCTGCGAGATATGTTCTGCTCTAGCGAGCTGAAAGACAGATCAAAGGAACTCCAGCACTTGCAAGCAAAGCATCTGGGTGAGCCACTTGGGGCCTTGCGGCCTCTTATTGGTGTGTGACCGGGGTCCGGTCGCTAGGAGAGCTAGGTCAGGGGTTCGCAACAAACGACAGCTTGACGTGGACCCTACCTGTGCCTAGATTGCCAAGCTACTACAGACATGTATCAAGTAGCTTACGACAAGCCTGCCTGCTTGGGGGCGGTTTGCGAGTGTTTCTGGCCAAGTGCCGACCAGGGGCTCAAGTCGAGCTCAAAGTCAAAGGCCATCGGCGTCTGAGTGCAGTCGGCAGTGAGTTACATATTCGCGACAACCGGTAGGTACAGTATATCGTCGACGGCACCATTGCCTTTACAGTCGTAAACTGGGAACTTTGTTCAAAGTTGCATGGAGTGGCACCCGTGTTGTCCGAGACAGAGAAGTGTCTAACAACAGTTGTAGTAATTGAAGAAAAAAAAGGGGGCGACAAGCATGGCCGAACCTTTGATATGTACAGCTCCAGCAGGTTGCCAGGGGGCTTCCCTCGGAGGGTTCTACAACCAAGACATCCGACGTGACCGCTTCTGAAGGCTCGAATCAGGAGGGAGGCTTCATGGATACCGCATGAACAACGAGCCCGGATCGGAGAGAATGCGTCATACCTGGATCTGGCTCTGTTTGATATTGCACCTGGTTCGTGCCCGATGCTGCAGGGACGAGCCTTTTATTTCGCCCCAAGGCCAGATGGTGTTTCTCGTCCCGATTGCACAGTCGCCGTATCGTCTCCTGCCGGCTGTTTCTCGATCTGAGCCTTGGTCACGCCATCTCGCCGTCATGATGTAGCGTGACAGATCGAAGGCGGGTGGTGTGTTCGTCAATCAAAACGGCTAGATGCCTTACACGGAGAATTTCCAGACAATGCAATTCTGCCTTCGGATCGTGACTGCCTTCCAGGGTGCTGCCCCGTGCCCATGTACTGCCAGCTATTCTCGTTGGTACAGCCCATGTGACAGGATACAAAAGATGGACCTTGAGATGATACGTCAATAACTGTCACCAAAGAGGCCCTGTATCGAGTCCCTGAGTATCCGATCGGGAGAAAGGCAAAGCGGCAGTGACTCTCAGGTTCAATGGCAGGCAAGGGACTGTGCTGTGCTGCAAGGTAAGGTAGCCTCGTCTAATAGAATGCCTTGAGCCTTGGCCTCACGGCTACATGGCGCAAACGACCGGCAATTGACCAATCGTCGAAGGCCGTGTGTAGTATCCCATGCTCTTTCCCAGCCCAGCGACGACTTATCTCACGAATCACCCACGTCATCATCAGCCTCGCACCGCTGCGGTACCAGGCGGTCACCCTGCTCTGCGCTCTGCCGCGGTGGTACTCTGAGGTAAGTTGTAGGTAGTTCCAGGCAGTTCCCCAGCAGATCGTTTCCCGCTGCAGGTGCAACATGGCATTGTTAGCAAGGTAGTTGCTGAGCGAGGCAGCGAGATGTCCGGTAGGTGCCACCTGGGTAGAGTAGGGCAAGTGCCGTTGTCGAAGAAGGTGCTGCTGATAACGCCTGCTGCCAACGGGAGACTGCCCAGCTTCTGCACAACGCAGAGTGCTGAGTGGTCGAGCTCCGAGTACTTTGTGTTTGTACCCGCACAGCACAGGACAGACGGAGGACCTTGGGGACTCGCAGCCGTCATCTGGCCACCGTTTTTTGCTCTCCCACAACTTCTCTTGACCGCATAAATGTCTTGAGCTTCCTTCTCCTCTCATCCTCTCCCGCCTTATCCTAGACGCAAGGCACGGTTTCTTTTGCCGTCTCAACCACCAGCTCCCACAGCCTCTGCGCGCTTCATCGTCCGCCCGTTCCCTCGAGGCCGCCGTGGCCACACCGATAAGCACCTCGTACGGATAAAGACCAAGGCGCCATCATAACAAGCTGCCCCCCTTCTGACGCGCCGCGGCATTGCCAACCCAGCATAATAGTCCAGCTTCCAGACTGGACTTGGGGTCATTTTAATTAGCGCATAGCTTAGGACATTCGCCGCAGCTCGTCGATCGCTGAGAGGGCGAGATCAGCAAGCCACAACCACGTTGTGTGGCTCTTCATCTCAAGACCTGGACAAGCTGGGTTACTGGTTCCAGACGTCACGGACGAATCGGCACAGCTCTAGGTACGTGGTCGCGCATGGCTTAGCCTGCCTCTTTTTGTGTCCTTGGCTGCGGTACTGCATGGTACACCTCTGCCGTCTCCGTCTTCTCGCCCCCATCACCGTCACCGTCACCGTTACTCCAAACTGTCATTGCCGCTCCGCTTGGCCCTCGTCTGGCTGCACTCGTGCTTTGAACCTGGCCACTACCCATCCATTGGGCAGCCCCAAGGCATCTTTCCCTCGTCACTTGACACCTCAGCGGACATCGACTGCACTGGGGACTCGGCAGTCGCCTGGCTTTTGTCTCTCCAGTTCTTGTCCTCTTTTCCGCTTGCACACTGCTCGCTGGCCCATGTCGACAAGCCCCCCTTGACTTTGAGGTATGCCATCTCATACCTTACTTCCAGCCCATGCTGGCCGGGGATCATCTGGAGCCACGGCCCAGATGCTTCTCGCACAGTTATGCCCGATAGTATCCAATGCTGAATGACACTATGAGAGGCTTGGAGTGCATTCGCTGTCCCCTAACGAGGGCGCCAGCCGGCGGCCAGTGGCCTGCGCACCACATGCAGCTTAGAGGACTTTATCCCCTACCGCTCTTCTGCAAGACACTGCCCAAGCCTATGACTCCCGTCTCTCCTCGTACCATCCTGCTATTACCCGTTGAGCTTAGTTCTTTCACCCTCCCCCTCCCTCCCAACGCCAACTGTACATCCCGATTCTGCACCCCGCCTGACAATATCAGAACATTCAGTCAGGGTACTGCAACTCTTGACAAGGACTGCCATATCCGCCAGCGTCAGAATTGAGACGCAGTGCACCTCGAAATGTCGAAGCTTTTCATAGGGTAAGCTTTCTGCTTTGAACTCGAGGCGCACTCGGTCCCATGAAGATTTCTGGTGCTGACTGAGAGCCAAAGCGGCCTAGCATGGCACACCGAAGAGGCCACTCTGCGCCAAAAGTTTGAGGAGTTTGGCCCGGTTGAGGAAGCGGTAAGTCGTTCTCCAACCTCCCATCACGCCTGGGGCACAGCAGCACGACTTGGCTCTGATTGACTTGCCTCGTCTGACTGGGTTGCGGCTCCCTCATACGATGGAATCGAGTATTCCAACCAACGCGGATCCGCTGTTTGCGGCTGCCCTTCTGTGAAAGCGTGTCTCTAACCTGCGTGTGTCAAGGTGGTTGTCAAGGATCGAGACACCGGCCGCAGCCGTGGCTTCGGTTTTGTGCGATACGTACAAGAAGCTGATGCCCAAGCTGCCATCGCCGCTATGAACAATGTCGAGTACGACTTCTCTCTTGCGTGTGCTTTCCTTTGTCAACTTCCCCATACTGCCAAGCTCTCCAAGCTCGTACGTTGAGGAGTTCTGACTCTTGCGTTAGGTTTGACGGGCGAACTATCCGTGTTGATAAGGCATCCGATAATGGTCCCCGAGGCGAGAGATTCGGCAACCGCAACGGCGGCGGAATGTATGGAAGCCGGGGTGGTTACGGAACGCCACCAGGATCCTACGGCAACGCCGCCCCCCCTGGTTACGGCGGCGCTCCCAACATGTATTCACCGGTTCCATATGGCCGTGGTTACCCACAGCAGCCGCCGCAGTATGGCGTGCCTCCGCAAGGTATTTGAAAATCAGACCGCGGCCGTTGGGGTCACGGTGGCAGCTCGTCCCGAACTGGATGTTGACCATCTCCCAGGTTACGGCGTCCCAGCCCCATACGGTGGCTACCCCAACCTTCCTCAGCAGCCGCCACAGCCTCCTCAAGGAGGCGGCAGCTACTAAACAAAGCCGTTGAGACCGCCGCAGATTCCTCGTCCAGAGACCTTTCCCCCAGAGTGAAGGCGTTCGAGCCCTTCCAGAGCGGTGCTATCGAGAACTAAAGACCCAGGCGTGTTCTTTTGGTTTTGCGAGCGGTACCCTATAGAGCACTGAAGATGAAGCATCTATAGAGTGCCAGAGATATACCCCGGATTCGTTGTTCTTTCGATAAGTGGATGAGCTGTCCAGGCTTCTATTAAGGAACTGCTCGAGGAGAGGTTATTGCAGAGGGATGGTTTTCTTCTTTTCTTGTTTCACTGACAATTTTTACTTGCCCCGTCTTATGCTCGTGGAATCAAAACAAAGGGTTCCTGCACCATCGCTTGAGGAGGGACTGGCCGGATCACGGACAATCAAGGGAGGATTTCTGGTGGAGACATCTGCAGGGGAATTTTGGAGCCATATTTGACCATCTTTCTAGAAAAGGTCAACTATCATACTGGCGACGTTGAGGACGGGCTATGGTCAATAACTAGGTCGATCGGTAAGAGGAATGGGGCGGCATCGTCTATCATTAGGGGATCTGAGAGGGGAAAAAACAGCATATGCTTTCCATGTTTCTTTGTCGGGTCTCTGGCATTTGCCATTTCCGCCCTTTCTCTATGAGTCAACCTTTTCGATTTCCTCCGCTTCCCGTGTGCTGCTTTCCTGTTTGAAATTGGAGGGAGGAGGCGAGGCTGGGGGAGCCTTGGGAGAGCCGTTGGCAGCGAGCTCAAGCGCCCTCACTCGGCGTGCGAGATCGCTAACGTGGACATCCTCGCTCTCCGGGCACAGCTCAGCCAAGGCCGTGTCCAGGCCAAAGAGATAATCCTTGTTCAGGCCACTGGGCCCACGACTACGCAAGATGTGCTCGGCAAGTTGCTGAGGGTCTTGGGGGCCGACAAACTGCTCGTTATCGGGTGTGCCGATGTAAACGAGTGTCTGGATGGGCGGGGAGCCATCGGCAGGGTGGAATGGCGTGTAGTGGATGGAGTAGCCGTTGATCTCGCGGATATCGAGATATTCCTTGACTTCTTTGACATGGTCGGGGTGAATCCGATAAGCTACGCCCCATACTTTGTCAGGGGCAGAGTCATGGTGATCCGTGAGCTGTTCCCAGTGGGAGCGTTCAATGAGAGTGACAACTCGCCCGGGGGCTTCTGGCGTTCCCCGATGATCCTCGCTGGTGCAGCATTCGAGTCAGCGTCATGAGCGAGACTTGCGAGGACGGGATTGTTCTCGCGTGGAATCTTGCTGTTGTCGTCATACCTGGCCTACAGACATGGTGAGCTACTTCGTACCATACCGAGCAATGTGAAGGAAAGGGAGGGGAGAAAGCAGTCAACCACTGGATCTTGGATCGTGGGTTCCTGGGAGTGCACTCACCTGCCAGAAGCGTCGGACATAACCCGTCACCCAGCCTGGGATCCTCCGGTCTTGTTGCTGATGTCAATAGGTGTTTTGCCTCATGGCTTGACAGAACGAACAGCATGAGATGTAGAGGGGGGCCATACCGAAATGCGGCGGGGGCTTCCATATGAGGCTCCTATACGTTGGGTATCCATCAGAGATTAGATGCACGACATGGGCGGAAAATAAAAAGGCTTGGGCATCGACAGGGGAGCAGCGGAGCGAATCCTGCGTGCCACGTCTGATGAGTCCCTGAGCCGGCAAATCATGAAACATACCCGTAGCCAAAGAGCCAGAATTCACCAGTCGAGTTTTCAGCCGCGGTCATCACGAGCGGATACGGAGATCACAGGGAGAGAGATGTTTTGCCTGGGGTGCTGGATCTAAGATACAAGCACACTGCCGACTTGGGGTCCGAAGCGACGAGATTACAAGAGCCGGGGTTTTGAAGGGACAAGAAAGAAATGACAGTCTATCGGAAATGCGCTGGCGAATGCTGCCAAGAAAGGAGAAGAAGAAGAAGAACCCGCAGAAAGAAGCGTTTACGTTGGGGGCAGTTGAATTTGGCTTATGGCGGCTGATGCTAAATGGAGTAGAAAAATGTCGTGATGATTGGTGAGGGACATGATTACAAAGCATCAAGTGACCTTTTTGAGTCATTCAAGGTATAGAGGAAAGGCTTCTGGTGATGGCAGACGACATGCACGGATTTTGGAGAGATGGCAAGCAAAGTCCTTGTTATGACCTGAAGAGATGAGTTGCGTGTTGGTAACCCATCGGTTTGAGGCTCGATGGAATCTCGCAGATTTCTAGTCAGGTGAGTCCTCCTCGTCTTACATGCCCGGGCACTTATTGGTTCCTAGTAAAGGTTACTAGTAGATTCAGGTAGATTCGATAACTCCCAAATTGACGTATCGTAGCACCTGCAAGGCCAACGGCGTCAAGATGCTGTCCGCACATCATAATGCCGCAAGCTGCTCGCCTGAGCGCGTATAGCATCGGCTCGAGGTGGAGTCTCGAACGTTATTACACGTATCTTCTCTCCCTGCAAGCAAGCAAGTCGGCAACTCACGAAGAAGCAAGCACAAGTCCAGCCTTATTACTACTACTACTACTACTGGCCGAACTGATACGCGTGGTCCGTGGGCGATCCCGCGGCAGAGCCTCGAACCTGTGGCGGCTGTGCATGTTCCAATGTTTCACTGTTTTCTCATCTCAGCACCAGGGGAGAGGGGAGGGGGGCTGTTCTAAGCAGGTCGGACACTACGAGTGCGAAGGAGCAATGCCCGTCAAGGTACAGCGGGATTCATACTGATGACGAGTCCCCTTGTTCGTAATGACTGTCATCAAACGGGATCAATGCCATGGCAGGATACTAGAATGAAAGAGTAGAGACAAGCCCTGGCAGGTTGCTGCTATTTTGGAAAGACAAGAAGAAAAAAAGTGGAATGATTTAGGTAGGATGGATGCAGTGGATGAGGTGGATGAGGCGCGGCATTCATCCCGAGAGCCAAGGAATCAAACGCCACAAACGAACGTGTCGCAAGGCATAACAGAAGGAGAAGACAGACTTTGCACTATTGAACAAGGTCAAGAGACAAGGGATCGGTGCTATTGGGAGCTGGGAGCTCTGCCGAAGCGCGTGGCTGACGGAACGGAGGTGCTCAGATACTAGTATTGTGAACTGTCATTTATATTGCTGCTTGAATCCTTCAACTGCTACTCGCAGCGATCTTCCTCATTCTCTTGGTCATCATCCTCCTCCCCGGTCTCATACAGACAGCTTCTTCCAGCGCCAATTGAACGGGCTTGTCTTGGCGACGCGGCATACGCACGACGACCGACGAACAGGCAGCAGGCCTGTAAGCCCCTATTCAGCATCTATCTACAAGGGCGACGAACTCTGCAATCTCGCATTTGCAAGATTGCCTTACCTACTTTATTAGTACATCTTATTAGACGGCCGAGTGCCAGATAGATGGACGGCTTTGCCATACCCTTGACCTTGAACCTGCCCCGCGTTCGAATTTCCAGATAAACCAAAGACTGCTCCAAGTACCGCCGCGAAGCTTTTATCTCCTTCTTCAACCCCACCCCCCCCTAACGTTCAGCTTCTTTCTACTGCCTTCTGTCTTGAATACCAGTGAACGGCGCATCGCAGTCCGCATCGATCAGGCGACCTGGAAATTCCCTCATTGTTTGCTTCATTCCGACTTCTGTACCGGACGGACCACGTCTCGGTACATTTGCGAAGGCTTTCGACGACCCGCGTCTTTCCTTTGATAGTTACCTCAACCTCCGCGAACATGGCCTACAACCGACCCTACGACCCGGATGCGCTCCCCAGGTATGTCTTCCAGCTGAAGGCGCAAAACATGATGAAGCCGCCTCTCGGCTTTGCTGCCCCTCTCGCGACTCAAGACTTTTGCTACAACGACCAGTCGCTAACTCTTTGCCAACAACAGATTCGCTGAGCCTGATCCCGTACGTTGCCTGAAGCCTCCCCACCCTTGAGATTGGGGGAATAGACAAGCCATGGGACACGAGCAACTGACCAAGAGGCTCTTTGCGCGTCCTTACAGAAACCAGGCCAAGCGCCCCCTCCTCAGCAGAGATACGATCAGCGACCCCCGCAGCCACAGTATCAGCAACCGCCGCCGCAGCAGCAGTACCAGCACCCACCACCGCCGCAACAGCAATACCAACAACACCCGCACCAGCAGCCGTCCCCCAGGCCCGACCAGCACCAGTACGACCACCCGCCGCGGCGCGACACGGCCCCGGGACACCCTCAGGGGCAGCCGAGATACGACCAGCAGCGGCACGACACGAGGTCGCCCATCCACCACCCGGGCGCCTATGGCCTCGGATCACCGCCGCCTGTCGCAGCCGCCCAGCGTCCGGCAGCGCAGCACCACCCAGCTGCCACCTCTCGGCCGCCTCCGTCGCCGTCCAACGACACGGCTGGTGCTGACCCGACACTGCTGCCCTTGTTCAGGGCCGTAGACAAGGATGGTGAGTTTCTCAAATCCGGCGGAATATTTGCTGCGAAGAACCCCTTCCAAAGAAGCAAATATGCTGACGCAAACCCTTGCTTCAAATCAAAAGGCACCGGCCACCTCTCTGAGAAAGAGCTCTCCGCGGCCCTCGTCAACGGCGACTGGACCGCCTTCGACATCCACACCGTCCGCATGATGATCCGCATGTTCGACTCGGACCGCAGCGGCACCATTGGCTTCCAAGAGTTCTGCGGCCTCTGGTCCTTCCTCGCCTCGTGGCGCACCCTCTTCGACCGCTTCGACGTCGACCGCAGCGGCAACATCTCCCTGTCCGAGTTCAGCGACGCCCTCATCGCCTTCCGCTACCGCCTCAGCCCGCAGTTCGTCGAGCTGCTGTTCCGCACGTACGACAAGCGCGGCGAGGGTGTCATGAGCTTCGACCTCTTTGTCCAGGCGTGCATCTCGTTGAAGCGCATGACGGATGTATTTAAGCGGTACGACGATGATCGAGATGGATATATCACGTTGAGCTTTGAGGACTTCTTGAGCGAGATTCTGAAGCAGCTGAAGTAAGGGGGAAACAGACTGTTGGTAATATGGAGAGAGGAAAGGTGGAAAATTGGAGAAGAAACAAAGATATCAGTCAGGGACCGTGGGGATGTAATCGGTGGTTTGTTGGACATTTGTTGGACATGGGGCTCTAAGAGTGTGAGCATTTTGATAGTAGGCAGCTTGGATGGATCAGATGCACGATACCCTGGGGATATATAGTGAGGGCGTCTCATTTGCATCTAGGAGCGTCACCTCGCGCACATGTTCCATTTTTGCAATGACTCTCTCGCTTTCGCCTTGTGCTCTTACAAGGGATGTGATTGTTGAGGCCGCTCAGTGATAAGAGGCGAGAGTCATTGCTGAAGATGGGTATCAGACAAAAGCAGTGAATTATACATATCCGTATAGCAGTGCTATCCAGAGAGGAGCAGAGTGTGTGATTGCAATGGTTGTTTTGCGGTAGCCATCCTACGCAAATTGTCAACGTCCTCACCTTTGTATGCTGGTACTCCTACATAGAGGTTGGTATCATGGAATCAATTCTTCAAATCTATCGTAACTGGACGTATACGTCGTCTCCTTGCTCTGCGCCGCGCACTCAATGATACTATTCAAAGCCAAACGTTGTTAAATAGCCCCAAACCATCCGGCACCGACTTCTGATGCTGCCAAGCAGGGCTCACATCGCAAACGCTGTCGCCTGTTAGAGTCACCTCCTCCCCTCGGCTCATATCCAGTATCTGTGTACCAGTGGGCATCGGCGTATTGCGGTTCGAAGCAGCACCTCTTTTCTCCGCCGCCTCTGCCCGGCCCAGCAATTCTTGAATTTCGTGTCGGAGGAACGTTCTTGTCCGTGGTCGTCTGCTCCTCAAGACGACCGCCGCTTTGCCGCTGCTATTGCTGTTTGCCCCTCGAGTCCTCACCCAGCTTCGTGCACCCAGAGCCAGAGCCGTTTCCTGTCCGATAGGTACAAGGCTCTTGCTGCGACCGCTGCTGCTCCGTCCTATAGCCCACCGCGGCATCGGCTCTGAGTCGAAACTGTGGATGAGCGCGGTCAGGGGGAGAGCCGCTTCGGAAACAAGATGTGAAGTAGCATAGGGCTTTATGCTTTCGTATGATGTCCCTCGCGGTGAAAATATGACCGAGAGAGTTTGCTCGTGAATACGAGGAACCGGCAACGCTTTGTCGGTGCCGTTCCGAGGAACATGTTTCGGTACTGGAGTGTCCGGAGGTGTAGGAGGGACGGGTTTGGCAGTCCAGTCCCCCAACGACGGCTTTGGAAGAGATATCAGAAGTTGAGGGGGGTTTTTCGGGGGGAGCTGCATTAGTACCATAGAGGTTGTGGCAATCGACCGTCGAAAGGGTGACGGCTTTGAGGGAGGAGGCCGATATGTGATGCCTACAGCCGCTCGTGCACATATATCATTTCTCTTCTGAGAAACCAGGGCCACAGTCACCTCGCCATGGTCACCACCCGCGTAACATGGAGGCACCGGTAATCGAATAACCGTATCCCGCCCCCTCAGGCGCGGATCCTGCCATGGTGAAAGCGTTTTGACGTTCCCCTTGTCAAAATGTCTCCATCCCCGGATAGTCTTGGCCGTTGCTGGATCAGTTAAGATGATCGTTTTGGTGGACGTTGGGAGTATCTGTCTTAATGAAGCTTCAAGGAGATGATTATCTCGGCCTGGGCCGATGATGATGAGATTTGCCTCGGGTATATGGCGCGTTGAAGAGATGCATTGGCGAGACAAAGGCGGCTCCTCAACCACGGGATCCAGTAGAATATGGAACGGATCTCGTATAATACCTGCTAACGGCGTGAATGTCAGCAGAAACGAATCAGCTGAGCATAGTCTGCAGATTTTCAATGACATGATGGCAAGTCTCATCCGGGTGGACTAAAAGAGATGGAAGTTCGAAGGAGCCTCTGCTTTCTCGAGCATTGAGGCATCGTATCACATGTCAAACCATGTTCAGGCAGTAACCAGAATCAACGATCACGATCAAAGTAGGCCAAATAAGATGACTTTGTAGTCCGATATCAGGAAAGGAATGCTTTGTGGTTCGGGTTTGAACCGCGACTCCTGGAGCTGCCAGTACCATGCAGCTGAATGCAGGGACTCGCTGCATGATAATAGACAAGATGGATCTGCGTGTCACCCATTTTGAGTGTTGACCAACGATGCAAGATGAATGTGAGCGAGTGGCATTCCTCTCATCGAGGGATCGTGTTTTGGCTAGGCGACGACTGGTATGCTGTCTGAGTCAAGTCGAAAAGAGAATTGGTGACCGGATGAAGCTGATTCTCCGTGATCAAATCATAATACCGAAATCAAATCTATATAAGCTTAGCCTGCATGCTCAGCTGCCTCCCATCGAGCACCTCCATGTCAGTTCAGCTTGATCTCACGCCGACTAACCGAAGTCGAGACGGATGTGTTGGATGGAGGTTTCTTTCTCTGCAAACGAAAAGGCTTTGCTGCGTACTGAGGCCACCAACGGACAATTGAGAGGTACCAGTTACAATAGGCGGAGGATCATCGTACAAACGATACGTGTAGTAGGAGTAATAACCCACCAGACGCTTGAACGGGGATATTCGCAAGATACTACCTAGTAGTGGTACTAGTAGATGCGTGCCGTCTATCCAGGGCGGACAGATTTTGAAGGGACAAAACGGAGCTACTGCTTGGAGGCGTCTAGCTTTTGTCGGCCAATGCTGATGTAAGGTGTCTGTCAAATGGGCCAAAACGGGAAAAGAACAATTTGGAGAGATGTAAGATACAAAAAATACAAGATGAATTAAAAACTGATGAAAAATCACGGAACGGCATCCAATGTGTCATGGCAAGTGGGCATCATAGCAAACGCTAGGAGCTACTTCCGCACGGGACTCCAGGCACAATAGGCGCGGAGCCTGTAGCGCGGGCAAGTGCAGTGCCATTGCAGCAAGGGAAGGTGGGGCGTGGAGACCGCAAGACTGCAGAAGGTGCAGAGTGCAGCGCAGAAGGTGCAGCAGAGTGCAGAACTGGAGTCACAGTGCGTGTGCGTTGAGGTCCCGCCTTCCCTCCGAGGGCACGCCAAGCACAGAGGCTGCGGTTGTAGGAGCATGGAAGAGGGAGGTACTTGCCCGGGGCCTCGAGGCATGCAGAAGGACCACTGCACCTCGGTACCTGGCTGACCATTTGGAGGTTGGAGAAGGTAAGTCCTACCTATGGAGGTAAGGTAGGTAGGTATTATTAGCAGCTTCTTGCCCAGACGCCCGTTCGACCAAGTCAGGTGCTGTCGACAGAACTTGGAAACTGATGAGTCGTGAGCACGGGCAGGCAAGAACTGGAACGAAGGGACGGGAAGCAGCAGGCCAGCAGCAGAGCTATGGGTGTGCGCGCTGGTGGGTTGCCAGGAGCTGGGGAAGGGATCCTTGAGGGCGGTTGGGCGGCTGTGACTGGCTGCGCTGCGGCCGGCATGCCAACTGCAGAGGCCTGGCGCGGGGTCACCGCCTTTGATTCGAGAAGAGACGGGCTCTCTCGTCCATTCTGGTATCCATTCTATCCACGTCTTGCCATGCTATCCATGCTATCCATGCTATCCATGCAGCGGCCTTGAAGGTTCTACTGTACGGAGGAAGCTTTCAAAAGTAATGTCCTCGCGTCGCTTACTATTTGGGCCTATTCAAATAGTAAGCGACGCGAGGACATTACTTTTGAAAGCTTCCTCCGTACTACAACTACTATTCCGCACGAGCAGCGGCCCTCTGGCGGCTGTGATTGGCACGCTGCGGGAGCCGTCCCTTGCTGATATTGGATGGGCTGACGGCAGAGAGAGGGCTGCTCTAGCTATTGTGCTGCTATTGAATGCTGAAAGCGCTCCGGCGCACTGAGTCTGCCGTGCGACATTCGCTCAGCTGGGGTCCATGGCAGCACATGCTCCGGGCACATGCCCTGGCATCTGCACTCTGCAGTTCAGCCGAAAAAGAGAGGAAGCAAAGGTCAGTTTGAGACAAAATGACTTGGACAGTGGTAACAGCAGAGGTTCGCCAACCGGGGCTGCTGTTGGCTGTGCCGTCATCATCTGGAAAGTCTTAGAGATCAAGGCTCAATGGCAGAAAAGCTCGTGTCCGTCCAGAGGGGGCTATGTCGTGGTACCAGGTACGAGCGCACACCACCGGTGGAAGGACAGACGCCTCCAGATTTTTGAGACTCGGTCAAGCACACCGATGCCTTTCACGATAGTCGGTCGTTGCAGTTTCCACAAGGCACAATCAAAGGCAAGGCGACAAGCCCATCTCCATGCTACATTTCCGGCAGAACAAGGACAAGCCCGTTTACCTCGGACAAGCACTCCGTACACCGGACTCTCACTAACATGAGAAATACTCACGACTCAGTCTGCCTGACAGGACCCAAAATGGCCCTCTCCGATCCCCGACCCCGACCCGGTCGGCTGCACGTCAGTTTCATGGTGTGCAGACCACTCGGACCCTGGCACACCAGTGATGTCAGTCGCCCTGTTAGGTTGGTGATGGCGCAGTGGCGCTTCCCAGGATACGATGCTGGAGACGTGCTCCAGAGACTCCAGAGAAACCAGGGAGACGTGCCGTTGTCTGGGTCCTGCTCCCGGCTTTGCAGTGCCAGAGGCGTCAAGTAGCCGATACTTTACTTGGTGCTTTTACTCGCGACTGAAAGAAATTTCCCTCCATTCTGCCCACACACATCGCCGCCACCGAGCTAGCACTAACAGCTTGAATTTTTTCTCTCTTTCTTCTCTTTTATTCCTTCTATTATTGACTCGCAAGCCACACGCCGACCGATTCAGCAACGCCTTCTGCTCCGGTGCCCTACCCAGCTAAGCTCGTTTGAGCTGCGATTCAGACACCAGACCGGGCAGCCCGATTTGCGTAACTCTACACAACGATACGCCAGAGAGAAAGGAAGGGCAGCTTCAATGCGACTGACGGCGGAGCTACAGCACAGGCGCCAAGCGCAAGCTCTAGCTCTTCGCAAAGGCTCCGGAAGTGGGAGAAGGGCTTGGATAACGTCCTCGGACCCGCCGGTGCCACGCTTCCGACCAGAAGCGGCTTGCATCATGGCGACAGACGGCCTCTTGTTCTCCGTGATTCTTGTCTACATATCAATACGCACATCTTCGACAGGGTCTGCTCCGTACAGTGTCCACACTGTAGCAGGCCCTTCGTATGCTGGATCAAGGCGGCCCTTTTTCCCCTGCTCAACTGCTGCTTATCGTCCTATCTGCTTGCCGGACTAGGAAGGATAGGCAGTAAGCTTGGCATTGTCGGCAGCAGGGCATGGGCAGGTCACGATGAGGGATAACTTGGATACTGGTTCGGAGGTGCTCATACGAGCAAAGCACGGCAACCCGAGACAAGCGGGCAAAACGAGCCAGTGTTCCAGCTGCCAACCTTCTGCGAGCAGTTCCTCGGTCTGAGGCTCCGCCTAGCACGCCGCTTCGCAGCACTGGGAGCAGCCGAGTGCGCACAGCAGGCCCCCTGTACTTGTACAGACTACTTGGATGGCGGCTGGACGGCTGTGTCACTGGGTAGTACTGGAGCTCAAGAAGCTGATAAAGCTCCCCTGGTTCCCAAGAATACAACCACCTGCCCCCACTCGTCGGTCAGCTCGAGACCTCAGCCAGCAACTCGACCTGCTAGAAACTGCAGACAAAACTGCAGCGCTGTGCTGCGCGATGCCGCCCCGCCAATGCCGAGTCATTATGGTTGCGAGATGCCATGATTTGCCACGAGATTTGGCGCTTGTGAGGAAACGGCACCGGACGGTGGGCAACAGGGAGGATGTACTGCGTACCTGCTTCTACCAGTCAGGGCCTGGGGTTAGCAGCAGACCCTTATTAGGGTTGCGGTACCAACAGCACGTTTGCCGACGACGAAGACTCGAACCGGTTGTACTAGTATACAGTACGAATCGCAAATTGAAGACGAGCTACCGAGGGCAGGAAGAAGCCATTTATACACGAGGCATTGCAGTGTGCCTTTTGCTCTTAAGTAATTCTCACCAACACTGCTATTACCGTCCCAGGGGCACGAGGTACTGGCCGCCACCTGCGACTTACTACCAGCAACCCGATAGAACGAAATACAGAGTCGCTCGAGAGGCAAAGAGGGAGCATTGAAAGCTCCCGGTGGAGTCTCTGCTCTTCTTGATTTCAGCAGGGGGGCGCCAGAGCTTAACCCCAAGCTCCCCATTGGCCCGCCGCCACGTCCAGGTCTGAAGCAGAAACCTCTAAGCAGATCACAAGGGACCTTCTGCTGATGGAGAACGGGCCAAGGTGCGAAGCACGAGGTACCTGCTACCAGACTCCATACTGCCACATTGAGCCCGCCGCAGACGAATGTCAGAAGCGACTTCTGCCCACACACATTCCTCACGCCCTGCGTCTTGCTCACTCCCCCTCTTCCGGGGTGCCCTACCTTGCCTGCAGTACTCGAGCATTCGTTCTGTAACAGCAGCTTTGCAGCGGCCCCCAGGGCGTGTGCTTGTACTCTATACTTTGTCGAGCAAGCCGTGCGCCCCAGTGACGGCTCCCGCCGGTGGTGTCTGTTGCGTCGTCGTCGTCGTCGTCGTCAATCAAGTACACATTGGTATCGCCTGGGGTACTACTGACCTCCATGCGTGCTTGTTCGCATTCGGGACCTTTCTTCTGCTTTCCTCGATTCCCTATTTCTTTCTACTGGCGTCCCGCCGTTCCCAGCTGGTATCAAGGGAGCACGAAGGGCCTGCTGATTACTCGCAGTCTTCCATCGTCGTTAGGGTCCGTCGATGCCACACGCAGCCGGTCCCCGTGAGCTGAGTCGAATCCATCTGAGCGCCGCCACTTGCAACATGGAGTGCTGCGGCGAGGCCAAGCTCTGGTACCTAGCGGTACTTAGCATAGCTCTCGACTCTCGCATTGTGGCTGCTGCTGCTGCTACTCCCTGGTAGGTATTTCCTAGTCATCCTGCTCTCCTACACTGTACTTCGTACTTCTTACTACTTGCCGCCATCGATCCAAACCTCTCCCCTCCCCATTTTCTCCCACACATTGACGCTGCTTTTCTTATGCCGGTAGAGACGCCTGCGAGCTCTGGCGAATCGCATCTCTCTTCTTCAGCTCATCTAACAATACTGGCTATTGTCCATAAGCTCTTCTTCCCTGGTACCCAATAGTACCCTCTTCTTAACCCCGGCACTTCCTCTTACACACCCGTCAATCTCTCTCTCGCCCTGCCTCTTTTCCCTCTTGCCATTCCCTCACCACCTCCAGCTATCCATACTCAAACCTCTTTACCACATACAACCAATCCTACGATACCCTCTTGCATCCTAGTATTCTCTCCAATTTCCTACAAAGCTTAGCCTTCAACTTTATCTGGACCTCGGCATTGCGCCTCAATTTATCCTTTGCCGAATTGTTTGGCCCTGCATAACCGCATACCTGACTACGATATACCTGCGCCTTGACGGAGAAGCCTCAAACTCAACATTTCAGCCAAGCACAAGTTACTTTCTAGTAGCACTTTTCAGCAGCTGCGCATAGTAACATTATCGCCTCGTTTCTTATTGAACGGGGCTTTCGCCACAACTCGGTTCTCCAAAGCTATACATAACCGCCTGCGGCCCATCCTCCGCTCGATTGTCGTCTCCCTCTCGGCGCTTTGTACAGATATCAACCGTCCGGTCTTGTACCCATCTTTGAGACAAGCAAATCGACAGCCAGGCGGCGGGAACGAGCTTCAATACGTCGCGCTCGCAATCGCCGCCCTCGACTTATACAGTCCTTGTTGGATCCAATTTGCTTTCACCCGATCTCTCCATTCTCCTCTGACAGTACCATCATCACCGAAGACAGCGCTCGTCTTCTCTAGCGGGAATCAAGATGCCGCCGCGCTCGTCCCTCACTTCGTCCTTTTCCATCACAGCAGACTCCAATAACGAGGTTGTCTGTCCGCTTCGGAATCAAGATGGCTCAAGTTGTCGGAAAAGATGCATCGGCGTGAGTACTGGCTGACTTGCTTTTCCCGGACTTCTTCTTTGTCTCTTGCTGCAGCCATCCGCTTCTCCCCCCCTCCACCAACCCCCCGTCTGCCTTGAATAACATCCATATTGCCTTGCTTCTGCCTTATGTTCGATCCTTTGCTGGCACGGCCAGGAAGGCTCTTTTGTCATACGCACATGCATTCGTTGTCCATACCTTACAGACCAGCTCCGCCACCACCCAGCCTTATGTGTAGCTCTCAATGCATTATGAACCATAACACAAGGCTCTAACACGACGCCTGTATTATAGGAAAAGAGATACCGCTCAATGCAAGAGCACATCCGCCGTGCGCATCCCGAGCACTACATACCCAAGCTCCCTGCGACCGAAGACAGCTTCCTGCTTATGGTCAACACTCCGCCACAAGATCGCCGTCAGCTTGAAGGAACACCAACCGCCGCACAGAGTACGTCAATCCAACTACCTTTGCTTGAACACAATTCCGCCTGCTCTTATCAGCCTCCTTTATGGCCATGGCTACTGAAACTGACTGTCCATGCTTAGACTTTCAAGATCGGCATGCTTTTTACAGAGGCGAATCAAGCACCCCGGGCACGCCGCGGGTCGGAGACGATCAAACACTGCCTGGTACCAGCTCTATCCTGGGAACTGCCGGCGCAGCAGCTGCCTTGGCGGAGCTGCATGGCGTCAAGTCTGAGAGAGAGTCGGATCTCATGGACGGTGTAAGTGAAGAATGACCCCCATGGGTGACTTGATGACCATCCGATAGCCCGCCGGATGAGCATTCCGTCTACCAAGCCATCCGTCAGCTCACGATAAATCACGTCGATACGCCTTGTCATGTCTGCTAACGCGGTGCTTTTCATGACCTTAGGGATATTATTCCGACATTGATCAACGGCGCAGGCTGAGGAAATCCATTGAGCTGCCGCCTCTGAATCTCAGCAACATCACCAGCGACCCCTATTCCAACAGGCCTCGGGAAATTCTCCCATCTCTAATGGCAACTTCACCGCCTGGGCGATCATCAACTTTACCTCCGCTCCAGCGTCCCTTGGGGCCTATGCGGCCTCGCAAGCAATCCATATCGAAGAAAAACCGTGAGGCTCAGCACAAGAAGAAGCCCTCGCGCGGCTCCGATTGGCTACGGCGTATTCAGAACGAGGAGCGAATCAGGCCCGGCGGTCATGACCGCAAAGCTCTCTCTGCTGAGCCCTGGACGGACTATGGTAAACGATGGGAAGACCTTATCGATGCCGCAGACCAGGCTGCATCTGCTGCGGGGGATGTTGATGAGGACCGCACTCCTGTAAGTAGCACCGGATGGGCATTTGTGTGGAAGCAATCATGTTGCTGACTTTGCAATCTTTGTCCAACAGATGCCTCGATCTCCGGTGTCAATCCACCGAGCATCTTTGCCTCCGTTCAATCACCATCAGTTCCAGTCCAGCAGCAACAACTATCAAGCTTCTCCTCTGCAGCAAGCCTTGACTCCGCCCCAAACTTACAATGCGGATATGGCTGAGCCTTTCCCATCTGTGGAGAGCGGCGAGAGTGGAGATAACTTTCACATTGGATCTCGCGGACTGTCTGACTCGTCACCGACCTACAACTCGCAGAACATCCAGATATACTGCGCTGCTTGCAATCGCGCCTCCCTCCTCAAGACTTCATATGCCTGCACGGAGTGCATCTGCGGACTGTGCTCGAACTGTGTTGAAGTTCTCATGTCTGAGCACGGAGCTCGGAGGAAGTGCCCCCGCTGCGAGACAATCGGCGGTAAATTCAAGCGCTTTCAGCTGGATGTCAGGTGAAGGAGTTTTTCTTCTAGAATCTTATTTTCACGGCGAAGGCTCCTTCATGGGTGGCGCTACTTCTTTTCACACCTTGGCATCTAGAGTATGTTCAAGAGTCGGCGCCAGTATAGACCGGACAGTGGGCGAAAGTTGCGTGGCTTTCTTTTTTTCCCCTTTTCCTTTTTTCTTTCTTTCTTTCTTCTTCTTTCTTTTCTGACCAGGTTTATCTGGATCGTGGTTTCATTATTCCTTGGTCTAGGATGTTGGGTTTTACGGCGTTTTGTGGTTCATATACTATTGGATGCTGATGCAACGAGGGACATCTTGGGTATCTTTTTGGGGTGGCAGACTTTCGGCTGTTTATGACTGGTTCAACGGCTTTGGGTTATGATTTTCATGATGGTTGGGTAGGTTACGTCTTTGTCTCGGAATAGGGATCGGTTTTAAGACAGTCAATGAATGTTCATGCTTCGTTTTATGTTGATGCTGTTATGCCAGTGACTGTGTTTTTCCAGTCGCTGTTCCCAGTGACTTAAGATAGTACGTTTGTGTGTCTCCTAAAAACTCCGTACATGATTTAAATATTCCACAAGACTTGTCATGTTCTCATTGTGTATAACGCCGTATCTCCGGTAATTATCGAAACCGCACAGGTTGCTTCTTTACTTGCCCCTCTTCTCCTTCTCCTGCTGCAGCAGCATGTCCCTGACGGCGGCCCTCATGTTCCTGCTGCCGCCGAGCTTGGGCCCCTTGAGGATCTCGCCCGCCTGCTGCTTCTGCTGCTTCAGCTGCTGCTGCTGGGTGACGGGCCGCTTCTTCTTGCGGCGCAGGGCCTGCTCGGTGTAGTACTGCTGGCGGAACTGCTCGGCGAGGCGGTCGTCGGCGGAGGGGTCCGCGCCGGCGGGGGCGGAGGAGGATGATGCTGCTGCTGGTTGCGTGAAGGGGTTGGAGGGGACGTCGTAGACGTCGACTGTTTGCGCGGGCTTGTGTTAGTACCACTTTGCTTGGTTGACTGACTTTCTTCATGATCAAGAGATATAGAGAAGATCAAGCAAGAGAGAGAGAGAAAGAGAGAGAGAGAGAGAGAGAGAGAGAGAAGACGTACGTCGGTTTTCGTGGAGGAATTGCTCGACGAGGGCGTCGCGCGCAATGTCTTCGCTGTTTCGGCGGTTGCGGCCACGGCGAGGAGGCGGCTTGGCAGTTGTATCCTTGTCGATCCGGCGCCGCTTGTTGTTGTGGTCGGTGCCATTGCCGCCGTCGAGGGCACTCATATCGACCTCGACGAGCTTGCCATGGCGCGTGGGCTGATCTCGCCACTTCTCCGCCGGGTCACCAGAGGCGAGCGCGTCGGCGGCGGCCTGGGAGGCGGGCCGCTGCGAAGAGGAGGAGGAAGGATCGCGGGGGTCCGTCGCGTTGCGGCTAGTGAGGCGGGATTCTATGTATGCATTCCTGAATGATTAGCCGGGAGGGCCTGGAGATGGAGGAGGGGGGGAACAGAATTGGTGCGAGGTTCAAAGTTTCGCGGGCTGGGAAGGGGATCAAAAGCGAACAACGTACATGTGTTTGTCGTCGAGGATGGTCAGGAGGCCGGTCTGGTGCATGAAGCGGTTGGTGATGCCGCCGACGATGCGCTCGTGGTCCTTGTCCTGCTCTCGCAGCACCAGCGCGTGCTCCCCGTCTTCATCCTCGCCGTCGTTGAGGCCTGGGCGTCCTTCTGAGCGGAAGCCGACGCCTCCTCGACGGGCTGCGCGGCGCGCGTTGCGGAGGCGCAGGGCTGCTGCCACGGCGGATTCGCTCTCTGACTGGTTGTCTCGGTGGTCGTCGTCGTCGTCGTTGTCGCCATTGGCATTTCCCATGTCTACATCCGCGGCGTGTGTTGTCGTTGTTGCTTCTGCACCGGCAGCATCGTCATCATCTACGTCTCTTCGCCCGAGCTCGTCATCAGCGCCCGGCTTCGTCGACGCGCCTGGCAGGACGGGCGCAGGCTGAATCGCGGCGTCAGGGTTCTTGTCTTCCTCCTCGGCAGTTCGTTGGCGGTAGCCGGCCTTTCTCTTTTTGCCGGCGCGAAAACGAATTGGCTCTATCGTCGTCGGGATGGTTCCGTCTTGTTGATCTGTGGGCGCATTCTCGTCCATGCTTTATGATGTAGAAACGCTTTCCTGCGCTTGTAGGGATTAACGTTCCAGTTCCAGATTTCTGGGGCTGAAGGGTTGACGCTTATCGATGGGCGGAGAGTGTGACTTCATTGATGTTCATATCCGGTGATTAGCCGATGGGTAACTCGCAGTCAACGGACTCGGAAGGCGAGAATGGAATCAACTTGATACAAATGAAGAGATAAAAAGAAAGAGAAAGACGATTTCAGTGCTTTAGAAATGTTGAAGAGAGTATGTACCAATGGTATTCTATTGCGTGAAGCAGCTTCTCACATGCTTTTCCAGGTCTACTTTGAGGTCCATGGATTCGTCCAAGGTAATGATGCAATCATTGGCTTCCCTCTCAAGTCTTGGTAACTCACAGCTAACCTCAACTTTCTCAAGGCGTGGGCTTTCGGTACGACTTCCTTACAGAAACGTCCAGCATGAGAGACTTTAGATCAGAGACTAATAACTCACAGATACTATACGAGGAAAAAGGCCCAAGAATATGGCGTCACTGGATGGTGTCGCAACACTGCCAATGACACGGTAGGATTGCCTCCTCGCATCATCAACAATTGCTAATTGCTGAAGAATGTTTGAAACAGGTCGAGGGCGAAGCACAGGGAAGCGAAGACGTCATGAAAAAGTTCTTCGAAGCCATCGGCAAAGGCCCGAGCCACTCCGACGTCACCAAAGTCGTCAAGGAGGACCGCGATGTGATAGAAGGGGACAGTAGCTTCGAAGTTCGACGTTGAGTTTTGTTGTGATGGATGTGAGATGGTAGCTGATAGTAGTATTAAAACAAGCCATGAATCCTGAGGCCCGTACGCCATGCTAAACATTGTACCCATATGTATGACCAGATAACAACGTGTGTATAAAGGGGGCCAAATGACCTGCGCCCAGTTTGCCAGCCTAGAAACCCCTCCCCCGTCTCTTCATTACCGGCTTCTTGACCGCGCCTTGTATGGTAAACTTCTTCTCGTCCTTGTCCGACTTTTTGTTGACTGTCCGCTCGGCCTCGGCTTTTTTACGCTCCTCGTCGAGACGCTTATCCTCTGCCATCTTGGCCTCAATCTCCATCTTGCGGTTAAACTCCGTCTCGGTAATGCGTTTGTCTCTGATCGAGTAACCCTTCTCCTTGATGGAGTAGAAGACGCCACCGAGGTCCGCCAACCAGTGAGGGTCAACTGCTGTAACGGTCGAGACGTAGACTTTGGACGTGAGGATGAGCTCGTGATATACAATGTAGTCCGGCGGATGGCCTGCGTACAGGGCGCTTGTGGGGTGTAGCTGGACTCCAAGGTTGGTTCGCAGGTTGGTGTATTCGCCAGACCCCTTGTATTTGGCGGCTTGGTGGTAGTATCCGGAGCAGATGCACTTGCGAATGACGTCCCAGTCCATACCACAGCTAATCAGCTGCATCTTCTGCATCTTGACTATATCCAGGAGCTGCTCTCGGATCTCCTTGGCGCGTCGAAGGGACTTGGCGTGGAGAAAATGCTTGATGCACCACCCATCCGAGTATCCGTTGGCTTTCCATGCCTGATAGACTTGAAGGTAGGTAAGATGGTCCGACTCATGCACCCAAAACTTCTCTCGCTGCGCATCGGCCTCGTCTTGCCGTTCTTTTGGCCGATAGAAGACGTTGGGAACGGACAACATGGACACAATGGTAATCATCTCTTCGCTGCAGCCGTACTCTTCCGCCGTGATGAGCAGCTTGGCTAGGGAAGGGTCCATTGGGAAGGCGCTCATCTTGCGCCCAAGCTCCGTCAGTTCTCCCAAGTTGTCCAGAGCTCCCAGAGCCCACAGATCGAACATTGATGTCGAGATGGTATCTTGAGGAGGAGGATCCATGAAGTCGAAATCCAGCAGATCCTTGACCCCGAGAGACTTGAGCATCAACACTGTGTTTGACAGGTTGGTCCGCTGAATTTCAGGAATTGTTTGGATGTACATTTCCTCCTTGTAAGCCTTTTCTGTGTACAGACGGAACGCTTTTCCTGGCCCTGTTCGACCAGCGCGACCTGAGCGCTGCCCTGCATTGGCCTGGGAAATGGGTGTGATCTGAAGCGTGTCCATGCCCATCTTAGGGTTGTACACCTTCATTTTCGAATAGCCTGCGTCAACCACGTACTTGATGCCATCGACAGTCAAACTAGTCTCGGCAATGTTTGTCGCGACGATGCATTTGCGAACTCCCGGAGGCGCCCTGTCAAAGATCTTGGCTTGAAGGTCTGCCGGCATCTGACTGTAGATTGGAAGTATGCTCAACTTTGGGGGGTCATTCAAGGCGTCCAAGCGTTTCTGAACCAGCTCGCATGTGACCTCAATGTCTTCCTGGCCTGTCATGAAGACGAGTATGTCACCCGCATCCATGGAAACGTGGATCGACAGCACTTGCTGGACAGCTTGATCGACGTAGTCTTCGACAGGAGATCGGTGGAACAAGACGTCAACAGGAAAGGTCCGTCCCGGTATCGTGAATTCCGGGGCACCGCCGAAGAAGTCGGAGAACTTCTTTGCATTCATCGTGGCAGACGTGACGATGAGCTTCAGATCTCGCCGCCTTTGCAAGATCTTCTTGAATAGCCCCATCAAGATGTCAGTGTTCAGCGCTCTTTCGTGGGCTTCATCCATGATAATGCAGGAATATCTGTCCAGGTCAGGCTCGTTGAGCGACTCTCGAAGCAAAATTCCATCCGTCAGGTACTTGATAACGGTGTCGTTGCTGGTGCAATCCTCGAATCGAATGGCGTATCCAACTGTGCTTCCCAGCTTCACCTCCATCTCTTCGGCCACACGCTTGGCGACACTCATGGCGGCGACTCGCCGGGGCTGTGTACATCCAATCATGCCAGTCTTGCCGTAGCCGTCCTCATATAAGAACTGGGTGAGCTGCGTTGTCTTTCCTGAACCTGTCTCGCCGATGACAATGATGACCTGATTCTCCCGTATCACCCGGAGGAGGTCCTCGCGGACCGCAAACGCAGGCAGGTATTCGCGTTGTTCGCGCAGCGTCTTGCTTTTGCTGAAATCGCTGGCCCCTTCTCCCTTTTTCATGTGCTCGCTGAACTTGTTGCCCTTGCGCTCGCCCTTTTCAGCTTCTTCTTCGGCAGGCATCGGCAGCGCACTGTCGCCGTCCTCCTCTTTTGCGCCCATGATATTTCCGAGGGCTGTGCCCGTGATGCTTGTGGCCTCATGTGCCTGCTTCTGCCTCTCTCTTTGTTGACGGGCTTCCTTGACCACCCTGCTTCCCTTCCGACTAAAGACGGCCATGTCACTTTGGTAGTCCCTGACAGCTGGGACAGGTTCAAGCTGCTTGGTGAAAATCGTCTTTCCGTCCAGGAATGGCGGCCGTAGATCGTGAACGAGCAGATGAACTCTTGTCGCTTCCTCATCGTCGAAGTCGGCAGCCAGGTCCCTTCGCTGTGCCACACCAGACACCAGCATACGGTTCGTCTCCCATGCGTCATTTTCTCGCCTTCTCTGCTCCTGCCTGGCGTCGTATCGGCTCGTCATCTTCTCGGCCTTGGCCGACTCCTGCTGCTGGGTCTCCCATGCCGACTGCTCGTAGGATGCGAAGGGGTTATACGTTTCGTCGCCAAAGGTATGTCCTCCAAACTCATCGCCGCCGTACCAGTCGCGATCCAGCGCCAGGGCATCCTCCTCCGTCGGCTGTGGCTGCTCGGGTTCTCGAGGTGTTGACGGATATCGAGACTGGCCGCGCGGTGTCGAGCCCCGAGATCGATCTTGAAACTTGTCCCTCCTGGAAATCTCAAACTTCCTCCTCTTGGGATTGAACCCGTCGTAATCCGCGTCCGACACCATGACCCAGGCTCTCCGATCACGTAATGTGCCAGGTAACGACCGCGACGCGACAGGGTGAAATTTGAGGCGGATCAGAAAACTTGCTGTATGCCGCTGACGTATGGATAGCGGTTGAATCGCTGTAGACGCTGCCTAGATCATGTGACCTGGAGTCGCGAAGTCGATGAATTTGCGACTAGTCTTTCAAGAAATAGCCCATAGATGACTGCTCCTGGCTCTCTTTTCGCTGCTGGAGTTTTCAATCACCGTGCCTTTCGTATGACTAGAGGCGGCCTTGCAGTTGTTTGATATTGCACGTCCTCGGCCTGGATTTCAGTTAAAGCTAACGGCTTGGGAGCATCGTGGGTACATTGAAGTAATTGGTACTTTGTACCTCTTTTTCTGGGTTGCATGGGCTGAGCTTATCGATAAACCCCACCATGGAAATTTTTGGGCGAAATATCTTGGACCGGGATCGCGAAAAAAAGATTGGAAGCTGCATTGAAAATATAGCCAAGATACCCAGACATTTGCACCATGTCGTCCATGATCACCGCCGCCCAGTGGGTGCCGCGAGGCTTCGCGGCCCAATTTCCTCAGATTTACAAGCTCGACGAGTCTGAGTTTGAGAGGATAGCTGAATTGGCCAAGCTGCAGCTGGACGATGCAGAGGATGATCTGAAGGAAGCTCAGGACGATGGTGAAGAAGCAGAGGGAGAGGACGAGGGCAAGGACGAGGACATGGGCGACAAAGAAGAAGAAAAAGGGGCAGCCCGACCTGCCGCAAAGTACGCACAAGCATTTTATTATGCGCTATCTAGCTCAACAGTCTGCTAACTACGCGCCTACGTAGGTTCGACGACGACGACCTGAAAGAGTACGACCTGGAGCACTACGATGACGATGACGAAGACGATGCGCCCACCGCCAACGGAAGCATGGGCATGTTTGGAAACGTCAAGTCCTTGGCTTACTACGAATCAAACAAGGATGATCCGTACATCACACTACAAGACGACGAGGACGACTCAGAGCGAGAGGATCTTCAGGTCTTGGCGACGGACAACTTGATCCTGTCGGCAAAGGTCGAAGACGAGCTGGCCCACCTCGAGGTATACGTTTACGAAGACGAAAGCGACAACCTTTACGTGCACCACGACATCATGTTGCCGGCGATTCCTCTCTGCGTCGAGTGGCTGGATATCCCCGTCAACGCCTCGCAGGAGACGCCCAAGGATGCCAAAGGCAACTTTGTCGCCGTTGGGACTATGGATCCGGATATTGAGGTGTGGGATCTTGACACGGTCGACGCCATGTACCCCAACGCCATTCTTGGCCAGGGCGCGAATCCCAGCTCGGGCGAAAAGAAGAAGAAGAAGAAGTCGAAGAAGGCCAAGGCGAATGACGAGTACCACGTGGATGCCGTGCTGTCTCTCGCGGCCAACCGAAAGCACCGAAACCTGCTCGCTTCGGCCTCTGCGGACAAGACCATCAAGCTCTGGGACCTCAACACGGCCAAGTGTGCCAAGTCGTACTCATACCACACGGACAAGGTGTGCTCTCTTGCCTGGCACTCGGCTGAGCCCACCGTCCTGCTCAGCGGAAGCTATGATCGAACCATTGTGGCTGCTGATATGAGAGCTCCGGATGCGAAGGCACCTCGATGGGGCGTCGAGAGCGACGTCGAGAACATCCGATGGGACCCGCACGATCAGAACTACTTTTACGTCTCAACGGAAAACGGCGTCGTTCACTACCACGATATCCGCAACGCCCCGGCCACGCCAGAAGCTACCAAGGCGGTCTGGACCCTGCAGGCGCACGACGAGTCCGTGTCTTCGTTTGACATTAACAGCGTGATCCCGGGCTTCATGGCCACCGGATCGACCGACAAGACGGTGAAGCTCTGGAACATCCAGCCCACCGGCCCTTCCCTCGTCGTCTCCCGCAACCTCGATGTGGGCAAGGTGTTTGCTACCTCGTTTGCCCCCGACCCGGAGGTTGCTTTCCGACTGGCTGTTGCAGGCAGCTCCGGCAGTATGCACGTCTGGGACACCAGCACCAACCCCGGCGTCCGAAGCGCTTTTGGTCAGCGCGTCCCCGCACCGAGGGAGGGAGTTGCTGAGGATCGACTGGTTGGCGTCAACGACGACGAGAGCAGTTCTAGCGAGGATGAGGGAGACGAGAACAACCGCGAGTCTCAGGAGGAGGGAGACTCCATGGACGAGGATTAACTGTGGTGGTCAATGCACCTTTTTCCCCGGATTTTGATGGAGTTGCATCTACATCTGGCTCTATATATATCAGGAACGTGGCGTTGTCTTTCAAAAGTGTACGCAATTGCATGATGGCCTGCGCTGTACATGTAGGGCTATCTTCAGCGAGGCGGTTGGAAGGATTTCATAGGCACTTGAGTTTGTTAATAGACTTGTCAAAAAAAGGAATATCACACCAAGTCTGCAATGTAGTAATATGTCTGTGACGCATATATCTCAGAGCCGCAATAACCACCAGCTGAGCCTCTTGGGAACTTCTAGACGTATGGGGGGCAACGCGCTGCGCTGAACCTACTCGAAACAGTTGTGCTGTTGTTTTCTTCATCTCGACGCCGCAGTTCTACACGATAAGCAAGCCCTGGGCTCTGAGCAAGACGACCAAGCCAATAGTTTAGACTCGAACGATGCAGACATACCGTTGCATGTACAATCGGTAAGGGATGTACATGCAAACATGTGAGGATGGGTTTTGCATCTGCAGATCGGTACTGTATGGAGCGTTCAAGCTTTTTCTTCTCTGGCCCCATCAGGGTCTCTTGCCTAGCACAAGCGGGAGACGGCCATTGAGTTTGTGCCTGGTTTGACGCCGTTGGCTTTAGTTCGGCCATGAATTTTTCGACCTTCTTTGTCCAGTTGTGGCGGGTGAGTTGATGAGGTGGCGTGTAAGTGGATGGGTCACTGTGGAATAGAGGCTGGCCCATCAGAAAGAATAGCCTGGATATGGCGCTGCGTGATCCATACAGTATTGGCAGTATGAAGTGCGAGGGAGAAAAGGTGTGTTTTGGAAGCCTGCCGCATCAGTAAGTGATCACTTTGTCAGCATCCAACATCGGACCCGAAAGCCGCGCATCTTGCGAGGTTTCAAAGGCCAACGCGTTTCGTTTAAAGAAGAGCGAACCCCTGGAGAAGCAGAAACAGGGGCCAGCGAATGATTTGCTTGCTTCTGCTCGCTCGCATCAGATCAGGCACAGAAAGCGGGTGGCTAAAAAAAGGGCCCTGAAACACACGCGGCAGTACAGGAACAAGGGCCCGGCAGAGCGGGTTCATGGGCCAATCATGCGGGACCCGGGCCTGGCGAGAGAGAGGCAAGATCGGCTGCTGCGTTGCTCCGCTTGGGCTTGTTCTGTGGCTGCGGGTGGCGATTGGCTGGAGAGGTGGTTTGGGCATTGAAGGAACAGGGACAGGGAGTTGAGAGACAGGAACAGAGTGCATTGCATTGGATGGGGAGAGCGTGCTAGTGGCGTGCGCTGTGACAGTGGCCTGCAGACGCAGATGCAGGTACGGGGAGAGAGATCAATGTTTGTATGTACTGCATGTGTGTAAGTATGTATTGTAAAACGAAGCACATGGCAGAGGAACCTGCAGCTGCGTTCTCGTGATGGTGTCGGTGGAACTGTAAGGTGTTGTGTGAGTGTGCCCTTGAGTCATGCGAGAAGACGGATGCTGGAGCAGGAAATGTTGGTGCGAATACAAGACGCCACTGAACACTTGCACTCGGAGAGTCAGCAGTGTTACTGTCCCGGTAGCGATACACCTATCGTGACGGCGCAAGTGCGGCTGAGTGAGTTGCCTCAGACACCAGATCTTGTAGAGGTACCTTTTCTTCATCCCCACTCGTCCCCCTCACATTCTTCTTCTCGACATCATCATCCTCCCTCTCCCCGTCTCCATCTCGGAACTCCCTCGCCTCACACAGTGTCCCGCCCGTCTCCCGGATAATGGCAGTTTGCGCGAAGCAATGCCGCCTGAATGTCCATGCATGCGGAGTATTGCCATCGCATGAACTCCGTCTGCCAGCAGAACAACCCAACCGGACTGATGGCCCGTCGCCATTGGCCCAGATCATCGATGGCGCTTCCCTGGCACCGGCGATTGTTGGCACCCCGTCCTTCATTCTTCACCCTCCCGAACGGGCAAGGGTCCGAGCCTGGCTTGGCCTTAGCCAGGGGTCTGAAGCCTCGAGCTGGTGATGAGTCGCCAGGCGGGCCAATCAGCCGGCCGGGCTGTCAGGCTGGTGCCGCGGCCGCGCAGGGATGAGGCAGATATTGAGGGGGTTGATCATGGGCTCGCTGCTTGGCTCGACGCCTGGCCTCTGCTCCGTTAGCATCTTTTTTTTCCTGCTTGATTGTGCCTTGACCCGTCTTCACAGTCCTTCTTCTTCTTTTCTTCTTTTCCGCTCTTCGTCGCCGACAAGGGCTGTGTTGCGTTTCTTCCAGCACCGGCTGCCGTCACGATTCGCTTCTCTTGTTGCGAGCGCCCAAATTTCGCACTCGTCTCCCAGCTCAGTCGGTGTCGTAACGCGACGTATCGCATCAATTTGTCTTCTACGCTCGATATCACGCACGACCACAGACGCAGTTGCGCCGCTCGATTTACTCTCCTTTTTTTCTTATTTTCTTGAAAAAAATCAAGGCATTTCTACCTGATTCAGGCTGTGCAACGCGGCACATTCAGCAATCTCAAACAACAAACCGCCTTTGATTCCTTCAACCTGAAAACGTTGATCGTTTTGTTTCTTCTTGACTTGTTCTTTCTCTCCTTTCTATCTCTCCATCTATTTTCCATCAAGAAAAAAGGAAACAAGAAAAACTGTACCGAAGCCACTGTCGCGTTCTCTTTTGTCGCATCGCCTGAGACAAAAACTTCGCCAGCCTCTCAAACAAGACAGAGGACCAAGCAACACTGAACACCTGTGCGACGCAATCTCTTACATCGCACACGGAAATCCATCGATCACTCCTCCGAAAAAGATCAAGAGGCAGCGAGGCAATCTTGGAGCCCAAATTAGTTTGGTCCCTTGCGCAGCCAACAGCGCCACCGGTAACTGCAGAGCCAACAGCGACATCCTCACCTGGCATGAACGAAGCTGTTTCTTTTTCTCTTCCGATTCCTTTCTTCTCTCTCCATCTCTTCGCTTGGCTCGTGGAAGCGCAGATCTATCTGCTCGGCCATTTGACGGCCATCTGCCCGCCCATCACTGAATCGCATAAATCACCTTCCGACTTGGGCTTGGATTCACCTCCACCCCAAAAGGTCTCCGTGCAACGTTCCCAGCTCTATTGGGGGTGTGTGTGCCTTCGTCATCAGCCGTCTGCGATAGTGAGCGCTGGTCACACGGCTTCACTGTCAACTGCCACATCGGGCTGTGGCATCTCGTCTCTTGCTTCACTCACCACCGCATCATTCGCTTCTGGTGCTTACAAGAGACATTCCGAGTGACACCACCGTCCGCTGGCTCCTCCTTCTGCCACGTCTCCCTCATCATAACTTCCCAGTCCCCCCTCCGTTCCCTCGACGTCAACAGCTTTTTTTTCTTCTTCCCCCCCTCACTTCAAACGACTACCGCCACCATGTCTCTATCACGGGCTTTCACCACTCGGAAGCTTAAGCTGGGCTCCGATGGCGCCGACTCGAAAAATCCGCAGCGGTCGCATACCCTTCGCCATAAGATCTCGGGCCCTGTCCAACTGGTTCACACGACCAACATGCTCTCCTACAATGCGCCCGATCTGCCTCGAGGTGCCTCTGAACGAGCCAATTCCGCCAAGTCTGGCAAGTCTTCTCTCGACGATTCCGACAGCCTCGCCACCATCGAATCGACCCCGCCGACCAGCCCGGACGTTGCTCCTGGGGAGCACATGTTCTCCCCAAAGCCGAACCACCTATCGGGCTATTTTAAGAATTCTACGAGGCCCGGTCCAGCTGAGCCCGAACCAGCTCCAGCTCCAGCTCCAATGATTCCCCAGCGCTCGCCAACCCACACCAAGAAGAACTCAATCGACGCCGTTGCTCGATCACGGTCCGTCTCCCGCACTTCTCGAGACGCCGATGTGTCGGCCGCGTCCCGAAACCTCCAGGCCATCTCTCGAACCCCCTCCCTATCAACGCGATCTTCGGCAAATTCCACATCCTCCAGCCGGCCTTTGAGATCGCCCCGATCTCCTGCAGTCCCCATGGAGCCCACGGCATTTGCGGGCCCCATGCCTTCCAAACCTCATGCAGCTCCGACGCCCTTGCCTGTACAACCTTCCATTGCGCCACGCCACCAGGCTAAAGACTCGAATCCTTTTGGGGCGGAGTTGGCCAAGGTAACAGAACTGGCGGAAGAATTCAGCTCCGCAAGCCAGCTGGAGATGGTGGACGAGGACACAGAGTACATTCGCTCAAAGGGCCTTGTCAGGCTACGTCCCGATGACTATCTGAGCATGATTCAGGGCCTTTCATCCATGTTCTTCTCGGAGCCTGCTCATTCAGCTCCCGCAGCTGCGGCTCCGCTCTGGATCTAATACCAGTACAAGGCATGCGGGCAAGAGATTCCGCTGTCGCATCATTGTACATATCGAGACTGTTTGGATACACGCTGCAAGCTACGAGAGCAAGCCGCCTTGCCGGGACTTTTAACTTCTTTTTCTTCCACTTCATCTTTCATCTTCAACCTTTTCTTCCTCTTTCTCTCTTACTTATTCTTCTTCTTTGTTGACATGGACGGAAACCCGTGTGGGGTCTAGAACATTAGCATTACTAGGTACTTGGATTGATATACCTGAAACAGGAGACGACGTTGGCGTTGAACAATGGATGGGAATGACTTTAAATTGGCGTCCTTTTTTCTTTCCTTTTTCTGCAAATTTCTCATTCAATGATGTGAATAGTTACCAGTCACAAACTACTGCACATAGTATTTCTTGATGATATTTCCTTGTCATGACCTGCAATTTTCTCCTCTTTTGTCTCTAACTATGATTATCGCGATTACATGCCTTGAACCAACTCGCCTGTGTACAAAATAATGCTTGGAGCCCACCCATAGACTGGCGACGGCGGTACTCGCGCCTCACGGCTCACGGCACTTGAAGAGACAGGGGAACTAGCCAGACGGCCCGATCGCGAGTCCTTCTAAATGGAGTCAGCCATGTATGTACTAGGACGCAATGGAGAGATGCCACGAGGAAGCATGTCAGCCCGGGAAGAATCGAACGTGAATCCCTGCAAGTTGTGCTCCCCGTTTCAGAAAGCTGCGCCCCTCCCCACGGATGGTTCGGCCAATCACGCGATGGGGCTGCGGCTGATTTGTTTCAAGGCTGAAAGATTGGGAAGCCTGATGTTTGGCATGGAGTGAGATTTGGCGTGATTTTGTCCAAGGAAACTGTGCTGTTGTGTGTGTGTTACTATATGTGTACGCAGTATGTGTACTGGATAGGGGGGGATGGAGGTTTGGCAGTTGGTGATTTGGGTTGAGACTTGTGTGGGGGATTGAAAGTGCCCTCTCTGGGGAGTTTGGAATTCGATGTGATATCATCGGGTGCGAAGGAGGAGCGTAGATCGATTGGAACTGAATCGAAGCAAGCGAGATTTCATCCATCACAGTCGTGGCAATTAATACAAAGTTTGTAAGAATCGAGGAGAAATACTTTTGCGTAGAGAACTTGTATCCCCTTCCAAGCATTTGATCGATGGCTGGCGCTGCTACTCACAGCAGTCCCTGCGTATGTAATCACGTGGGGCAGGCGAACACATCCCACTTTGGGCTTTCATGATGAGCAGAGCTTGACGGGCCGGTTGATGAGAGCCGTGGCATCGTTTCTGTTTCCTGATTTGAGTGAGTCGTTGACCGTTGCTTGTGCTGTCTTTCTCATAAAGAATACACTCGTGTGATTTACTCGGTAAGACTGCCTTTCCTTGTCCGAACCCAACTGGTCTCGTGATGTGATTTGCAGGTTTCTTTTCACAGTAACACTAACACGGTGAAAGTTCAAATATTCCGATTCAAAGAAGCACTCATTGACACGGGGCACCAGGACACACCTCGCACAGCGCATACATCATCATCATCACACATACACACGCACACAATGGCCGACTCAAGCGAAATCGACCCGCCGGACTCCTTCATCAGCAAGGAGGACGGCCTCAGCTACTGGCAGGGCATCAGCGCCGACGTCGACGGCATGCTCGGCGGCATCCCCTCCATCAAGGGCTTCTCGGGCATCCTGCGGAGCGACCTCCAGGGCTCGCGGACGTTCCTCGCCAAGCTGGGCATCGGGGCGAAGCAGGGCCGGTCGAAGCTTTCCAGTGCCCTCGAGGGCGGCGCAGGGTTAGTATCTCTCACACCCCGCAAAAGCCAAGTTTCATGGGGTCTAGGATTGAGGATTGCTTGTTTGGATTTTGGGATTCTCATCGCGATACACGAAATGCTGACGCAGGGGGGGCCTATGTTTTAGGATTGGGAGAGTCACCGAAGGATTGCTTCTCCCGCTGGCGGACGAGGTCGACGTCATTGAGCCCGTGGCCAAGTTCACAAAGGAGCTGCAGGGCAAGGAGGGCGTGCGCAACGTGTACAATGTCGGCCTGCAGGACTGGCGGCCCGTGGACGGGGTCACGTACGATCTCGTTTGGACGCAGTGGTGCGTCGGGCACTTGACGGATGCGCAGCTCGTCGACTATCTCAAGAGGTGTCAGGCTGTCCTGAAGCCGGGCGGGCTGATTGTGTTGAAGGAGAATCTGAGTACGACGGGGGCTGATGTGTTTGATGAGCTTGACAGCAGTGTGACGAGGTTGGTTTCCCCTTTCTGTTCCCTATTTCTTCTGGTGTTTTCTCTCGTGGCGAATCTTTTTGAAACTTACCTTATATATAGGGAGGATACAAAGTTTAGGAAAATCTTTGAGGATGCTGGGTTGCATTTGGTTAAGACGGAGCTGCAGAGGGGGTTTCCTGAGACGGCGCAGATGAAGCTTCTCCCGGTGAGGATGTATGCTTTGAAGCCGAAAGCCGAGGGCTCATGAAATCCGAGAGCGTGTTCCAAGCCTTTTTCTGTTTCTTCCAGGGAGGGAATGTGTGTGCATGGAAGCATTGGAGATGTGAGGCTGGGGGTCTGAACTGTGAAAGATATGGGATGTGGATGAAGTGAGGACAGTTCTCACAACAGCAGAGTTATACCCACGATCAACAATGAGAAGTCATTCATACAATTTCTGTCAGTTGCTCAATGAATATAAGCCTGATTCATCAGTCCTCCTGCAGTATAATCTCAAAGCAGCTTGTTAGCCAGGCGGCAGCCAGTGGGCAGGCGCTCCGTAGGTACTTGCCTCCTAGCGTCCACTCCACCAACCTGAACCTTTGGTGGTAACGGCCTCGACTTACAATACCTCCCTCGACTTCTTCCATCCCGTCATCTTCTAATTTTCATACTTTCTCCCAAGCCTCTACAATGCCATTCATATCTTCCCAAGCCATCTTCACCGCCGCCCTTCAAGGCCAAAGCTTTCGCTTCTCCGGCATCTCAACCCTCCTACGCGCTTGGCAGCACAAAGGGTTCAACGCGTTATACGAAGACGCGGATTCACTGGCGACCAGCACCATCCTCCGGGTCGATGCGGCTGCGCCCCATATGGAGTTTGGGCGTTTCGTGGACGACCGGATCGCCGCGCTGACATGTCTTTGCTTTCCCAATGCGCCCAAGCCGCAGCTTGAAGCCCTGGTGCTGTTTGTCCTGTGGAACGCCTACTGGAGCGGCACCTACGACACAGATGAGGGCGACCTGTCGGCTGATTTTGACGCCGCCCACGAATGGCGACTCAAGACAATGAGGACAGCCACGAGAGCAATACGTGCGAACAGAGACGAACTACGGCACGAAGTGGACGCCATTAATTCGGTGTTTTTCGCCTTCGGAGACCGCTACTGTGAATTGGAGCCCCTCACATGCCGCTCGATTGTACTCCATGAGATCTACGAACGCATCCGTGCCTATGCTACGGAACAGAGAATGAAGCTTAACGAAACCCAGCCAGGCTTCGACGAATACATGGAGCTCCGAAACAGGACCATGAATGCTGGTGCGCTCTGCTTGTTGGTTCCCTTTGCCATGGCCCGAGAGGTGCCCTTTCAGATAAGCTGCTCGTGGCATGAAGTTGCTCTCCGAAAGCAGGTCAAGGTCCTGCTCTGCCTCTTGGACGACCCACTCATACTGGCAGCCCAGCTTCACTATGAGGAGTGCGTCCTCAACGCCGTATGTACGCTGCTGGGTCCGGAAACGCCGTTGGACGCGGTCATAGCGCAGATTGATCAGAAGATTCAAGACGCAATACGACTGTTTGAAGAGGCGGGCGAGAAACTCATGGATGACTTCAAAGACAATGAGGACCTTTACAGCATGGCGAGAGACCTCGTCGACGGATACAGAAACATAGTCACTGGCACAGTGGTATTCAAGTGAGTACAACCCCTCTGATATCAGTCCCTGTATAGTACCCAGTGACCAAGCTTCACGATGGTGGTCGAGAAACTGCACTGCGCGATGGTCGTTAACCGTCTGAAAACAGGCTCACATCCCCTCGTATTAGACTCGCGGACCGTATGGATCCAGATGGATCGCTGGAAGTAGTCCTCTGATATCTTTGTCTCCTTTGGATACCCTTGTCGCCTTCATTATATTATGCGAATGGCTTTCCAACGCTTCCGTGAGCGCCAACTCCAAGACTGCCCTTTCTGCCGGTGGGCTGTATAGCGATAGTCTTCTCTTTCCCAACCATTGCCTCCCGGTTTTCCCTTTATAAATGTGCTGTATGCGACCCACGCCCAATGCCACGAAAAGAACTAGAAGAAAGCAACCAACGCGTACAGGTATAAACGGAGTCTCATCACTCCAGCATTGCGCGTTTTGAACAATATGTTCCCACGGCCCAATCCCCTATTTGCTTTTGAAACCAGAAGAACCAAGCTGAACTCGCCGAAATGAAATATGTAGACCCTCGGCATCGTCATCATCTACCCCCCAGCGGCTCAGCCGACTTGACAAGGTCTGTGATGGTGACGATTCTGTATCCCTGCCGCCTCAGTTCCGGCAGCACTATCCGCAGCATCGGAGCCGTCCAGCTCCTCCGGTCGTGGCAGATGATGATGGCTCCGGGATGCGCCATGCTGAGGATATGCTTGGCGTTGACCGCCGGGCGCGGGATCTGGGGATCGTGGGGGTATATGCTGCCGAGGACGATGCGAAAGCCGCGGTTGCCCAGCAGGTCGCGCATGCGGTGGTTGAACCAGCCGGAGCCGGGCCGGAAGTAGTTGTTGGGCAGGATCTTGCCCTCGGCCTCGTAGGCGGCCACGAGCATGGCCTTGACCTCGTTGACCTGGCGCTCGAGCTCGTCGTTGCTCAGCCGGCTCGAGGGCTCGTCGCGCATGGCGTGGTTGCCGAGCTCGTGGCCCTGGGCGACGAGCTTCCGCAGCGTGTGCTCTCTACCATCCACCTGCTGCCCGATGACGAAGAAGGTGGCGCGGGCGTCGTTCTCGGCGAGGACCTGCGCGATGTCGTCGGTGTGCGCCGAGGGGGCGTCGTCGATGGACAGGGCGATGATGCGCTCGGCGACGGGCACCTCGAAGAGCACGTCGGGGAACTTGCCGCGGAGGTAGCCGATGAGGAAGCGCGGGGGCTTGTAGACGCAGTAGATGCCGTAGAGGGGCAGGACGAGGAGGAGGACGACGAGCAGGACGAGCATCTGCGTCGTGAGGCGGTTCCGGCGGACGCGTCGCCGGACGGTTGTGGGGAGGCGGAAGAGGTTGAGGCGCGGCATTGGGCAGGGATGTGTGTTTCTCTTTTTGTATGATCGATTCGTTTCTTTGTTGGTTTGGGGCCTCGTTAGGTGAAGAGGCGTGGGGAGACGGGTGTGCCGCCTGTTGCTGGCATGCTCTCTCTTTTTCGCTCTCGTTCTTGTATCTCCTTCTTTGCCCTTGATTTCCTGCTCTTCTTGTATGTCTCCCTTTTGTTGTCCTTCCGGATCTTGTCTTCGTCGGTACAACGCCAATTGGGATCCCGCAGACTCAGTCGCACTGGATTCGGATGATGAAGGAGAGAGAGAGGTCGTGATAGTATTAGTGGCGGGAGAAAAAAAGAAGGGTTCGGTTTGGGGTAATGAGGCTTTCGCGGCTTGTAGATTGGCCCTTTAGCCTTTAGCCAGGGGCTACGAGGTTTGGGTCAGGTAGTGCAAGTAAAGTTGCCCGTTATCAGATAGCGGTCCACGGGGTGCTTTCCAAGGGGGGAATGAGGGGTGTGAGGACCCTGTAGGGATTGGCAGTGTGATTTTCGATTCCGGGTTAGCACTGAGATTGAGGCATCGCGTGCATGCCATGAAAGGAGACGTGATCTTATATCTACTACTTGATTTCGGGCTTTTGATATTTATACAATTAAAGAAAGGAATCATCTGCAGACGACGGTTAAACTCATGATTGATTTCATCCATGCTACTTCTACTACGATAGGACACGTCGCCAAGACGAGCACCCAGCCAGGGGTATCTCCTCGTCAGTCCCCCCCCTTTTACCCCATACTTCTTCCCATCCGCCTCCTCCCGCAAACCACACAAAACGTACGCTCCTCCTCCTCCGCGAAACACCTCAAGCAGCGCCGGCCAACGCCTCCAGCCCCTGCTGCAGATCCGCCTGCAGGTCCTCGAGGCTCTCCACCCCGACGCTCACCCGCAGCAGGCGCTGGTCGACGGTGCTGTCCGTCATGGCGCGCCACTCGATGAGGCTCTCGACGCCGCCGAGGCTGGTGGCGTGCTGGAACAGGCCCAGCTTGCCCGGCAGCCGCTTGGCCATCTCCCTGTCCTTGAGGGTGATGGCGAAGACGGGCCCGTAGCCGTTGGGCATCTGGCGCCGCAGCCAGCTGCCCTCGCGCGCGGCCTCGGGCTGCAGGCTCGCGTGCTGGATCCTGACCACCGTCCTGCCCGCCGCCGTGGTCTCGTCTTTCGCCTGCTCCGCCAGCCAGGCCACCAGCGCCGTGGCCGTGGCGCTCTGCCGGTTGACGCGCAGCTCGAGCGTCCGCAGCGAGCGCATGCCCAGCCAGCCCTCGAGGCTGCCGATGACGGAGCCCAGCAGCAGCCGGTCGGCGAGCAGGTCGTCGGCCCAGGTCGCGTGCTTGGGGTTGACGGCCAGCACGCCGCACAGCATGTCCGAGTGGCCGCCAATGTACTTTGTGCCGCTGTGCATGACGACGTCGGCGCCCCAGGCGAAGGGGTCCAGCAGCGGCGGCGGCGCAAAGGTCGCGTCCACCGTCAGGTAGGCGCCGACGCTGTGCGCGCGGTCGGCATAGTACTGCAGGTCGCGGGCCTCGCCCGTCGGGTTGAGCGGCGTCTCGACGTGGACGACGTCGCCCGGTCCCAGCTCCGACAGGTCGCAGTCCAGCGGCAGCTTCTTGAGCCCGTTGAGCCGCTCAAAGATGCGCAGGATGCCGTGGCAGCCGTGGTAGCCGTCGCCGATGGCCACCCGCTTCGGGTTGAGGTGCGCGATCATGGCGTGGAAGGCCGCCAGCCCGGAGCCGTACGTGATGGCCCGCTGGCCGATGATGGACGTCAGGAGGGCCTCGAGGCGGGCCATGTTGGGGCTTGTGTGGCGCGAGTAGACGTGGAAGTCGAGCGGTTGGGTCATCTAATAATCCCCCACCCCCTCTTGTGTCAACAAACCGAAATGTACTCTGGGAGAGAGAGAGGGAGAGAGAGAGAGAGAGAGAGAGAGAGAGAGAGAGAGACAGAGACAGAAGCCTTGTCTGCGGGATGAGTTCTGCAGAATGAGAGTTCTTCTTTCTCTCTTTCTTTCTTCACATCACTAGCCGCCCTCACTTACATCAATCTCGGCAATGGGCTTGAGCCTCTCCGGGTCCTTGGGATACCGGAACGTGGTGCTGGTGTGCAGGCCAGGCGCAATGGCCGGATGTCCGTCGATGCGGGCGTCTGCATGCACCGCCCGGGAGGCGAGCGACAGCGCCGCAATGTCGGGCACGTATTCGTCTGAGGCGTTGCCCATTGTGATTGCACCCTTTTGTTGGTTTGTGGTCCTGAGGCTTGTGTGTTCTTGTGTTCTTGTGTCTGTGTACGGTGAGTTGAGTATTCATGTGTTGTTCTCCAAGTAACCGATGCGTGAGAAGATATCTGGTGCTACTTACAAACGGGAGTGAAAGTTGTTTTATAACAAGTCAATCACATCAAATACAAATCACATAACATCAACAACTTCAATAGCCACTCTCCTTATATCTCATGAGTTTGCAGCTTCATCACCGAAAGCAGCTCCTCCGTTCCATTTTATATCCAGCCCAAGCCCCCCCCCCCCAACTCCGCGGCCCCGCTCGTCCGCCGTTGTCGCTACATGTACCCATTCATTACTCAACCTTGGAGCACCCACTAAATTCCTCTTCTCTTGTCTGTTTTATAATCACGTCAACTCGACTAATCTATCTTATCACCTCTATCGAGCATGGGATCTCTCGAAAGACGGTCGCAGCGGCATCTTGCGGCATGTCCACATATGCCTCCGTAGGGCGTTTGTCAAATGGTCGCTTTGACACTCATACTCCACTACGGCCTTTTCGACAACGCGCCCTTTTGCTGACTTGATTGCTGCTTCTCCGAGGTCAACGCTCTCTCTACCTTAAGTAGATAATGACTCTCTGGAGATCTCAGAGAACAGACACAGCATGTACAAAACACAGGATACACAAATTAATAAACCTGTTCCCGAGAGGCCGATTGCACCATCGCTCTCTTACATCACTTTACTCTCTGTCTCACTCAATGAACCGTGATTCTAGGGCTTATTCAGAGAGGACAAACTCTATCAGATCAAAAGTAACGGGCCATTATGACGATCCACGGAAACATGGCAAACGTAATATGTCTTGTATTACCGGGCCACCCAGCATGCAATGGCCGACATCAGTAGGTGATTATCATTAAGTCGTCCTTGTCTCTCCTCTTGCATAAGTATTTCCCTCGGCGTCATGAGCCTTCAAACCAGTCCACCGGCTGTACATCGATGAGATGTATACCAGCAAGCTTCGTCAATGCGAAACGCAGACCTCCTCGTACACAGCAGCCCTTGCAAGCTGTGTGACGGCAGCGAATCCGCGCATGCCGTCTCCATCGTCCCAAACGCCGTCGTTAAAGAATAAATCATATCCGTAGTCCAGAATCGTAAAACATGGGCGCCCAACACACTTCCAAAAAAGGTATGTACGATAGATATTTCAAGTTGCTCCAAGTCGTCCTGTATCCGGTCGCTCTTTTCCCGTGGTAGTCGTCTCTCAGTCTGCCGAGGCCACCGCCGTCGGCTCAATCGTGCCCAGCTCAGACCCCTGGCCGCTTTGGGCCCTCTTTCTCCCAGGCATAAGGAACCTCGAGACTCCGGTCTGGGGCGAAGAGGCGTCCTTCTCTTGGGTCTCTGTCAGCTTGGAGAAGAAGCCCCGTTTGCGAGGCGGCTGCTTCTGGTCGTCGAGTCCGACTTCTTCAAAGTTCTCGTCGGCGGTGGGCAGCTGCTCCATGTTACGGTTGATTGCCGACCTAGGCATTCGCGCGAAACGGGCCGAGTCGAGGCTTTGGCGGGCGGGAACGTCGTACGCAGCGATGGGAGATCGAGCCGAGATGTCCTATACGTGAGGGCGCAGTCAGTCTCCGGTGCCGGCGGTGTCGCATCGCATCGGGAGGCGGGGTTATTTCATGCCGCGCCCGACAAAATGAAAGGAGAAGATTGGCAACGTACAAACGAGCGTCGGTACGAATCAAAGGATTCTCGAGAAATGGAAAACTGCTCAATCTCGCCTGAGCTGTCCGAAGACTCTCGCGACGAGAGATGGCGGCGTGGCCAATAGCCCTTTTCCTCAGACGGTGAGGGCTGCCCGCATACAAATCAAATCAGCGACCTGCACGGCAAACCGAGGGCTGCAGATGCAACTGCACGCCGGGGAAGCACAAACTTACGGGAAGATAGACGCCACTGTCATTGACGACTGGGATTGCAAGTTAGTCGGCTGGCCGGTTCGTGCGACGGCTTTGCCTCAGGGCAGGGCTTGCGGGGACATACCGCTCATCTTATATTCGCCGGTATCCTGACTTCTGGCGCTGCGGATGCTGAGGACTGACGACGCCTTGGAGCCCACGGTGTCGACTCGCTCGAAGCCGGAAACGCTGCGCTCTTGCTCGGTGATGATGCTGTCGTTGGCCGTGGCCAAAACGCCGGGGCGCCGAGCAAAGGGGTTTCGGATCGGCATGGCGAGTATCGACGAGAGTTAAGCAGTATTATAGAAGCGATATGATACGATACGATACGATACGATACGATAGCGAGTCCAGATACCAGGCCAAAGCACTCAACGCAAGGCGCCGCGGATACGGTAAGTTGTGAAGATGCAGAGCAAAGAAGAATGTATGGCGGGAAATAAATATCGGTGGTTGAGAGAAGCGGCAATTGATAAGGTACGGACAAGAGAGGAGGGGAAACCGGAGCGGCTTTCGTCTTATACGACGTTGAGAGCGGGAAGGCTTCGTTTTCGTCTAGAGCCTGCTGAGGAAGGAAAAGCAGAAGCGAATACCGCAGATTCGAATGCAGAGCAAAAACCGGGAAGGGGCACAGGGGGGGGGGGGAGCTTAAGAATGGTCAGATGTCAGATCAGCGGATATGGATAGGTATGGATATGGATATGGGGAGAATCTGCGGACGGGGCCGCTCGTGGCAGTTTTGCAGTCGGGCTGCAATTTATTCACAGTAGCGCGGCAGCGGCAGCGGCATGTTGCGAGTCTCCGATGCTGGAAGGATTCCAAGGTTCGATTTGATCTCTGGCGTCGGTATTATTTCATCGCATCGCATCGAATGACCCGTTTTGTCGATTTGGATGGCAATGGCCGTAGCAGGTACATGCGAGCGGAGGGCAGCAGGCCAGGCAGTGCAGGTACAGGTACCTGTTCAGGCTGGGGCATTGTATGTACAGCCTGCTTCCAGGGTCAGGCCAGCCAACATCAGATCCTCTCGGCGGTGCCTTGCCGGGCGCTGCCAATCATTGAATCAGCCGAGGCTTCGTCTTGGATTCTTCTTCCTTCAGGTGTCATACCCAGCCCAGGTACGAGTACATACTGTAACACACACAAGCCAGGCACAGTACCTCGTACCTTGAGTGTCCGCAGGCAGTGCCCTTGATCAGCATCTTGGCTCCTGGCTGTGCTGCTCCGCCTCTCAACCAGCCTCGGGCCTCGCTTCGCCCTCCAGGTCTGTGTCTATTGATTCTCCCAAGGCCTTTTACTCTGCTTTCTAGACTATGTCTTGGCTCTGATTCCATCCCAGTACTTGCGATACCCGTACTGTATGTACTCAACTAGCAGTATGTACTCCGTACAATGGCTCCTACTAGTGCCAGAGACGGTGTGCGGCCGGACTTTGGGGACTCGACCCGGAAACGACTCTCCCGATTGCGAATGGCGGCAGATTTTACCCGCAGCGGCCATGACGATGCACCAGAGTCATGACTCGGTACCTGTACCAACCCCAAGGCGACGGATGAGCTGAGAGCTCGCCTTGAACCCGCCCGGCTGGAGGTACCGCTACTTTAGAGGCCCTGGTGTAAGCCGCGGGATTCGGGCTATTCTGCGTCCTGACCAACACCAAGTTGGCAGGTTCTCTCTCTCCTTCTGGCGTATCATTACCTCACCATGCATTGTCTAGAGGCCAACTAAGAAAAGAGAGGGAAATTCTGCTCTTGGGCTACTGAAGTCTCAGTGTCAAAGAGATCGCCCCTCCAACGACAAAGAACCCCAAATCGGCCTTCCTTTTCCGGGGTGTAATCGAGACTTGAGAGTCTTTTACGGTACATGATGTGATGGACTCTCGACTTCCCCACCCGCTTTTGCCATGCCCGCTGCTGAAAATCCGGGGCCGAGATGGGCAAGGGTCAAGTTCTTGGGAGACCTGGCTTGACTGGGCAGGGGATCATCCTCACGGACACAAAAGGGACGAGACAGTCCTGTTCAGGAGATGCTAAACTCTCAAGGCGGGCGATGCGGATGGTGCAGCTGAACAGCGAAGCGAGCGTCGATCTCCAGTGGCAAACAGAACCTGTGCGTTCCCAAATCCACGCTTGCACCGCTCTAAATGGGCCGAAATGGAGGAGGAATGGAGCCAAAAACCCAAGACCCCTCGGAATAGACTGATCAATAGGAAGAACAGCCGCCTGGCAGTGCCGCTTTTTGTCCGCCATCATACGTTGCCTGCATGGCCCCGGCAAGTCGCCACCAGATGCCCTCGATGTGCCGGTGCCGGCGGTTGAAACAATGTTTTACTTGTCACAGTGGCACGGTTGCTACATCAAAGGGAACTTGTTCTCCAGCATCTCTTCTGGACTACGGCACAGGAACTCGTCAAACTCTCATTTTGAGGCTGAGGAACAGCTCCTGTGATGCCGCTAGAAGCCAGTTTGGCTAAGCTTGCCTGACGCCACGCAGGACAAGTCTCGCCAATAGAAACGTCTGCTTCGGACTCGTTCAAACCGCCATCTTATACCTACGTATCATCCAACGTCAAATATGTCAAAGGCCCATGCAATTCAGTGCCAAATATCTGGTTTAACCGCTGCATAAGGTGGACAACTATCTGATTCTCTGTACTGCATCTGAGAGCAGCGCAGTCGACCTACAATGCCTAATGGAGAAAGCTTGCAACAATCACCTGGAGGGCCCTGACTGTTTGTGCGATTCCCTCTGTGAGACATTTGCGTAACCTGCAAGAATTTTACTTGCAAGACATCATGGCAACGTCTCTCGTCTCAGCCTCTCTGCAAGGGATCCCAGAACCGGTGAGGTTTGTTCTAACCAACCCATGAGATGCTTGCTAATGGTCCATGTTGACTGCAGCGAGTCTCGCTCTGCATCTCAGCTCCAGTACAACCACCTGTTCTGTCCCAGCTAAACACAACCGCCTCCCTTGCATTGGTGATCCCTTCTTCAGAGCCTAATTTTCTCTTCACTTCCCCTCAAGATCGACAAACAGCCTGCCAGCGAACCGCATACGAGGTGGCAGTTGGCATCTCGTAAGCTGCAGGTTTGCGGGCCGAGTCTGCGTCCAACCACCCACTCGTCCCCGTTCCACCTCCCAAGTCGATACAAGGCCCATGCCGCCAGTCGTCCGTATGCATTCTTAACTTGTCCCGTCCGTCCGTTATTCGCTCGCCGTTCAGGTGTCACATCACACCCCGGCAACTTTGGCCCATCGCGCACATGCCCTTGCTGACCCGACTGGCCGGCTGGCTGCCGGAATGGGTGCCGGGGGCATATAATCAAGAGATGCCATCAAAGGAGGCTCTATAAATACCGGCCATTGCTTTCCGCTTCCTTATATGTTGGACGCCCGCTATTGCGCATATAAAGTCGAAATATCACTCGCTCAGCACCTTGTCAACTTTCCCGTCATTCGTTTCTCTTTCCTTCTTTTTCCCCAAGAATAGAATCGGCTGCTATGTGTGTGTCGCTCCTCCTCTAGCAGACTGTTTGTTGGTCTCACCACCGCCACGTGCATTGCTCTCGAGCCACTCCCAGATCTTTGCACTTGTCTCCTTTTCTTTTTTTACTTCGTATTCAGAGCCGTTTCTATGCATGGAGAGTCGATATTTTTGGAGGCCAGAGAATCTTTAACATCATCGAGAGCCTGCTGATTTCAGATTCTTTACTGCTTCCACATCGCCCGTTGATGCGTGCTGTTGCTGGCTGTTGAGGCACTCCAGACATCTTTGCCAATATGGCTGTCTTCTTCATTGGGTGGGAGCTGTGGGAGGAAATGACATTTGTAAGTCTTGCTGCTTCCAGAAACAAGCGCTGCGATCGTTGTCTCTGCTCCAAGTGGGTGTCTTTCTCGAAGCTTCTAACCCTTGCATACTATGTAGGTTCTTGCATGCTGCATAGTGTTAGTCTTCGTCTTTGGGCTGGTAAGACTCTGGTGGACAAATCGAAAAATTGCGAGGCTCGAATTGATAGACGAAGAGCGGCGTGTTCGACTGGCCGAGATGCGGTACTGCGGTATCAACGCACGCGGCATCACCGACATCCCCTTTGGAGTGCGCGCCATCCAGAGCGGCATCCAGGTCGAGGGCATATGGATATCAAGGCCTAACACGCCCGATGCCAGCCACGTCACCGGCTCGCCCACTCTTATAGGCGACCCGACCGATCCCAGAGCAAAGGCAATGGGGAAAGGAAAAGGGAAAGCACGCTATATTCCGGTGGAAGCTGCGGAGTCATCGTCATCACGCGGGAACACCCCTGCATCAAGCCCTTCCACGCCTCCCCAGACCATCAGGGGCGACTCAGACAATGCACGGCCGTCGAGACAGCGACAGCCGGTGGACGTGGAGACACCCAAGGGATCGATTGAAGCTCAGCGCAAAGCCATTGCTCGCAACATGGCTTCTCGTGCTTCTTCAGCAAACCGGACCAGCGTGGCTTCGTCGTCGATGGGCGAATTTGTCGTTCCCCACCCGAGGAGCTCCTACGCCAGCTCGAAGCCAATGCTTGCCGGGTCTGGCGAATACTATTCCGATATATCTCGGAGCGCGACGAACGAGGAATACTATGATGCTCTGCCGCCTCCAGCCTGGGACCACGGATATAGTAGCTCTGATGCGGACAACTCTGAAGCAGGCCGACGAGCAAAACCAGGTCCTTCGAAGTTGCAGAAAAAATCACGCTTCCATAACCAGGTGCAAACCTGATTGATGGCTTTGAAGAGGGGGAGAATATTTAGGATTCCTGGCTGGGCCATGAATTTCGATGGGCGGTTTCTAATGCTTAACGTTTCACACGCCGTTTTATGACACGACTTACGTTGAAAGGAAAAGATGCTCATGATGATTTTGCCATGCGGGCCATTTGCAAATAGATATGCTATCAGACAGAAGAACAGATAAGAAAATTTTGACAGTTTCAGTTCATTCGATCATTGATCTTCATGTGATTCCCACGCCCACATAAAGACGCAATCCTTCGCCCAAGTCTCGTCACATCAGGAGTGCGAAGATGGTCAGAACTCGGCACTTGCCTGCCCGAGCCGGCTCGCGGGCACGGGAATAAGTACGGAATTGATGTCGGACCTCCGCACTAGCGGGCTAGATAGATGAGGTTGTAAGCCTATAAGATGTCGAGATGCCCATCCATATCAAGCCGATATCTACTTGCAAAGTGCTGTAAAACAAACAACTCCTAGTCAACTTGTCTGTCTGGCTATAGTATAAGCAACTTGTCCAAGAAAAATGGCGTCTGCAGAGTATCTCCAAGCCTCATCAACCGGCTTCCAAGACGCCAAAGCCTACGACACGTACCGGCCGTCGTACCCCCCGGCGGCGGTCGAGAGCCTCCTGAGCCGCCTCGGCGTGGCGGGCAAGCCGCACGCGCGAATCGTCGACCTGGCGGCCGGCACGGGCAAGTTCACGGAGCTGCTGGCGGCGCGGCCGGAGGAGTTCGAGATCCTGGCGGTGGAGCCGACGGCGTCGATGAGGGAGACGCTGGCGGAGAAGGGGCTGAGGGGCGTGGAGGTCAAGGACGGGACGGCGGAGGGGATGGAGGGTGTTGGGGACGGGTGGGCGGATGGGGTTGTGGTTGCGCAGGCGTTTCACTGGTACGTTTTTCTTTCATGTTTGCGAGGCAAAGGAATGGAAAAGGGACTATATGGGTAGTGGAGAGTGTGAGCTGATGAGTTTTGTTGGGATTGATGATTCAAAAGGTTTGCAAACGAGACTGCGCTGGCAGAGATCCATCGCGTTCTGAAGCCGGGAGGCACTCTGGCCATGATCTGGAACATCGAAGACTGTAAGGAGCCATTGCTTCACGCTGGATTACTTCCTCGTTGTAGCTGACCACATGATAAACACCACTCGCGCAGATAACAAGCCCACGTCGTGGCCGGCAGCCAGCAAGTGGGAGCAAGCCCTCAACGAACGCATCTTTACGCTCCCGCACTTTGGCCCCCCTCGGTTCCGCCACTACGAGTGGCCGCAGGTGTTTGACCGCCAGGCCGCGTCCGCGAAGCCCCTCTTCTCGACGCCCATCGGGCAGGAGAAGTTCCCGTGGACGGTCTGGCTGGAGAAGGAGGCGTTGTGGAAGCGGGTGAACACGCTGAGCCACGTGTTTGCCTTGGAGGGCGAGGAGGCCAAGGCTGAGTTTAGGCGGGCGTTTGACGAGGACGTGGTGGAGGGCAATGGCGAGTTCAATGAGAAGGGCGAGGTGGGCGTGCATGGGGTGACGCTGTTGGCGTGGAGCAGGAAGCTGTGAGCTGGACAATGTTTGATGCTTTTCTTTGGTAGAAACATTGTCATAGATCATCACATAGCGATGGAGTGAGAAGGGGGGTGAGCGTAAGTATGAGCAGTTGTGAATTCGCTAAACAGTTGCCTCTATGGATCATGAGTCCGCCGAAATGTACATAACTGTGTCCAGATTTAGCCAAAGACTTCCACACGGCCATGAGCAAAGTTGCGATCAGAACTCACCATTGTTGCCTCGCACAAAGGTATCGCCATACTCCCTCCGCTTGACGCCGTTGACGTACTCGGCCGTCTTTTCCAGCGCAATGTTCATGTATCCGTCCACAGACTGCAGTTCTCCTGTATGCCGCAATTCGCGCAAAGACAAAAGTCAGACCAAGATCACAGCTTCCGAGTCGGGTCCTCCCGTCTCTCTTTGGAGGGGCTTCCTCCCTCTCTCTCTCTCGCTTGAAAAACGTACCCTTGTAGACGACGCCAGAGTTGAGCTTCACGACGACCGAGTTGCCGATGATGTCGCTGAGGAAACTGGAAGGGTCCTTGCCCTCGGCTTGTGAGATGCCGCCGTTCTCCATGGTTCTGATGCGGGTTGATGATGTTGAACAAAGTTGCTTTTGTCGAGGGGAAGTTTCAAGGCTACGGGGAGCTTGACTTCACTCAAATGCTCGATAAGATACGGGCGGCTGCCGACATCGTGGCTGAATTGCACCCAGTTGTGGCACGGCTCGCACTGTGGGAGAAGTACCTCCCCGCAGGCGCATTAGCAGCTCTCGATGCGCTATACAAGTACGGCGGCGGGCGGATTAGCGGTGCACGCGCCTGTGACTGCGCCTAACAGGACCCCGTAATTGTCAGTTGGGCGCTGTAAACAACTGAGATTCGCTCGCGCGCGCATCACAGCTGCCGCCCGGCAACCTCGAAGCTATTGTTTTCTTGGGCCGAATGCAGGCCTCGTCAAAGAGCTGCAGCTGACATTGAGCACTCCAAACGCCTCTCCTCGGATACAAAATCCTTTTCTTTCAACTTTTTCTTTCTTTCTGCACTCTTTCATCCTCCTTTCATCCCAAACTTTAGCCCACCCAGCAGCTCCTCGCCATGAGTGATGAAGTCGCCGCCGCCCCGGTCCGGAAGAAGCTTCCTTTCAAACCAACAGCTTTGCGCAAAGTAGTGCCAGCTCCGAAACCTGCCTCCTCTGCAGAGGACAGCAAGAAAGGCGAAGGCGACGACGATGATGATGGCTTGGATCTGTTCCGCCAGTCGAGGGAGATGGAGCGCATCGTGGCCGCCGAGCGAGAGAGGAGACTGAACAAGCAGAAGCAGAAGCGGGCGGAGGAAGAGCGGCGCTTGTCGGATATGGCGGAACAGCAGCTCTTGGAGTCGGACGAGAACCATGAAGCAGATGCTGCGGCCATTCCTGCAAAGAGCTCGAGTGGCCTGGAAGAAGCGCAGGCGACGCCTGTGGACAACTCTTCGACGTTGGATGGAGATGGCTTCAGGTAGGCCTTCATTGGTGTCGGAAGTCAAGATCATATACCCGCGGCCTGCTAACCTTGGAAACAGCAGAGAGCTTGTTACTCCCCCTCCGTCGAAGCGCTCGAGACCTGCCTCGGATCAAGGCTCGAGGTCATCCAAGCGACGCCGATCAACCGCAGAGCCCTTGGCAGACGATCCCTTCCACGACTCTCCAGCGCAGCGGTCCACGCGGTCAAATTCCAAGCTTTATACTCCCAGCAAGCGTCCTCAGAAGGCCTCCGTCACGCCGAGTGGCGCACCGCTTATCGATCTTGAGTCCGGCTCTGAGTACAAGTCTGAGTCTGAGTCCGACTCCGATGATGGCCTCGACATCGAAGAGAAAAATGCCAGCGCCGCTGCACCCCCCTCCGCACAACAACGAGAAGGTAGTGTCGAATTCGTTGGCTCGGGGACTGTCAGCGGAGACTTTCTCAGTCCTACCCCTAGACCTCAAGACCCGGCGGAGGAGGAGGAGGAGGAGGAGGAGGAGGAGGAGGAAGACGACGACGAATTCGACGAATATGTTCGCAAGGCCGAGGCCCAGCGCGCTCGTGATAAGGACATGATGCAGCTGGACTCCGAAAGAGCCGTGCAAAAGGACGCGGCGACCGACATCATGGTCCAGTCCAACATTCCCGGCACCAAGACCGCCTGTATCAGGTATCAGTTTAACAGACCCCTGCGCTTGATACGAGACAGCTGGATCGCGCTCCAGAAGAGGAAAGGGGTGCAGCTGCCCATCGCTTCGGACAACGACATCGTCTTGACCTGGCAGCAGAAGAGGGTGTACACGTACTCCACCCTGCTCTCGCTGGGCATCCGGCCGCAGGGCGATGGCAAAATCATTGCCGATGAGTACAGCAAGGGGGGCCTGCTGGACGGGCGCACAAAGGTCGCTCTGGAAGCCTGGACCGAAGAGGGCTTCCGTCAGTGGGAGGCTGAGGAGGAGATGCGTCTGAGGAGGGAAGCCGGCGAGCTGCCGGAGGAAGAACCGGCACGGGAACCAGAGGAGAAGCGGGCGAAGCTCCGTGTCAAGCTCGTGGCCAGGGACATGGAGGTGGTCAAGCTGAGCGTGCTGCCCGAGACGACCGTCGAGACGCTCATTATTGGATTCCGAACGCAGAGAAACATTGCTTCGGACAAGGATGTCAGCATCCGATTTGACGGCGAGAGACTGGAGGAGCACCAGACCATGGAGGACGCCGGTATTGACGAAATGGACACGTTGGAGGTGCATATCAAATAGCTGGCAGTGGCAAGCATCATGGACAAAAGGCGACGAGAATTTGGCTTTGAAAAGCGTGGTTATGGATACGGGCGTTTTTGAACAATTGCTAGGCAAGATAAGATACCCCGGGAGGTTTATTGGTTCATTGAAGGCTTATTTTAAGGCGCCGCGAATCTAGCATGCAATATAGGAATCTTGAAATTCTTTTCCCCGACCCCCCTATTATACTCTGACCCATGTGCCCTCAATGCCTCGCAGGTGCTGGCTCTCTCACAGTCTGGTAGATCCCTCTGATAGAACTCGTCACATTCGGCCAAACGATTGGTCCGACAGTCGCTGCACAATGGTATCCTCCATCATGTGCACCGTCTCTTCAGAAGCCCGCTCGAACCAAGTCCTGAAGCCAGGGGGGACCACTTCGCCGCTGCCCACGCGCCGGGTAAACCGCGACGGCATCTCGACGTTCTCGAGTGAGGCGACGACAATGCCCGACTTTGTATTGTAGTAGGTAAACATGGGCGATGCCGCCTCGGGCCGCCGCCACCTTCTGCCGACTGCGCCGTCCTGGACCTCGAAGCCGTCGTTGATGCAGGGGTCGTTGTTGCAGTACTTGATGCCGCCCGGGTTGCCAAAGTTGATGAGGAGCTGGCGGACGCCCTGCTGCTGCGTGCCGTTGCGCTGCGGCTGCTGGAGGCGCTTGGCGAAGAGGTCCAGCTGGCTGCGCTGCTTACACTGCTCCGCCTCTGGGACACACCTCGAGACGTGGTGAGGCTCGGGGGCCGCTGGTGGGAGGGGAGCGTCGTCGAAGGAGACCGAGAGGGGGTAGGTGTTGCAGGCGCTGAAGCAATTGCCACGGTGACCCGTCTTGTTGAGGCCGGCGTTGCCGCAGAGGTCGTTGGTGAGGCAGCTGCCGGAGATGGAGGTCTTGTTGGAGGATTGGCCGTAGCTGCTGGGGGCGAAGGTGAAGGTGAATGTCTGTGAGAATGATGGCTTCGCGCAGCGGACGGCCCAGCACATGTTTTTGCAGATCTCGGGCATCTCGTCGCAGAGGAAGGTGATGTCTGGGGGGCGGGCGAGGATGGTCGTGGCGAGGAGGCTGAGCAGGAGGAAGAATGAGGTTGTTGCGGCTGTTGAGTAGGCCATTGTGTCGAGCTGGCTTGTTGAAACGTCAAGGTAATACGGGCTGAGTTGATTATAGGTAAGGCAGGTTTAGGCAATAGGTAGAGATATCTGTGAAGATGATGGTGGTGGAGTGTTGAGCTTGAAGGTGGTTGGAAATGAGAGGTGATGATACAATCGGCCGGCCTTTCTCTGCCAATTTATCAAAAATCCTCGGTCATATAAGAGAGCATACGTTCTAAAAATGGAAGGAAATGTCCATCTTGTGTCTTGTGCCATCCGAGAAGGAGACGTTGGAGTGGCACCTTCCTGCCCAACAGATGATATGACGATATAGATGCTCCTACATCAGGGCCCCGACATTCAATATCATCTTTTCTCGTGGACCAACACAGCATCTACTTAAAGGTAACACACTTTATGCTTGTCTTTCTAATAGTTAGGTACGAAGCAGTATCTGAGGAAATCCTGGATTATTTCGTACGTCCCGAGGACTCATTCGAAGCATTAACGAACCATCTATTGACATGACATCAACATTCTTCCACATCTTTTACCGGATGCTTCACGGCAGATGCGTAGTACAACGATGGATACATCAATCAGGCAATCCGATTGCATGGTCACACGGAAGAGTAACTTCAGACCGTTACACACTGGCGACGGCACGTCCGGTTACCTCGATGCGGTGTTTGCAGCGGACGAGCCAAATCAGCTCCGGCGGCAATGCCTTCTAGAACGGAAGCTGCAAGTCGTACAATTACAATTCTCGGTAGATACTAGCTCAGAGGCAAAAAGACAGTCATTCCGAAGTTATTATTGCCCGGTATACAGCGATTCTCAATTTATTGTTGAGATGCAGTTGTGTAATACCTATTGGATCTTTACAGGTTAGCTGAGTGAACGCGTCCCAAAAAGACCTGTCGTTGAACAGAGCTACCCTATCGAGAAGACGACATGACACGGGGAGAAGAACATGTGCCTGTCAGGAAAAAAAATCAAAAGTCTTCGCCCATAGAATCAGGTGAATAGTTGTAGCTGCAAGGGGGGGAAGATAAATGAAAACATTTGCCAACTGTGACGATATCACGCGCAAAGAGCAATTATATCATCAGCACAAAAAGGACAAAAAAAGCAACTCGTTAGTCGAGCCGGGAGTCGAACCCGGGTCTGTCGCGCGCTCCGCATCTTTCAGACGAAGGATGTGAAGCGACTGTACTAACCGTTATACGACTCGACCTATGCCGGATTTGCTGATGGGAATCGGGAAAATACTACGCACTATGTAGGTTACCAGTCAGTTGAGGCAACTTGGTGCGAAGTACGAGGTTATAACATGTTAGGCCCGGCCTGTGCCACTCCACAACAACCGTGATTACAATGCCATGAGAGCCATGGCATGACTTTCGTGACATCCACTCGTAATTCCTTGCAACAACATGATCGATTAGTCTCAGGATCACTGTCATAAAAGACAGACCTTCACTCGTGAAGAACGTAGTTCCAAGGAAGAGGTAGAAAGTAGCAGGCGGAACAAGCCACCACGGTGCATTGATACGCCATTGCTGTACCTATTCCGATAATATTTTGAGAAAATCCTAAGCTGTGGTATCATTCCAAGAACGCCAACGCCGTCCGACCAGCCTACACTCGTGCCGCCACCCTTGCTTTCCTCGCCTCGACCTCCCGCAAGGCCTCGCTTCGCGCCAGAAAGTCTTGCCGCGAGGCATACGAATCCTTGGACTTGCCCGCCAGCTCCAGTTCGTCTTTGATGCCTTCCTTGTCCACGAAGCCGGCCCAATCCATGCGACTCTTCTCCACTGTATTGAGCTTCTTCGCTTGCGCTTCGTTGGCTGCCTTCATCCTGGCGGCGACACCGAGATTGAGATCTGAACGGCCGGTCATTCCCTCCACGGCCGGCTCAAAGGCAGATCGGAACGCCTTCTTGGTAAGTCTCTTGATCGGCAGGGAATCTGGTAGAGCGTCTTCGCCCTGAGAGGCTAGGTAGAGCTTGGCTTCGGCTGAGTCGCGGGGGACGAGCTTCTCTTCGGTGTGCACTCGACCGGCAAAGTTGTACGTGCGCTTGATACGGATCATGGAAGATTCGTCGTCTTTAGCAGCGGCATTGTCGGCTGTGACTGCGGCTTCAGTCCCATCCACTGCTTTGCCTTCTTCTTCCTTTTCTTGCGCTAAGGCTGAGGCTCCTCCCGCTTTCATTTCTGCCCAGATGGCATCGATATCGACCGTCACCGGCCCTGCACTCAAAGCATACTGGCGCTCCTCTTTCCTACATCGCTGTTAGCCATGTACGCTGTAATTGCTCGCAATGCTGGGGGGATAAAGCATACTCTGCTGCGCGCTGTCTCCTCGTCTTGATCAAGCCGCCTTCGCCGCCTTCATCATCCACGGCCTCGCCCTTGGCTCTGGCCCGTTTCTGTCGTTTGCGACCTTTTTCAATAATGGCCTCGTCGCCGGAATTCTCATAGTCATCTCCTCCATCAGTCTTCGCCTCATTCACCGGCCGTCGGCGTTTTCTGGCAGCTTCGTCGGGTTCATCTTCGGAATCGGAGGAGCCAGACGCAGCATCAGGCGCATCGTCCGGCGCGAAATCGGAATCTTGGGAAGACTGATATTCCTCATCCTCGTCGACTATGCGATCTGCCGGCATCGCGTCGTCCTTGTAGGCAAGCGAGCGACGATGCGGTATTGAAAAGCGATCGCGTGAATACGCGCCGGTGACCGGACTTCGGTCAAGTCCTCCTTTTCGGTGTAGGGCCAATGACGTAGTTGCTGTTCGCGTGCGCTGCAGATTATGTAATTGCTGCGCTGCCCGACATTTGGGCATTCGCGCTTCTCCGTCTTTCGCCTTGATATTCCAAGCTCCAATTACCAGAAATTCTGCAGCCACCATGGATAGCGACGACGAGGAGGCGATGAAGGCCTTTTTGCCCGCTTCATTTGGAAAACAATCCAAAGAGTTTGATGTCGCAGCCCAGATCGAACGAAGCCGAAGAAAGGTGGAATTGCCATCTGCGACGAGTGGTCGAGAACCCAAGAAGAAAGATGGCTCGGGCGGTAGCGATGATGACGACGATAGCGACGATTCCGACGAGTCAGAAGACGAAGACGAGTTTCCCGTATCACACGAGATTGTTCTAAAGACCCAAGAACGCGCCGTCACCACAGTATCTCTGGACCCTGCCGGTGGCAGATTGGCCTCTGGTTCACTGGACTGTACCATCAAGCTCCACGACTTCGCCTCAATGACCCCGACAACGCTTCGCGCATTCCGCAGCGTTGACCCCTTTATATCCAAGAGAACTGCAGCCACTTCAGAAGCCCATCCCATCCACCATATCGAATTCAACCCATTAGCGGGCAGTGCCATGCTATGCGTATGCGCTCACCCACAGGCAAGGATACTGTCACGCGACGGAGATATTTTGACAGAGTTCGTCAAGGGAGATATGTACCTTCGAGATATGCACAACACCAAGGGACACATCTCCGAAATTACGACCGGCACTTGGCATCCTACGGACAAAAACCTTTGTGTTACGGCAGGCACTGATAGCACACTGCGAATATGGGATATCAACAACAAGCGCTCTCAGAAAGACGTCATCGTGTTCAAGTCAAAGGCTGCGGGCTCAGCTGGTCGGACCAAGATGACGGCGGTTGCGTGGAAGAACTCTGCCCAAGGAAGCAGCGTGCTCATCGGCGCCGCCCTAGACGGATCGCTAGTCATGTACGGCGGCAACGGGCCCTTCACCAGGCCTGCGGGCGAGATCAAAGAGGCGCACAAAGCCCAGACCTGGACAAGCGGCATTGACATTTCCTCTGACGGCCGCATGGTTGTGACGCGAGGCGGCGACGACTTGATCAAACTCTGGGACCTTCGGAAATTCGACAAGCCCCTTGTCACGGTGTCGCACCCTTCTACGTCGGACATCTATCCAACGAGCAACATTCGTTACTCACCAAACTCCACCAGCATCATCACCGGCTCTGTCACAGGCCATCTACACATCCTAAACCCTGGCAATCTACAGCCAGAACATGTCACTCCAATCACGCCGGGATCAGCTCTGATTGCTGTGGATTGGCATCCCAAGATTAACCAGATTGTCACAGGCTCAGCGAACGCCGAGACACACGTCTTGTTCAACCCGTCCATGTCCAGCCGCGGCGCTGTTGAGGTGATGTCGCGAGCGCCCAAGAAACGGCACATTGACGACAACCCTGAGTTCACAATGGACCAGAACGTCGGCATCTCGGGCGATTCCATTGTCACGCCCGGCGCCATGCACAGCTCGCGCAAGGCTGGCGTCACGGGCACCGGCAAATCCAAGGACCCCCGGCGGCCTGAGGTGCCATTGCAGACGCCGTTTCAGAAGAGCCAGCCAGACGAACGGCACATTGCGCAGAACATTCCCCTGGCCAAGATGCTGCACGAGGATCCCCGTGAAGCGTTGCTGAAGTATGCTGACAAGGCCCAGAGCGACCCGATGTTCACCAAGGCGTGGAAAGAGACGCAGCCAGAGACGCAGTACGCGCAGCTGAGCGACGAGGAGGACGAGGGACCTGACAAGAAGCGAGCGAAGCGATGATGAGCTTGTAGTAGTAATTCCTGTACTTGAGCATGCGCTCCCTGTTTGTCCACTGTAAAAGCTATAATGACATTCTGTCGCAGGTAATGGAATGAAACTGAAATCTCTTTCATCTACCTTACCTTAATCATCTTTATTCAATGCTTCAGGAGCATTCATTCACTTACATCCAGCCCATCCTGCTACAATAACTGGCATTACTAAGAATTCCCACTCACGTGACCCGATCCGCCACTAACCCGATGCGAAAATTCTCTCCCCAGCCCCAGCCTGAGGCGTGCGCAGGCCCGTGCCCAGATGTACTGTGGCCAGCCGCGCCAGAACCGCACCAGCCATCACGCCGAATCTTGTCGGTTGTGTCTTCACCACTCCATCATCAGCCAGCGCGCGCATCCCAAAAATCGCCAGGTCCCCTCGCAAACCATCGGCGTCCATCTCCAATCCTCGCAAACCTCGTGTTTCACGCGATTTTGCACGCCGCTCACGCCTGCGGCACCCGCTCCGACGCGCCGCGCCATCCCCCGGCCACGCATTTTTTTTCTCTCTGCACCCGCTGCCGGAGCCCCCAAGGGGTCGGATCTTTTGCACCTCCAGAGCCTCGAGACTTTCCCCCACGCCCGCGTCTGCGAGCGTCGCAAGGCTGTCGTTGCCGCACCGCAGTCTCCACGGCCCGGAATCCCCAAATCCTGGCTCGTCCCGGCCTCTGGCTTTGGCCCTGAAAGCGCTTCTCACCACCCGGTGACTTTGTCCCAACGACACCACTCGCCGCGCATTGCCGTCTTGATTTTCCTGCATCAATTTTCCTTCGCCATCTTGACGCGCCATCAACGCTGTCACCCGTCGATCTTTCTTGCCTCTGCCTCGACGCTTCCCGCCCAGCCGCAACATCACCGCTAGCCTCGCACCCGCCGGGCACGACTCTCAGACACTCGCTGCTCGCTATGCCCTGTTTATAGGCGGATTATATCGAGATACATATCGGGGTGTCGACAGGTTCAATAACGGTTTCTTGGCCCAACTCCTTCACAACCCACCACCATGGCATCAGTGCAGATGCCGGGCGCGGTCCAGATGCCGGGCGCGCCAATGCCTGCTGGCGCGACCAAGCAACAGGCCGAAGAAGTCTTTCGGGTATGCACCGATACGCGCGTTGTTCTGTTTTTTTCCTTCCCTCTCTTTCTTATATCGCGTTGCTTCCCTTTCATTCTTCTGTCTGGACGCGCAGCTAACCACCCTCACATAGAAACTCAAACAAATGAAGGAACAAGGCATTCCGCCCAACGACCCCGAATATATCAAGGCCTCGCAGTTCCTGCTTAATTTCCAACAGCAACACAACATGCGACGAAACCAGCAACAGTACATCCAGGCCCAGCAACAGATGCAACAGAATGCCCAGAATGCCCAGAACAGCGCTGCTCATGCCCCCAATGGCACCCTCAACGGCGTTCAGCCCGGCCACCCGCAACAAAACATGCCCCAGACGACGCAGGCCGCCCTGCCCAACGCCGCCGGAGCGACGACTGCGGCGCCCACCCTGAATGCTCCTGCTACCGCTGCTCCCAACGTCCCTACGCCGACAGGCTCGAGCTCGTCATCGAGTCACTTTACCCAAAAGCAACTTGCCCTGCTCAGGCAGCAAATTCATGCCTTCAAGCTCCTGGGCAAAAATGCCGGTATCTCTACGCAGCTTCAGCAGGCCATATTTCAGCAGCGCATGCAGCGCCAGGCCGCCATCACGGCCTCTGCTCAGACTCCTGCTCCGGCAAAGACTCCCCAGCCCGGCTCAGATGCTGGAAAGTCTACGCCAAACGGCGTCGAGTCTACCCCTCAAGACGACTCGCTTGCGCTCCCCAAGCCCCATACCTACAAGACGGTCAAATCACCATACGGCACTAGCATGATTCGACCCTCCATCAAGTATTTCGACCATGCGCAGAGGAAGAACCGATGGTTCATCCCGGGCGTCTTCCCAACGGGTATCGATTTCGACCACCTGCGATATGAAAGAGAAGTCGTTGTCTTCAACCGCATGAGCCAGCGGTACTCGGAGCTGAAGAACTTGCCCGCAAACATTGCTCACTGGGACACCACGAAGGAGGATGTCGAGGTTGACGATTCTGTCAAGGTCAAGGCCATCATCGAGATGAAGAGCCTGGCCCTCTACGCTAAGCAGCGGGCTCTTCGCGAGAAGATTGCTCGCCAGATGATGCACTACGACAACCTGGCGATGACAACCAACCGGTCAAACTACCGCCGTATGAAGAAGCAGAATGTCCGCGAGGCTCGCATTACCGAGAAGCTTGAGAAGCAGCAGCGTGATGCCCGCGAGAACCGCGAAAAGAAGAAGCACAATGACTTCCTCCGGGCCATCTACAACCACCGCGCCGAGATCATCGAGACCGCGGTCGCGCAGAAGAACAAGTCGCACAAGCTCAGCAGACTCATGTATTCGCACCACTTCAACATTGAGAAGGAAGAACAGAAGCGCATCGAGAGGACAGCCAAGCAGCGTCTGCAGGCTCTCAAGGCCAACGACGAGGAGGCCTACCTCAAGCTGCTCGACCAGGCCAAGGACACTCGTATCACACACTTGCTCAAGCAAACCGATGGCTTCTTGCACCAGCTGGCGTCGTCGGTCAAGGCTCAACAGCGCCAAGCCGCCGAGACCTACGGCACCGACGCAGGCAATTTCGTCGATGAGGAAAGTGAACTTGACGAAGAAGACAGCGGGAAGAAGATTGACTACTACGCTGTTGCGCACCGCATCCGCGAAGAGGTTACCAAGCAGGCTAGCATCCTGGTTGGAGGCACGTTGAAGGAGTACCAAATCAAGGGTCTTCAGTGGATGATATCCCTCTACAATAACAACCTCAATGGTATCCTGGCAGACGAAATGGGTCTCGGAAAGACCATCCAGACCATCAGTCTGATTACTTACCTGATCGAGCAGAAGCAGCAGAGCGGCCCGTACCTGGTGATTGTGCCGCTGAGTACCCTTACCAACTGGAACCTCGAATTTGAGAAGTGGGCCCCGTCTGTAGCTCGCGTCGTGTACAAGGGTCCTCCCAATACCCGTAAGCTGCAGCAGGAGAAGATTCGCCAGGGCCGGTTCCAGGTGCTGCTGACGACGTACGAGTACATCATCAAGGATCGACCTATCCTCAGCAAGATCAAGTGGTTCCACATGATCATCGACGAAGGTCACCGTATGAAGAACACGCAGTCCAAGCTCAGCGCCACCATCCAGCAGTACTACACCACGCGCTTCCGACTCATTCTCACGGGTACTCCCCTCCAGAACAACCTGTCCGAGCTGTGGGCCATGCTCAACTTCGTCCTGCCAAACATCTTCAAGTCGGTCAAGACGTTTGACGAGTGGTTCAACACTCCCTTTGCCAACACCGGTGGCCAAGACAAGATGGAGCTCACAGAAGAAGAGCAGATTCTCGTCATTCGGCGTCTGCACAAGGTCCTGCGACCCTTCCTGCTGCGTCGTCTGAAGAAGGATGTGGAGAAGGACTTGCCCGACAAGACCGAAAAGGTCATCAAGTGCAAGTTCTCGGCACTGCAGTCCAAGCTTTACAAGCAGATGGTGACGCACAACAAGCTGGTTGTCAGCGACGGCAAGGGTGGCAAGACTGGTGCCCGCGGCTTGAGCAACATGATTATGCAGCTGCGAAAGCTTTGCAACCATCCGTTTGTGTTTGACATTGTCGAGAACGTCATGAACCCCCTCAACATCAGCAACGACCTGCTCTGGAGAACAGCGGGTAAATTTGAGCTGCTGGATCGTATTCTACCAAAGTACAAGGCAACCGGCCATCGCGTGTTGATGTTCTTCCAGATGACAGCCATCATGGACATCATGGAGGACTACCTCCGTTACCGCAGCTACAAGTATCTGCGTCTGGATGGTACAACCAAGTCCGACGAGCGATCTGACCTTCTCCGAGACTTCAACGCACCCAACTCGGAATACTTCTTGTTCTTGCTGTCTACCCGTGCTGGTGGTTTGGGTCTGAACTTGCAAACGGCCGACACGGTCATCATCTACGACTCTGACTGGAATCCTCATCAGGATTTGCAGGCCCAAGATCGTGCTCACCGTATCGGTCAGAAGAATGAAGTGCGAATTCTGCGTCTCATTAGCTCCAATTCGGTCGAGGAGAAGATCCTGGAACGCGCCCGATTCAAGCTGGACATGGACGGCAAAGTCATTCAAGCAGGTCGTTTCGACAACAAGTCGTCCGAGACGGATCGTGATGCCATGCTTCGAACTCTGCTGGAGACTGCCGACATGGCGGAGTCTGGTGAGCAAGAAGAAATGGAGGACGAGGAACTCAACCTGCTGCTTGCCCGTAATGATGAGGAACTTGTCACTTTCCAGAAGTTGGACGAAGAAAGACAGAAGGATCCCATCTATGGCGGTCCCAAGGGCAAGCCTCGACTGATGGCCGAAGACGAACTGCCCGATATCTACCTCAACGAAGGCAACCCCATCTCGGACGATGCCGAAGAGGTCATTCTTGGTCGTGGCGCTCGTGAACGTACCAAGGTGAAGTACGACGACGGCTTGACGGAAGAGCAGTGGTTGATGGCCGTGGATGACGATGAGGACAGCCCGGAAGCGGCCGCGGCGCGTAAGCAGGCCCGCAAAGACAAGAGGGAGGCCAACAAGCTCAGAAAGTCACTGCTGGCAAACTCAATGGATAATTCTCCATCAGCCAGTAGAGCGAGCACGGAGGAGGTTGAGACGCCAAAGAAGAGAGGCCGCAAGCCTGGCAGCAAAAACGAGAAGCGAAAGGCAGAGGAGGATAATGACGAGCCTCCTCCAAAGAAGCGACGCGGCCCTCAGGGACGACCCAGCAAGAACGCCACCCGCGAAGATTCTCGCGTGCCACCCCAGCATCGAGAAGTGCTGCAAAAGAGTTTGCGGGCACTCTACGATGGTCTGATGAACCTGGAAGTGGACGATATCGAGCCTCCGGCGGAGGACG